ACCCCCCTCCTTTTTAAACGCATTTTAAAAAAAAAAACAATCACTTTTAAGGACTCTTTAGACAAAGTCCAAAGTTGCCACGTGAATTTCGGAGCCCCCCCCCCCCCAACCCCTGCCACTTTTCAGTGTTCCACCCCTGCTTTTCAAAATTGATAGTTATATTTTTTTCCCACATTACAACTTTGGGCCCCTAAAATATCCGAGGTCCACTGACTCCACTGTAGTCGCATGGTCAACGCGACGGCCCCATTCTTTAAGTAGATATGTAACCCAATTTCAAAAAAAATAATATGTATAGAAAGCTACCATAAATACCTCAGTGATGCAAGAGTGAAGATATTCGCGTACGCTTTCAGCTGGCTCAACTACTACGTTGTGCAAATGTTTGCCTGTTAAGCTAAAATGGTCGAAACCCGCCAAGTATTCATTGTTTGCTAGGGATTTTCAGCAAACTTTTAGTCAGGTATGAGTCACTACTAGTCAGGCGGCGCAATCGCGCCTTTACATCGTTAAAATGGCCAATCGCCTACTTTTTCATCTTCTTGCAGACTGTTGAAAACCGGGTGATCATAAACTGATGGCCCTTGAAAAAAAAAAAAAAAATTGCACTGATCTGCTCGTTAATATTATAGACGGCGCATTTGTTTGTTACGTAATGCATCATTCCCACGGGACCGTACAAAAAGGGGGAGGGGGTGAAAGGGGCAACCACTCCAAACGATATCTTCATAAGAGCGCCAAATTTTAGTTGTTTTTTAAAATGTGTGTATTTATATTAAATATATCGTGGGTGTTTTTGGGGGGTGGGGTTTATGGAAGTGGGCGCCGAAATTCAAGTTTTGCCCCAGGCGCAGCCTTTGTTTGCCACGCCCTTTATTCCTTCATGCCACAAACTTCACTGTAACATGATGCCACTGATTAAAGTCTTTTAAAACTAACACCAAATGCCCCATTCTCCACACTCCCCTCAACAAAAAATAAAATAATAAATAAATTAAAAATAATCCTTTTTTGGAACTTTAACCCCCCCCCCCTCCTTTTTCCCACTAAGGATGAGAACCACTGTGCTAGGGGAAAAAAAATGATTGTCCCATGAAATTACGTAATACTGTATCCTAGCAGGCTGACTTACCTTGGAGGTATCGCTCATATTAATTGAATATTCAAACAAAGATCATAGATAAAATTATTGGTAGAGACTACACATTCCATGGTTCATCTATTCGACTGTCGAAAATGCTCATTCTTTATTTAAATGTCGATTTAGATACAAAACAATTTTGAAAGTACCGGCACTGAGAGATGGCTTAACCATTTTTTAAAGGTTGAGCTACGCTGTTTCAGATGCTCAAAATTCACAAGCACTTACTGTTTAAAATATCTGCAGTCTAAATTAAACTGTCTAATGGGTTTAATAATAGGGACATACAAGATGCCATTGGCTGGAGGGTGGTTTTAGGGTTAAAATTAAAAGGGAATGGGTGTTGGGAGGTGCTACGACAATCACGGTCAGTCTGGTTAAGATTGAGTCACTGAATTAGCGTTAAAATGGAGTAAGTGTTTCTTAACATCTATTTGGTGATAAAAGGGGGGGGGGGGCTGCACCCCATGACATCACATGCCAACGTCCAAACTGTCGACTCCAGAATGAGTTCTTAAGTCTATTTGTTGTGATGTGCAGTCATGGTTTGAACAATGAAATAAAATGTTTGTTGATGTTAACAAAAATCCTCTTTATTTTCGGTTAAATAAACGAGATAACAATGGCTTGAGTTTGTTGATTACTGAGACATTTATTGAACAATTCATCAACAAACCTGCCCAAACTACAACAATTGAAATATTGAGTCATTAATGAAATATGTTACCAAGTTGTCACTGTAGAGTCGTCATTGAAAATAAGTTGCCAAGTGAACCAAGTTCTAGGGGAAATACTACCAAAACAAATTCTACTGAACCCAACAAAGCATTGTAAGGCACTGCACAGCCGACTCTAGAATGCACACTAATATAGTCAGCACAATTTTTCACTCTACTGAATGACTTGAATTAAACATTACTGGTGCCCTCCAGTCCTGAGGTATTCCATATTTTTCATCCGATTCACTAGATCAAGGTTCTATGAGAAACTATTCAAGTTTTTAATAAATATAAATACATTTATTTATTTTGATGAGAGACAGCATATTCAAGTAACTTGTTTATTTTATATATTATTTAATTTTATATGGCTTATATAAATTCTATCTAAGCATTAGTAGCTTGTTAAGTCTTCAGATTATATGTCTTGTATTTATTCCACTATAGCTTCAGTTAACAATGCCAAAAAAAGTCTTTCATTGTATTTACATTTTTTGAATGCACCTTGGCAACATATCAACATGTGGCAATAAACTGCTGCTCTGAACCACTGTACACAATAATACAGGTGGCCCTTCTGAACCACTGTACACAATAATACAGGTTGCCACCTCTGAACCACTGTACACAATTATAAAGGTGGCCCCTCTGAACCAGTGTACACAATAATACAGGTGGCCACCTCTGTACACAATAATACAGGTGGCCCTTCTGAACCATTGTACACAATATTACAGGTTGCCACCTCTGAACCACTTTACACAATAATACAGGTGGACCCTCTGAACCACTGTACACAATAATACAGGTGGCCCTTCTGAACCATTGTACACAAATTACAGGTTGCCTCCTCTGAACCACTGTACACAATTATACAGGTGGCCCCTCTGAACCAGTGTACACAATAATACAGGTGACCACCTCTGAACCATTGTACACAATAATATAGGTGGCCCCTCTGAACCAGTGTACACAATAATACAGGTGGCCACCTCTGAACCACTGTACACAATAATACAGATGCCCCATCAAATGCCATCGTGGCAACCTATCAATGCTCACAATGGCACGAGATACATGACTTTTAACTGGGATCTTTTCATCTCACTCATTAAAACAGTACAACTCCATTTATCAGCTGACAACTCAAATAAAATAAAAGGATATGAACATTTTTTAATCCAACTTAAGGATATTAGACAAATCGTCCCCCTAGAATAACAAGGTTCTATGTGCCTATTTAATCCAATCAACTTAGAACCTTGTTATTCTAGGGGGACGAAATGACCCTGTGAAAAAAGGCCACGATGATCAATGTGCCCCTTATCCCGACAGGTCAGGCACCACTGTACTAAAATAATGACCAGAAAGAGAGTGGTGTTAGTCCCACACAAAAACATAACGTCACAACATAAAATAATGACCAGAAAGAGAGTGGTGTTAGTCCCACACAAAAACATAACGTCACAACATACAAAAATGAGCATTCAAAAAGTCTTTATTAGTTGAAATAATGTAAATAGGAAAGAATGATTTGATCAGTGTGTCCATTGAAATGCAAACTGTATCGGTTCAGTACTTATTAAATGCCAAGACAAAATTAGGCTCAGGATGAGAGCCTGAATCAAGTTAATAACATAAATCATAAATGCATGAAAAATGCTGAAATAAAATTTTGACCTTTATGTAAAAAAAAATGTATTTATTAATTTAAACATAAATAATAATATTTGCACAGCATTTACTGTATCTGGTTTAACTTTAACGTCCACCTTTCACAAACTTTCAATAGGGAAGTATTTGATAGTCAAGTTAATTAATGAAAACGGGAACAAAAATCATGGGGATAAAAAAAGTTAACAGGGCCTACCATTACCAAAGCAATGCCAGGGGTAGGGCATAACTGAGCTATACAAAAATATTATGTCCTGAAGTTGGACTAAGAGATGATTATTTCTGGTAATGAAGCCCGATCCCTGTTGATGAAACTCGGCACAATGTTGTATCCTTGGTCTGGCTTTAAACAATTCATTTCTTCCCTGTGAAATAATCAACAGCAACTCGTTTTCATTGGTTTCAAAATCATGGAATGGAGAATTACATTTAAAGAATAAACTTTTAACACAGGCATGAATGAACAATGTAAAGCTATAGCCACTTATCATGATTAAAAGAGGAATTTTCTGTGTCTCAGTTTCCAACACTTATCATGATTAAAAGAGGAATTTTCTGTGTCTAAGTTTCCAACACTTATCATGATTAAAAGAGGAATTTTCTGTGTCTCAGTTTCCAATTACAACTTCCAGCCAAAATTTTAGAGTACAAGTCCCATAACTTAGGTGTTTTCTTTTATGCTCAAACTAATTATGTTTTACTTTCAGAAATATTTATAGCTATTTTGAGACAAAATGAATAATTTTTTAAATTAGTTTAAGCAACAGCAAAAAATTGCCATCTGGCAAATTTTTACATATCCAACATGAACCACTTGGGTAACTGGGCACAATATTACACATACCCGATGTCAACCACTTGGGTAACTGGGCACAATATTGTACATACCCAATGTCAACCACTTGGGTAACTGGGCACAATATTATACATACCCGATGTCAACCACTTGGGTAACTGGGCACAATATTATACATACCCGATGTCAACCACTTGGGTAACTGGGCACAATATTATACATACCCAATGTCAACCACTTGGGTAACTGGGCACAATATTGTACATACCCAATGTCAACCACTTGGGTAACTGGGCACAATATTGTACATACCCAATGTCAACCACTTGGGTAACTGGGCACAATATTATACATACCCAATGTCAACCACTTGGGTAACTGGGCACAATTTTATACATACCCAATGTCAACCACTTGGGTAACTGGGCACAATTTAATACATACCCAATGTCAACTACTTGGGTAACTGGGCACAATTTAATACATACCCAATGTCAACCACTTGGGTAACTGGGCACCTGATGGAAGTCTTGCAGTGTTGGCTTGAGGGAAGGAACTTGCTTGTGACCTTCTATACGAGTTGGATGTGGATGCCTGGGCTCCACCAGACTCTCTAGGCATATTCACCCTCTCATCAGAACCACCAACTCTGTCTTCAAATGACGGTTTCAAACTGGAAATGTTAAAAAAACTAGTTATATCAGTACTTATTGAGCTATGTATAAAATAAATGAGAAAACAGAATTTCAGCTTTTTATTCATATGCCCCATTAAAACATGAAGCCCTTTAAATTGTGTTAACATGCATTTTAAGCTTAGTTGTGACAGATTTTTATTTTATGGCTTAAATTATTTTTAAAGTATTGCCCCCCCCCCCAAAACCCATTTTTTTTTCTAATAGCCAGCCAACCAACCAACCAACCTACCAACCAACCAACNTTTTTTTTTTTTTTTTTTTTTTAAATTACAAATCCAAGCACCCTTCGGTGAGTGAGTTTCAAATCATATGTCCATTACACGTATCTAAAAACACAACCACCGTCTGATGAAATGAGTAAATTACTAAACACTTACATCCTTGTTACAACCTTCTCAGCTTCTAATCTCGGTTTTATCCTCCCTCTCATTTCTTCCTTCATGTAATGATCTTCAAAGAATACAAATGACGCAAAACAAATTTGAGAGAAAATCCCCAGATCCATAGAGGGCTGGTCATAATGTGAGTATGTAATAAAATTCTTAAAAGATACTTTAATATCTTAATGCAGGGTATTATATTGAAAAGAAAATTAAAGTTACATAAGTTTAATTAAAATTTTTTTTTTAATATCTTGTAAAAGCAAACTCACAATTAACCTAAAAATTTGTTGCATCCTTTGAAAAACATTCAGTAATCTCTATTGATTGCAAATGATCAATGGGAAGTTAAACTTAAGTGAGATTTTTTCCAAATTGTTTAATTTCACAGATAAATTTACATCTCTGGCTGATCTCACCTGTCTGTACATCTGAGCCAAAATAAACAATCACTGCGGGTGCCAGACGATTCTAATGAAAAGGAGAAAATATTTTTAAGTAATGGGTCAGTTAATTTTATAATATTTAATAAATATATTTTATCGGCTATTTAATTAAGAAAGAAATAATTATCTGATTCAAGAATAATTAAAATTGTTTTTTTAATAAACTTTATCTAATTCTTAGGGGGAGGGGGGGGGGGGGGGGGGGGTGGTTGTGTGTGTGTGTTTTAAAGCTCAAAGAAATATTTTTCTTTAAAAGCCTGCTTGCAGTCATCCTCAGTCTTACATAAACTTAATTTAGTGTATAATGTAAAAAAAAACAACAGGCTTTTAAATAAAGATTTCTTTTTAACTATTTCTCGATTATCATATTTGGTTTGGGTATTTTTTAATGTTAAAATATTTCCTGACTAAGTAACTGTAAAGCATCAATAATTACAAGATAAGAGACCTATTAAACATTATTTTGCTGAAATTGTTGAAATACCAACAAATTGAAGTGAACGTCATCAAGCATAATTTCACAGTAACTTTATCATCTCCGCTAAATGCATAAAAATAATATTGTTTATATTACATTAAGAAATGGCGTCAGCAGACCGTTGAGCTTGCGCTCTTTGTGCCCTCCCCAAAACACCCCTCCCCAACCCGGTATCAGGCCGCAGAGCGGCACGTCAGGAATGTCTCTTTGTCAGGGCAGCCCCCACCAGAGTCTGCTCGACCAGGTTCTGCTGGATGCCGCCCCAACCCAAAGACACCCGGTCGGTCCGACACTGTTTGCACACAGTGCACATGATCGATTTCTCAGGAGTCGGGATGGAAAAATTTACATCTTGAAATCTTCCCCCACCCATCCTATGGTTTATAACAAAGTTGGATATTCAGATATCACAATTTAAAAAAAATCAATATTGCAAACTTCCTGAAGAGTGGATTATTACTTGCGTATAACTGAATTCCATAAACATCCATTTATAACTCAATCATGCTACACAGGTAGGAGAGTAAGCAGCCTACTATACCAATCCTGCTATAATTTAAAATTAATTTTTGAAATGCTTAACTTAATGAAAAAGCCTTTATTGGTTGGGAATTATAACAATTTTAATTTTTTTTTTTAAATTTATTAATAATCAAACAAAAATATACAATGATAATTTAACCACTAAAGGTATAAAAACTTTAACACACTCAAGAAAAAGCAGAACTCTTAATTAGAAGCAATGCTTACCGCTGCTAGGGAAGATTTCTTGTCTTTAAGAACCTCTTTGGGTGGTGATGTATCTTCAAAAAAATACAAATAAATAAGAAAAGTAATATTAAACCTTTTTAATAGTCTACCATTTTAATACTGAATTTAGAAAAAACAGATTTGCTTCTTTATTATAATTTTACTAAGATGAAATTTTAATTTGAGCTGTACAGTTACTTACATAAGTAGAAAGAAAGCTTCTCATTTTTAATATGAGCTTTGACAAAACTGTACAAAGCAGCAACTGCAGAAAACAACATGATATTGAAAATTGAGATACAGGAGAGAGAAAAACAACTGAATAAATGACAATGAAATAAATCTGCTTTAGTATTGTTTGAAACGGAAGCAGAATATTTGTTGGCATTATGAAATTTTTCTCAAGGATCCCAGTATTTACATATAATTTTTAAACTATTTTTAAACTATTAAAAAAAAGAGTTTCTTTGGAAGACAAGTTTAAACGAACTACAAAGTAGAAAATAATGTTCTTAAACAGGGAGTTCTCTAACAGCACATGTCTTTACAATAAATGAATACTTTGTTTTATACAAGAATGTTCTGGCTAATGCATAGCCACATCAGTATTTTTTCATCATTCAGAACTTTTGGAATGATACGTTTTTTATATATCCCACCAACATGTGACTCATAAATAAGTAACTTTTGATTTCTGAAAATTGTACTCATTTCTCAAAAATACATCCCTTACTGAACTAAAAAAAATTTTTTTCAATTGATTAAGAAATGTCAATAATTTTTAAATGAAGACTTTTTTTTTTTAACTTGATTTTATTTCAAGTTTCCAAATTAACTGTGGAAAAAATTGTATGTCAGAAAAGTGTTCTACACTGCATCAGTGCTCTTTAAATATCTTACTGACCTGGTTCTCTGGGCCTAAAGACACCTTGCAATGTAAGTTTTTCAGGAAACTGGACACGGATCACAACTCTGTCATAATGATCATATAGTGCTTCTGTTTGGGATTGTCTCATTGCTTTAGTCATTAATGGCTGATCTTCAAACTGTTTGCTTAAAAAGATTGAGATTTATATATTGTTTCGTTATCCAATAAATAAAATGTAAGCATTTTTTTAAAATTTCAGCAAGGTAAGCAATCCTGTAAAGAGCAAGTATGGTTGTAGATTATTTTACAAGAAAGTGGGGGTAAATATTATTTTTAAATGTGAATGGAGATCATTTTTACAGCAAGTTTGTATGTAGATTATTTTCAGATTCTGGTATCAATGATTATCCTAACTTGTTAGTCCTCAGCTGTTATTTTGTAGCAAAACATTCAAGTATTATAAAACTAAAAAATTGCTGTAAAAGTTGGACTGAATTGTACTTAGTTACTTACACAGCATTTTGTAGATCTCTGTACATCACTCTAATATCTGACTGGGTTACTTCAAAGAAATCTTCAGGAATTGCTGCAGATAGATGCATTTTGTTTGAGACATCAAATTTTAAAGAACTGTAACACAATTATACTTACACAATCCACTATGTGACATTTGAACTCTTCCTTCATTTAATTCAACTACATATATACGGGGCGATGCAGTGTGTAGTGCTGAAGACAGAGAGGATGGTTAACATGTCATCTGTGGCGCCCCAAGGGTCCAAGGACTAAGGGACATGAGGATGAGGATGACATATATGTAGGATTGTGTCAATGTTTTACTTACAGTTGTCAGAGGATGAAAGTTCTGGTTGAAATGTTTCCTCTGTTCTATACACAATGGTTTCTCTCTCACAAGCGCTCTGTCATTAAACAAAGAAGAAATCTTGAAAAATAAAATTGTAAGTTTGAATTGACTTGATTGGGCTGATGAATCCTACTGATAGGTTTGCCATGAGAACTTAGAACATAACCAAACAACCATTACTATGTTTAGAAATCTAGAAAATGTGTTTACTACATTACTAAAATATTAGAAGGTTTACTCATTTAATTTTAAGCTTGCTTGACATTAATATATCTAACAGTTACAAAGTTCATAAATCAACAGAGCTACCATTCCCTTTTCTATAATGAAACAATTTCTTATGAAAAGAAATATATTTTAAAGTTTAAAAAATACACAATTTAAACTTCCGTTAATTTCAATAAATTCAGTTAAACTATAGGAATTATTGTTATAATAAAATTGTTACAAACAACTATATGGAATCTGGGTTATATAATCTTATTTTTTAACATTTAAATTCTGCTGAATAAACTTCAGAAGGAATGAATTAGCATTTTTCTGACAGACTTTGGATTAAAAAAAAAAATTATTTTTTTTTAAACAAAAAAAAACTTTATATAACAAAAAAGACAAAACTAGAAATTAAATAAAATTTCAGCATATTTAAAATTTGCATAAATGTTCATAATTAATTTTAAAATGCATTGACAAATAAAAAAGTCAAAATGTCCCCACCTCGCTTGCAGCCTGGAAACAATAAATATTGAAAGCCTTAGCAGAATCTTTACATTATTCACTGTGTTCGTGGCTTATAAATATAAAGTCATATACTACATGAGACTATAAAATCTGATGAAACATAAGCTCATTATCTCCTTTCTATTTATCAACAAAACTTTTTTAAGTCTACAGACTCATTCCATTATTAAAGTTGTTTACTTACAAATCTCTCCTCTGAAATGGATTCTCTGTCAATTAAAAAAAAAAGAGGGGGGGGGGAATGTAATTTGAAAAGATGACAGTGTAATAAAATATAGTGTAATAAAAAGATGAAATACAATTACTAATATTGACTTTGACAGAGTTGAATGGGAAATGAGTAGCTTTTTCACCGAATTAAAAATGTTAAGCTTTTTAATTTTTTGTATTAGTTCAGAGACTTACAAATCACTCCTTGTCAAATCCATTCCTCTTGTTTCTTCTGGAAACTGAAACAATTTTAATAAGATAATAAAATAAGCTTTTTTAAAAGATTAATTTGAAAAGAAAGAAATCCTGAAATAAAGTTTGCTAAACAAATCGCTTAGTTCTATTTTTTTTTTTTACTGCCGGTAATACAAAAAATTTAAAGAGACAAAAAGTATTAAAATTGACAAGATCTCAAGCATTAGCTCAATTTGGCACCTTGAAATCTGCAAAACTGCTTTCCTCAGACCCTTCTGAAACTGCAGAAATTGTTGAATGAACAGTTTGTAAATGTGGAAGAAATCTTTCAGCCAAGCGTCTGGCAATCTGAAATTAGGGATACTTGAATACTTAAAATGGCAACTTAGCTACTAGCTTCAGAAACCCAAATTATTAAAGTAAAATTTGAAACAGAAAATTAAAATTTGAAGACAGCTGCCTTTTAGATTAGGCTAGAGCTCTTGACATGCTTTAAAAACTATAGCATTATTAATTCATGGGTGGTGGATTGGAAGAGAAGTTATTAAGAAAATGATTCAACTGCTTTATTCCTTCTAGCTTTATTATCTGACAAGTTTCAGAGTTTTCAAAACTCTAGAGGGTTCAGAACAAGTGCAACAACTCATTTCATTATAGGAACTCCTTTGTAAAAATGTGATAACTCACTGCCTGTTCTTGAGGACTGAGATCACTAAAATCATCAGGTGTGAAAATTTCAACACCTGGGATGTTCATGTTTCTCAAGTCGTTAATAGCTGAAGTTGCTGAGACCTGGTCCTGGCTTTGTGACATTGAACTATTTTTCTTTGAACGTTGGCCTCTTGGTTTCCCTGAAGTTGAATCTTTAAAAAAATAACGAGAGAGAAGTTTTGCTTTTAAATGGGTTTAATAAGTGGAGGATAGTTGATCTGAAGGAAAGGCTGACATCAGTTTACAGGTTTCAATTTCCTTATTTAAAAAGAAATCTACTGAAATGCTTTAATTGAGAAAATTATAAACTGATAATGCAAATAGGCTGACATCTCCATTTAATTTCTTAACTTTTCCTAAACTCCAAAAGCCCACATTTCCTTACAGATATGGTCTCATCTTAATATCATATTACTTTTGATTTTGCCTACTTGCGCTGAAAACAAAGCTCTGGTGCTTTTGTAAATATGTTTTTTTTTAAAACATAGATTTTTATTTCTATTAGACAGTATCAGGCTTTGGTTATTTTATTAATTAATTTAAAAATATCATTAACTAAAGTCTAAAGTGTGTGGCTGATTGAGCACTCACAAAATTGTATATTCTTTTAAAAAAAATAAATGGTGGTTGTGTGCACAACTTTTCTGATTCTACAATATATATTTTACAACAGACCAATAAGAGATTTCCAAGAAATGTTGCGGGACTGCAAGCCATGAGTTTGAAATACATCATGTGCTGGGATAAAAATGTTTTGAATAAACAGAACACATAAAAATAAGCAGCTTTATTTACCAGATGCTGTGGTGGATGAAGACAAGGACTCATTTGCCCCTTGCTCCATAAGTTCAGGGTGAGAAGGTCCCACCTCTGTTACTTGAGATGAGGCTGACCTTAAAGAAACCAAGGAGGCCTCCGTCTCATCCATCTTCTCCTCGTCCCAGGTGGAAAGTGAAGCATCATCAAGCCTTCTGTTTCTCTCCATCTCGTCTATCTGTCTCAGCTCACATTTCTTTAGAGCTATTTCTTCAAGCTTGACTTGCTTCTGTCTCTCCTTCTCCAGATTGTCCACAATGTCTTGAAGAAAACTAGCCTCAACCGGACGATGCAAGAGCCTGATAGATTTGAGAAGACTTGGGTTTTTTTTAAACTCCAACTATAATGCAAAATTCAATTCTAAAATATGCAGATTAGAGTGAGAAAAATCTATCATCAAAATTCCCACAGATAAAATTTGTTGAATTAAATACCTAATGATGGCTTTTCCAGATGTCAGGCCAAGTTTTTTTAGTGTCATGGCTTGAAGAGCTTTTTCCCCTATAACCTAATACAAATAACAAAACAATAGAAAGTCTTGTTAAGTCTTCACAGCAACAGGCACAACAAAACAAGATATTAACAGTAAAAATATGAAAATACAACTGAATTTTCAATATCCGACCCGACACTATAAATTTAAATTAATGATACATTTTTGTAAAATATGCAAGTTTAAAAATTTGTTGGTGCAAGATAATAAGATGTTATGATTTCTTTCTAAAACTTATAAAAGAAGTCTAATACTACCTCTTCTCTCATAAAAATACAAACTGGGTGCAAGAAGGGGACATGGCTTGTATCAACTCGAGACAACACACCTTCATATTCACTGCAAATTAATCAAATATAAAGATGATCAAATATTCTACTTAGTATTAAATATTGTAGAAATAGAGAAATAATCTTAAAACTTTAAAAATAATTAAATAATCTCCTTTAAACTTTATAACTAACAAACAAAACAAAATAAAATACTATGTCCAATAGGCACATGGAACTGGAACAGAATATGATAATCCTTAAATAGATTATTACCTGTCCTTGCTTTCAAAATGTAGTAAAATATCCCACAGAGAGGCACATGGCTTAAAACTATCCTGTAGTCTTTGCCCAGAATCAAGCTGTTTGGAAACAGACAGAAAAAGAATAATATTTTTTTTTTTTTAAACACAATTATAAATAACCTTTTTCTGTTATTAAAAGCTCCTGACTCATTTAATTAGCTGTGCTCACTTTTCTGGTCCACATTTAACATACCTGTAAGGCTATTGTTACATCCTGTTCAATTCTGGCAGAGGCAGCTTTACTTAACTCAAGCTTTGCGTTATTTGGAATGCTGGAAAATCTTACAGACAAACTTAAGTCCAGTTCTTTCCTTCCTTGGCTGTGGTGGGAAAAGAAAAAGGCAAACAATCAAAATAGTTAATGAAGTAAATATTTTCTTAATGTAAACAATTGTTCATTGTACATGGACGGTCATTGAAACTCCTGTTACACGGCTGCTGCATTATATAGATACTAATGTTGGTTACTTTAAGTATATTTTTAATATTACAAGAAATGAAAATCCATTGAGCCATTTTTTATCTGCTTTAGCTTCAATCAAGTAATTTGGATGCAACAAACATTAAAATTCATGAAATGCAGCTGTTAAAAAAATTGAATTTTCAATGCCAGATATTAAATTAATGGACTATATTTGTTAAGCTTATTAAGTTTTTAGCCATTTTTAATGATGCAGACAAATTTTGAAAGAATACGAAAATTAATAGAAATTACTAACACGACTGAAAAAAGGCAACTGGTATGATTACAACAACAAAAAAATAACAATATTTAAACAAAAACTAACACAAGCTTGTAATCTTCTGGTGGAATATAGCCTTGGCGTTGACATACTTCTTCCAGAATCTGAAATATTGAAAAATTTTAAAAATTATTTTTATCAGTTCATGTTTATAAATTTTGTTTCAATTGGTCATCAAAATGTATTATTATTATTGAAATCAACTTAGTTGGTTGTAAAACTTGTAAAAATGACAGGGTAGCACATATTGAGCTTTAGGAGTAATTAGGGTGCATGCAAAATAAATCAACACTTCCCGTTTCTGCCCATTCACAGAAAAGATCCCACATATATCAGATTACAACTAAACATAAAAATGTTGAAATATGGAAGAAATGCCTATTGGAAATGCCTATAGGAAATGCCTATATGGTGCACAGTAGGTAAACAACCCTGCAAAGGAGACTACAATGAGAGAAGGTGCAATTCCGCATTGTTAGCTGGTCTTCCAGCATAATGGAGAGACACAAAAAAGTTGAAACGCTCTATTTTGAACTTGGCCCCTACGTTTTATTTATCTGCAGTAAATAAGGTCATATTTACACTTAAATGAATGAAAACAAAAAGGTTAAAATAAATGTCTGGTTATCAATTAAATTAAGTCTGCATGAATAACAAGCATTTTATTGATTGATATTTTTTACCAAATATAGAGTTGATAGGACTATTCACTTGACCTCTTCACCTTTCTGAGTAGACTATTATTGAAAATTATTTAACATGATCTTATTATTTTACTGAATACAATGCTCAATTTCATATATTTTTAATGAAAATAAAAGCATCATCAATTTCAAAAATCTGTAAAACAGTTTAATTTTTTTTTGCCAAAACCACTACTAGTCTAAGTCTAAGTAAGGCTACATTCAATGCTTCATTGCGCTCTATCTATAACGAATTATACTTGGTAGGGTGATTTTTTCGCTCACCTGGCTCTACTCATTGCTTTCATAAAATTAATCATTATTGTTAGTTATTAATTTGCGGAGGGCACGTCTCGCCCTCCTAAGTCCTAAGTCTATCTAAATCTTCTTTCTTTCATAATTTCATATTCATATCTTGACATTTAAATAAATAATTAGTGTGCAGTGGAGTGACATGTCTGCTGAGTCACTCAAACACTAAATGACTATTACTAAAACTAATTTAGTAATGTTAATAACAACAATGACTAATCATTTTCATTTGATTTTTAACATTTATTTTTTGAGTTTCTTTCATTGAATTAAATAATTCATAATTGAAATTGACTGACTGAAGAAGCCACTGAAGAGTGTGTGTTGGTTTTCCTATACAGAAATGTATATATTTTTTTAATAAATCCATTTTCTCCCCTTGATTTTACTACACCTGAAGCAGTTTTGTGTTGGGGTTAATTTTAACGTTCTGTCGTCTTCCATTGGGACATAAAACTTGCACGGAAGCAGCCATTTTAAACAGGGGAATTACTCTACTTTAGTTTCCTGTTAAGTCGCTTGTCTTGACAACCATTTTCATTGGACAAACTGGAGGACACTATCCAATCGCAAAAAGTGTGGAAAAGTAATAATGAAGGAAAATAGTGTTGTCAGTTGGTGCAAAGCAATAGTTTCTGTCAAATGTTAAAAGTGCGTCATTTTTTTTTTCTCTTGGTCTTAAGCGGAGAGATAGTTGTATGCCAGCACTACCCCATAGATTTCATTTGATCAGTTTACGCCTTATCGCTTAAAGTTATATTTGAAAATAGTTTAAGTGGTGAGTATGAAAAACATGAACGGACACATTCTTAGTTCTTCTAGTTCTAGTCCTAGTTTGTTGACATTTGTTTTGTGATTGGGTTCGGCTTTGTCATACATTAAAATATTAAATTTATAACATTTGAAATGTAAGTTGAATCTCATATGAGGACATTTTTTATGATGGAATCTGATGATTCAGATTTAGCCATCATTCAATTCAAATTCATTCAATCATTGCATTCATTTTCATATTCTCATTGGGGGTGGGCATCCATTCATTGATGAGTAGGCCTGCCTATATATGCCGTATTTATTGGCGTATAACAGGCACTTTTCTCTCTGAAAATAGGGGGCAAATCATGTGTGCTGTGTTATACACCGATATAATGTTTCAATTTTTTTTCCTGAAATTTCCTTTTTAAATTGAGGTGCGTGTTATACGTGTGGGAGGGGTGGGGGGGGGCGTGTTATTACTGTTATACGACAATAAATGTAATATGATATAGTATATATAAATATTAATATTATAATAAATGGTATATCATATAACTGTATAATCAGTGTATACCAACTTAATAGTGATATACTTCACTATTCACTAAACTTATACTCACTATGACTATAATGGTGTGACTATACTCTATACTTATACTTAACATTAACATTGTAAAATAATAATAGTGTGTATACAAGTTACTAATGTTACAGTTACATGGTCAATTGCCATTCGTTTCCTCTGAAAAAAGGTTAATCATTAATTACTTTTTCTATATAAACCTTTACTATATTTGATAACATCAATCTATTTCTATATGATTTAATGATGATGAGTCATGTGAAATGTAATTGGGCCATCCATAAAGAATTCAATAAAGTATGTCATGCTCCGTAAGGGGTCTAAGAAAGTGTGACAGTTTGTGATGAGGTTAAAAGCTTGTGTAACGAATTTTAAAAAGAAATATTTTTTTTAAAGTGGATATACTTTAGAAGGGGGTGGGATTCTGAGAATCAAAAAAAAATAAGATAAGGCTGAACATACTTTTCAGTAAAAGGTTTGTCTGCTGTGGGCAGGGGATGATATGTTATGAGGCTCCCAGTAGAACCAAAAGGATCCGGCTGATTCTGACAGGGAAAAGGAAGGGGATTGTAAAAAAAATAGTGTAACATACTTTATGGATGGCCGCAAAGATGTATTAACCATGTCAAATTTCTTTATAGGCTGTACTATATTTTTAAAAATGGTTTATGGTTCCAAGCCAAGGGACAGTGGTAGAGAACAAAAATGTGAAAGCCATTGGTCTAAACAAAGGCTCTATTTTAGTTTAAGTGTATGGATTTGATTATGAAATAGCCTATGGAATTTTTTTAATAAGTATCAGCCTTAAGTATAGTTTACAGTGAATAAAAAATTCAGCTATATGTGGCACTGTACAAATTAATGTATGAATTAAAATAAATTTGCACTCAGCCAATAGCCAGAAATTTGAATATAGTGATTTGATATGATAGAAATAACTGAGGAATATGTTCTTATAAATTTATATGTGCTTATCATCCTTTTCTATATGAGGCCAGTGAGTAAGCGTTCTGTGACTATCCTAGTGACAGTAATGAACAGGGTTTCTTTCAGCTATATCTCCGGTAGGGCACTGCCCCCCCCCCCCCCNNNNGGGGAAGCCCCACCCCCCCCCCCCCCCCCGGGAAAATTTAAAATTTCTGAAATAATCACTGGTAATGAATGTTTTGTGGGAACAATATTTGAGAAGAGGTCATTTATGGATGTGCACCTGACCATAGACCATAGAGTATATTATTCCACAATTATAATGTTAATAACTTGAAAAAAAGGAATTTGAAACAAACACACTTAGTTAAATTTTTTAAAATTATTATTACTAATTATGGGCAAAGATTTCTAACCTACTTGCTGCTGTATATTTCTACAATTTCATATGTTTATCTTTTTTTCTTTCTTTTTTCTTTGTTTAGATGGCAAACTTGGACTATATCAAACCTACTCCTTTAGGGCAACCAACTTCACGAGGTAACATTAAATGAAATTGATTTTTAAACTGATAAAACAATTTAGTTAATCATATAGTTGGTCAAAATTTGTAATAAATTTTCCTAATAAAAATATACATAATAGTTTAGATGGTTTCTTTATACTGTTGGTTTTTTTAAAATCTTGAGCTGGTATTAGGCTCAGGTTTACAGAAGACTTGTGAATGTTTTGTATTTCTTATTTCAGCTGTTGTTGGTTTAGCCAATCATCTGCTCTCTGAGTTCAGCATCCCAACCATAATAGAAGATGTCTCAGATATAAGTGCAGCTCTATTTGTTGTTCTGTATGAGAGCCTTTTCAGTGATCGCCTCCCTGGTAAATTATAAGCTTACTTTTAAATTTAAAAAAACAACAACTAGACTTTATGCCGTTTAAAATATACAGAAAATTCACACAATAAAATATTGTAAATTAGTAAATTTAAAAAATTATTTAACTATATTTATTAAAACTTAGGAATTTAAAGTGTTGATCTTTATTTTATTTTTTTTTTGTTGTTTATACCAGGTATAATACGTCAGCCTGTTACAAAAGAGGATGAAATTTACAATTGCCAAGTTGTTATTGATGTCCTTGCAACTGATGTAGTGCGTGATAACCTAAATCATATTAGGGGCGCTGATATTGTTGCAGGGAACATAACCTCTATTTCAAACCTTTTGGATATCTTCCAGTGCCTCTTGGAATACGTTGTCAATAAAATAGAAAGTGACATAGAGCGGGATGGTGAGATGTCTAGATGTCCTTGCCATGTTGAATTTTTTTTATAATATAACATAATTTGTTTTTAACACTCTCAGGTTTTTTTTCCTGTATATTGGGAACTATCAAACTGGAGACACTTACACATAAAAAAAAATTTAAACCAATGATAAACCAGGTTATCAGAGTAAATTAATAATTACAGCTTGATCTCAGTCTGCCTGCTTGTTAATCTGGAGAAAATTGATACTGTATTTAAGGACTTATGCTGATAATGAGTTTCAATTTTATTCCAATGATTTGATTTTGCTTTTTTATCCAGTCTCATTTATTAAAGGTACAGCTAAAATTTAAACAATAATCTTAATGTTATTTTTAGATTAAAGTGCTAAATAAAATTTTATTGCATTCATCTGCCTTTGACTCTATTTAGATACAAGATCTATCAGCTCAGTTGATTCTGAATCGTTTAAGCCTACAAGTACGAGACCACCTCAGAAAAAAGGACAGATTTCAAAGAAAAAAAGCCACAGTATTTCAAAAACAGTGAAGAGCAATATGACATTTTCTAACAGGTTTGTGTGTAAAGAAAAATTCTTTCTTGCTTAGAATACTTATCAATCTTCTAGAATTAGTCTTGAATACTAATTTTATTGAAAAAAATTGTTAGGTTGTTTTATTTAAACAAAATTTGTATAATAGTTTAAAAGTTATGACAGAAAGGAATTGATTATTGAAATTTCTCAGGACAAATAACAATGGTAAAAGAATTCCTTCAAAACCTGCTAAATCAGAACACCCAAGACCTGCAAGTCTGAACAAAAATGGTATGTTGACTCAATTTAGAATTGTTTTTCAAAAAAATAAATCGACCCCTTCTAGTATAGGATGTTGGCATAAATAAAGTATTTGACTCTTTAAAAAGAAGACAGTTCAGATTTATAAAGCAAACTGATGCATGATTGTTACAAGCAAGTCCGAAATATATGACCATATTTATGTGTTCTTTGATGTCAAGGTTACGCTAAACAAGCCATCTTTATCAAATTCCAAATTGGCTGCGACTATTCGAACCCGGGTACTAGAAGTGAGAGGTTGGGATTAAAAAACTATTTAAAATTTTATTATTTGGTTTGTAAGACAAAATGAGGTATCAAATGAAAGATAATTGAATGGACTATATTTTTGTAAACTTACTTCTTCAGTTTAAGTAAAATTAACTACCACAAATGACATACGAATAGCTTGAGTCTAATGGTATCCGGGTGCGAATGGCGGCGCTGCATGTCTGGGTCCATTTAGACTCAGTACTATTCGGATGTCATTTGTGTTAGTTTATTTTAGTTAAACTGAAGAATTAAATTTACAAACATATAGTCCATTCAATTATCTTTCATTTGATAAATCATTTTTTCTTACAAACCCAACAATAAAATTTTAAATAGTTTTTTTAATGCCAACCTCTCACTTCTGGTACCCAAGTACAAATAGCCACTTTGTTCCAAATTTGCTTTCATGGTAGACAGTTGATCAGACCTTCTGTTTTATTGAGGATTTATTAATGATCTACCACTGTGCAAGATGTGTCGAGTTGATACCAAGGCTGGCTGGTGCCTGTGAATTTTATTAGCCCTGTCTTAAGTAAATCATCTGGCTTTACTTTCTCAAATGTCATACACATGGTCCCAACCGTTTACTTTTTTTTTAACAGTGGAAAGAAAAAAAATTATAATTTTTGTTAGCTTCTCGTTTATTTTTAAATCAATATGATTTAGTGTGAGTAGAGAGCAATTAAATATCATTTATGAGAAATAATCCATTTCATTTGGTTTTATGTTTAAAATAGATGCTGACAACAAGACTATAATTTTTACGTTGAGCACATTTTCTATTTTAAAATCAAACATCTCCAGAGAACCGGAAAGCTTTTGACGATCATACAATCATCAATCATGAAGATTATTTCACCATGACCACAAGGGCACTTCCTTCACAGCAAACTGGCCGCCCTCCTTCACCTATCAAACCTGATCAATCCCAATCTTTTCTAGGGCGTAAGTAAAACACAACAGCACTTTGAGGTTAATATTTTTCATCAGTTTTAGTTTTCCCATTTTAGTTGTTTTTAAACTCTATTCAAAAATGTATCACAAAGTCTGTCTTTGAAGCTGGAAAACCTTGGCACATTAATTTAATGGTTAGGGTAAGTCATTATACAACCTTCAAATGGTGTAACATATTTAGTCAATAGATGAGATACATAAGTTCATTACTAAATGTTGTTCTTAGTCAATTGCATAAAAGGCCCTTTGAAAAATGATATGTCAAAAGAGAGCGTGTTTCCTTTAAACCAATTGATTTCTTCATAGTTGATAACTAAAGTTCCATTGATATAAAAATTGCCTTTTTCTTTTTTCAGAGAAAACAATTGATTCTGAGTTTGATGCTGACTTAGAGAAAGTACAGAAACAAACATTCATTTCATCCCTTGGATACCCAAAAGTAGGCTTCTCATTCAATCTGCTCATTTAATGATTAACTTTTGTTCTACATTTGCTTAGTATATTCTTTCTAATTGATGAACTAAACAATTTCTAATCCATGTTTGTAGAAAATATACATTTTTTTCATCAACTAGAGTGCATGGGATAACCAGCTTAAACAGCCCAAAGAAGCAGACTTGGTAGCTACAGACAGTTTATCACTCAAAAAGCAAGAGAACGCACCCGTTAATGGAAATGCTGGTTATGTTACAAGTGCTCCAGCTGTTCATGCCACCGGTAGTATTTATTACAACAGATAATTGCAAATGAAAAAGTTCATAATTTTCGTTTTATTAGAAGGCTGCTTATATTCATGGTTCAACTGATGAAAATTTCATCGGATATAACAGTGTAATTGTAATTCTAAGCAAGATGCATTTGTTACCTTATGTTGAGTTCTATTTTAATGACAACAAAGCTGTTCCAGATTCAGCTGCATCAAGGCTGCCATCAAGCACGTCTGGAGATGTAGAACAGCCGGATCCTTTTGGTTCTACTGGGAGCCTCATAACATATCATCCCCTGCCCACAGCAGACAAACCTTTTACTGAAAAGTATGTTCAGCCTTATTTTTTTTTGGACTAATTCGCTGAAACATAAAATGTTTATTCTTTTTTCAATATTTGATATAATTTTTGTTCTGACTATATGATTTGTTTTCTGCAACCTGCTTCCAAATTTAAAAAATATAAATTTATATCTGACAACCCATAAGTTTTCTTGCCTGATCTCAATTTTGACAATTATTTTGAGTTTTTTAATGTGTTTTTTAAGTTGCCTTGTCTTTTTATAAAGCTTGAAAATGAAATCATTCAGTCAAATCATTCTCTCTCCTCCTATTTTCAGATCAATATTTTTGCGTGTGGTTGCTTTAAAGCAAAATTGTTGAATAGATTTAATGTTCCCTTTGTCCCTTACTTTATCACTAACAGGAACTTTGAACATATTATGTAGCTGTAAAAAACATCTAACAGTTATCTGGATTCACAATAATATATTTGTGAGATTTCTTGTTTCAAGAACATGGGCTTCTCTTAATTAGTACTTGTACATGCATATCCTATGCATCTCACAATACACCTATATTGAACTATTTAATAATTAATAATTAAGGACATGCATAGTAAATCAACTCCATCATTTCCTGTGACTTTCAGAACATCAGAAATTAAAGGTCTTTCCAGTTCATACAGTGACTTGCGTCAATTAGTGGAGAAAACTGCTGCACTGACAAGGGTCGCCCTGGCAACCAGCCCAATTAGGCATAAAGATGTGGATTATCTGGATATCACAGATGTCACGTAATTTCAATAATTTACACTAACAAAATACAATTTAAATGAATAATGAATTAGTAGAACAGATATTTATTTGGGTAAATAGTTAAACTACATTCATCACTTTTGCAAAAATAAGTTTCAAATTTATAGATTAAGTAAATTTTTAAGTGTTATTTATTATCAAAGAAAGCATTTTAAATTTATTTGCTTTTAAAGAAACAAATTTTCAAATATTGGAATAATACATTTGGGAACAATTCTATTTATGACTTAACACTTTTATTAACACTTTTTGTTAAAAACTAATTTAGATTCTTATACATGTATAAAAAAAATTATAGTACTAGGACTTAACAGGGTGCAGTTTTTTTTTACACCGGGTCCAGGTATTTTAGAAATAGGACCACACACGGTCCAACACTCTACCTACCGGTCTTAAAACAATAGTTCTAAAGACAGTTCTTTAGACAGTCCTATACCATACCCCTGGCTCTTTATTGATTGTTATAATCACACTTCACTCACGACAGCCTTTTTTCCCCACTCAGTACTATTATTACTTACCATGTGGGGGGGGGGGGGGGGGGGGGCAGTTTCAAAAATGAAGCAGGACATACCAGAAGCAAAATATATGTAAGAGATATTGATTGGTGATTTAAAAGGTTTATGATTGTATAAAATATTGATCTGATCATAATTTTGTTACTGTCTTATTTTAAGTCGAGACAGACCACCAAAGTCAAAAGCTGTGAAATTAGCTAACACTGGGGATGCAGTCATTAGGATACCTACAAATAAAGAAAATGTAGGTATAATCTCACAACTTTAGGAAACTCATTTTTTTATTAAAATCAATGATTATCATGTTATATTCATCTACAGTGGAATGCAAAATGAAATTAAAATTGATTTTTGTCATTGAGGCTTTTAGGGGGAAAGAAACAAATAGCTTCATTCATTGTATTTGAACTCACTGAATGTCTAAACTTATTCTCTAATAATTGTGTCACAAGGTTCCAAGCAAGGCAACAAAGCGGGTTGTATTTGCTTCTCAATCAGACGTTGGCATACAGGACAGGTAAGATTGCTGAAATATTCTAAATACAATAAAACTTGTGTTCTGAGTTGGCGAGGATATGCTGCAGTTTTTAAATATACTCAAAACCAGAAATGCATTTTTAGAGTTCCTTGTTATGTCTCATATTTTAAACCGTTGATCCACATGCGTGTCTGTTTTAATACAGGTTAAGTGAGAGGAATTATCTCCACCCATCTAAGAGTGCACACAGAGCCAATGGTTATCACAGTAGCACAGAGGTGTACACAACTTCTGGTTTTCACAGATACAATGGACGTGCCTCTGACTATGTTTACAGTGATTTGGATAGAGAAGGGAGGTAATGTATAAAATTTCAAATAATTGATTTTTAATAATGTTTTATTAATGAAATCAACAAAGTCAAAGGCACTCACATGTATATAAACTATTTCATTTCCCTTTAGCTGATGCAATTCTATCTCATTATCATGTATATAAACTATTTCAGGTACCCTCTTGCTGATGCTAGTCCATCTCATAAACTTGTTACACAGAAAAAACCAGCCACAACTAAACCAAAGAGACAGACATTAGCCAAACATCTAGCAGCCAACAGACAGCCAGAGCTAGGGGCAGCTCTTATGACCCTAACAAATGAAGATAAGGCCTTGAGGCAAAAACAACAGGTAGGATGTTGTTTGATTATATGGTCGATCTGTTGAGTTACTTTAAAATAAGATGTTGCAGTTCTGTTTGCAATGTGCTGTTCTGTTTGCAATGTGCAATTCTGTTTGCAATGTGCTGTTCTGTTTGCAATGTGCTGTTCATTTTTCAAGTGAGAAATGAAACAAAGTGTTCAATCTTTAAAAGCTTCTATAAATATTAAATATTCACAATGGAAATAAAGTGAAGATATTTTTTTTAATAAAATTAAGTCTTGACAACTTGTTTACCTTATTTTATTTTTACCTTATTTGTTTACCTTATTTTTTATGTTATTTCATCGTAACATCAATAATATTCCAACTCTACACTCGCTTCTTGTAGACCATGACAAAAATTAATTCTTCCACAAAATTTACTGTTGCTGAACTCACTAGCTGTAAAACTATGAATGGATGCAAATGTCGTCTCTCTTTTATTCTGCCTTAAAATATTTAAATATGATTGATCAAAGTTCGAAAATATGATTGATCAAATGTTCAAAAATATTATTGATCAAAGTTCGATGCTAGACTTTTGACTTAATCTCAGAGTAGCAGCTGAGTTGTTTATATTTTAGTCAACAAACGACTTTTTTCAGATTCTTCGCAAGTTTTATGAAAAAGATCACGAGGATTTTACAGAGGATGTGGAATACATGATAGGAAGAGATGTGCAGCAAGCAGATGAAGTGGTGAGACCATATGGTGTATTCTTCTACAGCTTTAGCTTCAGCAGATTGATTTATTTGAAAAAAATGATTTTTTTCTTCTTTTCCGATAGATTTTGAAGAAAATTTGAGTTCTTGTATAAGCTATTTATTTGTCTCCCCCGAGTTTCTTAATATTAATTTTTATTGACGAAACTTTCATTAACACTGATTTTATTTCAATAAATTTAAAGGCTGGTTTTAATTAAGTTTTTGTTGAAGTACCGGTACAGAGAACCATTTTTGACTTCATCTAATGAAACTAAAAGGAAGTGAAATATTTTGATGATGGTGGAGTCCTTGTATTAAAAAAATCAATCTTTGATACATTAATGGTGTATAAATTTCTATAATTTATGTATTTCAGGAGGAAGAGTTAACCAGAAAATGTGCAGAGGGAAAGCCAAAAAAGAAACTCTTTAAAAAATCCAAAGGTGAGAGTTTTGATAAACATTTTTGTTGTGATCCTTAACTTTAAAACTTTTGCGTTACAGGCATCAGATTTTGATAATTTTTTGGGTTGTTGACCAAATTGAGTTATGAGAGGAAACTTTTTATCCTCATGTTGACTTCTATAACTTTTATCTTACAACTGTTGTTGACAGGAAAATTATCTTCATACAAGAAAGGGAAGGTCAGCAGCAAAAGTTATCAGAAAAGTACTGGCGGAAAAACATTTGTCAGCTCCACACCTACTTGTGAGTGGCTTTGTATAATACCTCAATAGATTATTGTGTTAAGTGCACTATAAAAAGACATGGTAAGGTATAGAGCACTTCTATCATTATTTCTTGAATTAATCCAGTGCGTATGGGTCAAGGTCAGTAATGAGCCATTCTTTTAATGCCCTTCAGTGACTATAGAAAATGAAGAGGATCTTTTGCCGACAATGTTGGAGGAATTCCCTCACCTTCATCTCAGTGGACACACCTGGCATGAGCTTTGGAGAAAAAGTCTACACCAAATTGAGGCACTGACAAGAACTTACCTGGCAAGTCAGCGTAAAAAATCAAATGCCCAGACCCAGGTGAATAAAACTGAATTTTTTTTTGAGTAATTCTAAACTTATCCATTTATTGAATTGCCTTAAATATATTTTTTTTTCTTTAATTTTTTTTTTTCTTGAGATTTCCAAGATCATTAAAAAAAATTTAATCCCTGCTTTTCTTATCTTCAGTTGGAAGAAGCTGGTGGGAAGCATCAGTTGTTATCAGATTTGATGAAGGACCAATTGGAACATCACAGAAGATTGGTAATATCCAAAAATCAAACCTCTTTATTGTCTGCATTATGCTAAAAATCAACATGATCTTTTATCCCCTTTGTATGTTAGGGAGTTTAAACAATAATGGGCTTTATATTTTCAAATCTACCAAAACAAAAATTAATATCCAAGCGCCAAACTTTTTTTTGAAACAAATGTTCAAATTATTCAAATATTTTTCTACTGCCAGCAAAACTTAAAAACTTCCACAGTTTACTGGAAAAAAGTTTTCATCTCTTCAATAAATTTTCCTTCAATTTTTTTATTTTTTTTTGTGTGGATCAGCAAGAAATTAAACAACAAAAACAGCAGCAGATTCGGGTGAGAAATAAAGTCAATGAAAAACGAATTCAGTCGGCCAGGGCTCGGTGTTATTACAATGAGTACCAAGTGAGAGCAAGAGCTAAGCAGCTCAAGAGAAGGACAAAGGAAGAAATGGTTTGTTAATCCCTCCTTCAGTTAATCAGCTTGTAGCTATATTTTTGTCTTAAACGAGTCACTGTCTAGAAACTTGTGGAAGATTATACTGTTGTTAAATGAGAGATGGATGGCATTGTAATGTTCCTAGTGTTTATTGACATAACATCACATGTTCACGAGGGTTCAAAGGATTGTGTTCTTAAACGGTATGGGGTCATCCTTAAAGGACATCTACATGGGAGGAAAAGGAGGGGGGGAGGGGTGTTTGGTTGTGTGTCCCGTTCAAATGCGGACATGGGGGAAGGTTTGTAATGGATCTTGCAGACATCCACATAAAATCAAATACTCAAAAATCAATATCCCCCCCCCCCTCTCCTCCCGGCTGGGCATACATAATCAATGGATCCATATCATTGACCCCTGGCTGGGCATACATAATCAATGGATCCATACCATTGACCCCCGGCTGGGCATACATAATCAATGGATCCATACTATTGACCCCTGGCTGGGCATACATAATCAATGGATGCATACCATTGACCTCCAGCTGGGCATACATAATCAATGGATCTATACCATTGACTCCCGGCTGGGCATACATAATCAATGGATCCATACCATTGACCCCTGGCTGGGCATACATAATCAATGGATGCATACCATTGACCCCTGGCTGGGCATACATAATCAATGGATGCATACCATTGACTCCTGGCTGGGCATACATAATCAATGGATGCATACCACATAATCAATGGATGCATACCATTGACCCCTGGCTGGGCATACATAATCAATGGATGCATACCATTGACTCCTGGCTGGGCATACATAATCAATGGATGCATACCATTGACCCCTGGCTGGGCATACATAATCAATGGATGCATACCATTGACCCCCAGGCTGAGCATACATAATCAATGGATGCATACCATTGACCCCCCGGCTGGGCATACATAATCAATGGATCCATACCATTGACCCCCAGCTGGGCATACATAATCAATGGATCCATACCGTTGACCCCTGGCTGGGCATACATAATCAATGGATCCATACCATTGACCATACTGAGGGAGCACCGTAAATTTTGCTGAATGTGTCCGAGGACGTCCACAACCCTGGGGGAGGGGAGCAGGAAGCCACATGCGAGCAAGGGGGAGAGGTGGTGGGAAAAAATCTTACTTTGGTGGACATCCTTAATGGCAAACCCATATCGTTGGATAATATCATTTGACTGAATAATGAACGCTCATCCTTTATGGCAAATCCATCTCAGATAATATCATTTGACTGAATACTGATTCTCTGATCATTGTTATTTTGATCATGTTTTCTCCATCCATTGTGTCTGAGATTAAAATTTAGATATCTTATATTTGTGCCATGTTCCATACTTCAGGTCTTTCGGGAGCTATTCAAAGATGCTTTGAATATACAAAAGGAGAGAATCCAAGATATTCGACGCTATGCTAATGATCTGCGCAAGCGACAGGAAATGACAAGACAAAATCAGATTGACTCTATTGAAAACTTGTATCTTTTAAAATATTGCATGCCATTAATTTTTTTTTTTTTTTTTTTAAATGTGTTTGTTTTTCTATAGTGTTGAAATTAAGCTAGAAAAGACAAGCTCTAGTCGGGTTGGGGGAAAAGGGGCTTAAGATATTAGATTGAGAGGCAGTGATCACAGACTAAATAATTTTGTTAATAACTTCTAATTCAACCATCCCCTCTGCAACTTTTTAAAATCTTGATAATGAACTTTATTGAAGCTGATTTTTTTTTACTTTTGGTAAACAAATTTCATTTGAACATTAGTTGAACATTAGCCTTTGATTACTTGCTTTTCATTTACACAGTATCTAAGCTACCGAAAAATCTGAACTTCAATAGTAATCAATTTACCATCACCTGCCTAACTGTTCAGTTAAACACTTCAAGAATAATTTATCCAAATATATTTCCTTAACTATAATTAGTTACAATGACCAGTTTGCCATGCTAGCAGAGAGGCTTGCCAAGGAACGTCTGGAAACAGGGCTTAGAGAGTCTGCTCAGCAGAAGGTAATTTTTTTCATTTAATATTATTAAATTTTTTTTATTTTTTTTTTTTAAAGTTTATAATTCATTTTTTTTTTCAAAATCTCTGTGTCAACAGCTGTTGGAGAGAATGAAACGAGAACTGCGCAAAAAAATGGAGGAAGAAATAAAACAATACCAGGAACAAATATTTCATGATGATGATGATGTGCATTTCCGACAGGTGGATGCTGACAGATTAAGGAAGCATTTACACCATGCTCGATACTCTTGTAAAATCTAAATGTAAAAAAATCGAATCAGAATAATTTCCCATTCCAGACTATTTTAAATAGTCGTTACATAACTATAAATAAACTAAATAATTTATTTCATTACTATATAAATTAGAATTTCATATTAGAATATTTTGAAACAAATGTAAAGGGTCAAGTTGTCCACATCACGTTTTTTAAATGGTAGGAAGGTTAATTTGATATGATGAAATTATGGGTATTTTTGAAGAAAGTAAAATAATGTATTTATTTTTCAAAAGTCTTCAAGAGTAAATGGAGAATGTTTAAAAGATTTTTTTTTTTTTTAAAATCACATAGAGTGGTTTGTTTGAGATGTTCTCGTAAGTTTTGTGGGCAACTCCACTATTTGAAACTTCACATAACCCTGAATGATAAACATTGTAATATTTGAATGAGGTTTTTTTTCCCCCATGGACACATTAGTGCTTGACTGCTGAAGGATGATGCTGAACCAGAGAAATGTATCATTTATTTGACTGAGCCTTTTATTTATTACCATTCTTTTAAGGCTGAAACATCACATGAAAAAATCTCTTGATTTGCTGTATTAAAAAAGTCACCCAACATGTTAATTTTGTTTGCTTACTTTTTAAACGTTATGTCCCTCACTGAAGTACTTGTCTCAACATAGGTGTCAAGAATTTGAGTGTTCCAAAATGTTTAATTAGATTACACATTAGGCTTTTAAGCACAACATAAAAATGTATTAACCTTTTTAAGAAATTACAAACTTTTGAATTGCAGGACTTTTTATAAACATCTGTAATTTTTGTTTTTCTGGTATCAAAAGTCTAAAATTGTGATAAACATTGAAAATACAGGACAAGAGGACATTTTTTATTATGCCAAGCTAACTGTTCTGAATTACCAATTATTTGATATATTAGCATGAACTGGCAAGAGCCAATTAACAGACGAAGACAATGAGGAGCTTGTTTCAGACATGGCTGTAGCCTGGTCTAAACACTAAGGCTGAAACTGAGAAATTGAAAATTCAATCTGAAATAAAATGGCTCCTAAATAAGTTTTAAAATCTGCTTGCTTATCGTTTTATTTAACAAATTTAATGGAATATAATAAATTGATATTATGTGCAAACATTCACTGTGGCATTGTTGTCCGTTGTAATACAAATTTTGTCATGTCCATTTTCACATTTCTGATGTGGCATTTTGTAAATGTCATTAAGTTATTTTTAATAGATTATTTACTAAAAAGTTTAGAATTTTTCAACTGTTTAATCTATACTTTATCATCATTTTATTTTATACAATTTCTTTATGTACCATCACTTTAAAAAATCCTAAAACTTTTATTCTTTTAAAAGCTGGTAAATGAAACTGTTTCCTCAATGATTCTTGATCTATGTTTGACAATTGTTTTTTTTTCTGGGTACAGAGCAATATAAGAATTAAAATAACATCTAATCTAAATTAAACAGTCTGTCGTTAGTGAATTGTTTTGTTGTTTTTTTTAACCTAAGTTTTTTTTTAAATTTTTATTATTTTTTTTTTTAGATCAGATTTTTTATTTTTTTTTATTTCATGCTTAGGTAAAAAAAAAAAAAAAATTTTTTTTTTTTTTTTTTATTTTTTGTTTTTTTTTTATTTTTTTTTTTTTTTTTTTTTTGTTTTTGTTTTTTTTTTTTTTTTTTTTTTTGGTTATGTAAAAAAAAAAAAAAAATACTGGGTGAAGACTTGCTGGAACTAAGGTAGAGTTAATATTATCTAGAGTTGTACAAGCACACACGAACTTGATTCAGACAGCAGCAGATATCCTCTTATTTTAAAATGATGCCTATAAACTTAAAGATTAGATTAGGACCAAGAATCTAGAATTCAAAAGTTTATCAGAGGTTAATTTACCTGTACCAGTAATAATTATCCTATGTCTGGATTTCCTTGAAAAACTTTTCTCATCATTTAATACAACATAATTTCTGTAAATCTTTTCCTGGGTCCATATTTAGGTTTTTTTGCATTTAGGAAAAAAGACTCAAGTTTTTTCACTCAGACCTCTCAGAAGTAATATGATTTGTCCAGTTGTCAGTCTTTTTTACCTTTTTAAATCTTGTTGGCAGATTAAATTTCCAACATGAAATTGGATATAGTATAAAATGTTTTTACTCCTCCCCAAAACCGTTCCAACATATTTGTTTATTAATAGTATTACTAAAATTTCACTATCCTTTCCCTCCGTCCCAGCACATATTGTTGATCTCTGTGAGAAACTCCATAATTGGTATTTGTCCAAGATTTTAGAGCATTTAAATAATTTCCTAACCAATTTGTCTAATGGCCCATGCTAGAGTGAGACTGCAGCTCTGGTGTAAGCTTCTATAAATCCGAAATCTCTAAGTAACATCTCAATGTAAGTTTTGGCAAGCAACAATTCACAAACATAATGAACATTTTTATTGATGAATGACATTTAAAAATAAAAGACTTGATCATCTGGGTTCTGAACTGAGTTTTATTACATTAAATTGTACATCAACATATAGTCCCTGTTACATTGATGATGAAGGGAAATCTGACCCATCAACACAGTTATCTATTTACATAAGCCATGACTGTGTTACTCTTTGTTTCACTGTATTGGTTTCTTCCCTTCTACTATGACAACAAATAATCTGAAGACAACAGCTGTTGCAGAGAACAGGTCTAACTAATGATGATGTGCAAACAACTAGTTTTCTATGTCAAACAGTATGGGCTTTATGGGTTGTCTGGCATCATATACAAATTAAGAGACAACGCATTACAAATAAAATTGGGTCTAATTTGCCTGCAAATGTTATTTCTTATATTGAATAGTTTGATTGAATGGAAGGAGAAAATAAAACTGGAAGGCATCATCTTCCGTTTTAGTTCCTGTGTTCATTGAATTGGTTAGTAGAGGTAAGAGCAGATAAAGATTCAACCAATAACTTATCAAGCGTGTTTAAAAAAAATAGTGAAAGTTTCAGACAAATTTAAATACATATGAATGTTCATTGTTAAATCATCCTTTCCTCAACTGTCTAATGCCCACACAAGTTGATGTCCCTTGACTATATCCCCTTTTCAATTCAAGGACGAACTGATTCCAATCAGTAAATCAGTCAAATGAGGAAGGATCTCTAACAGGCCCAGAAGAATATTGCACAAGTAAAGTGAGAAGAACATATAATGCTATAAATACACTCAGTGAAGGTGTCTTCTAACAGTGTGACTCCTATAATCTAAGCGGTCATATCTATGACAGCAACATTCAACATAAAAGTCTCAATGCATGATATTACAATTGACAATGAAAGCAGTTCTATCAGAACAAAGTTGAGATTACCAACACAATTAATTTCACTATAGCCATAAAAAAAGAACTCAGAGATTTTGAAAAAATTTAGTTTTGTTGTAACTTCAAACAAATACTAAAAATCATGCTGACAGGCCATTGGGACAAGATTTTACATTCAATGAATGTTTCCTTACATCTGTTGCTTTTCAAGAAACTAACCACTTTACTTTAAAACTGCATTTATACAAATAGCTAGTAGCATGCTGGAAGACACGCCCTATCCCAAGTGCTTAGCTCTCAGTGATATATCATTTTCAATGTCCACTTAACACTTTTTTATTTCTATACATGCCTTGCTCCAGTCAATTTTCTATCTTTAGATTCAATCTTTTTAGGAAAAGAGACCTTTAAAATTGCTACATTTTGTGGTGGTGGTGGGGGGGGGTTGTTATTGGTTTATTTGCAAAACATTTGCCGGAGGTGTTGATTTTATTTCTGTTATCATCTTTGATCTCATTAAATAGCCCTATCAAAGCAGTGCTACTCAACCCAAATTGACCCATCCTTTCAATTCTCACTCCACAACACTGTTTTGTTTTTCTTCAAATTTTACCCCCCCCCCCCTCTCAAAAGATCCCTTTAATCTGTATAAATGAAACTTTACATTCTTAGACAATAGTGTTAACATCCCTTGCATTCAATTTACCCTATCAAAGCAGTGCTACTCCACCCAAATTGACCCATCCTTTCAATTCTCCCCCCACAACACTTTTTTGTTTTTCTTCAAATTTTACCCCCCCCCCCCCTCTCAAAAGATCCCTTTAATCTGTATAAATGAAACTTTACATTCTTAGACAATAGTGTTAACATCCCTTGCATTCAATTTAATGTTACTTTATTATTTAAGAAAGTCACAATTATGCATAAATACACACCCACACACATAGATATTATTTTATGACATTGGTAACACAGTTCATCTCTGTGGATATTTTTGTGTGTGAGTATTTAGCACATTTAGTTAGTTTGTAAAAAAAAAAAATGCATCTTTCAGGAATATGTTCAAGTTCTTTTAATGTGATTTGGAATGAGAAGCAAGCTTGTTTGCAAAATGGAATGATAAAAAAAATTGCTGATCTAATTATGATATTTTTATAATTACCAAAACAACTACATGTAACTAGAAAATTTATGCCATTCAGAAAATAAAACAAAATTCTTGAAAGAAATTTTAGTTCCCACAATTAGTTTTGCTACAACCTAAATTGATACGATTAAAATTTCTTGAGGAAAATATTTAGTTAATAAAAACAAAACAAAAACAAATTTGTAAGTTTCCTTGGCATACAAACCAAAAATATTTAAGATCTTTCCAGGATAATTTTTTTTAAAATTTAAATTAAGTTACTGCTGTCCTAGTTACAGAACTAAAGCAAATAAATAACTATTTAAGAAAATCATGAAAATGAATTATGAAAAAAAAGGCTAGGTTTGTTAATGTTACCTTGGTTCCAGTTAACTTACAGATATTAATTTTTTAATATTTAATTTTTTTGTAACCTTTTTTTTCTCAATATACCATTGGTGGTATTAGTCTCAACTAAAACATTCCAAATAGGCGCCTATGATATCATTGGTTTATCTGTACACTGATGGGTAAACCAAATATTAACTGATTTGTCCTTTAACAATAATATCACAGATGATGCAGATCTAATAGAACACGCTGAAGAGCTAATTTGATCACCCAAATATTAGCTTAATATGCAGCAGACAACTTTTGTGCTTTTTAATAAGTCATTTTATTTTTATAAATATAATTTTGTAACTGAGCCTAATATTTTTTTCTAGGTAATAATATGTTAGGTTTCATTTTACTATGACAATTTTGACTTGAAGGCATTGCACAGGCATAAAGATGGGGTTGGCTTGTTCCTGTAGTTTTGAATGCCAGGGAGCTCACCTAGCAGAATAGCACTAAGATTGACAGCCCAGGTGAGACTAAACTGCATAAGACCCACACACCTGGTGTAGAACAGAATAGAAACCTGACTCCGCTGACAGCTGCCACATTAGCAGAGTTCCTTAGCCATTGCATCAAGCACTAGGACTGAATGACTTAAACCTTAAATCTATGACTAGCAGGGGATCCCAAACAAATGGCATAAACTTGATGGAGTGACCAAAAGTCAGCTTACTCACAAGTCAACATAGTGAGACTTGCAAGACCTGTTCAAATATTTTTATTAGAAATACTGGTAAAAAAAAACTAAGTCAAACTAAAGCACAGGAATTTTAGGCAGCTCTTTGCAAGATTATTTCTTGCTGCACCAAAGGTCAAATAGCTGGTCATCCATCTCAGAAAAATCATCTTTCTGGCCAACCATCCCTGAAAGGTCACCTATCACGAAAAGTCATCCATCTGACCATCTCCAATAGGTCACCTAGCTGGCCATCTATCACGAAAAGTCATCCATCTGTCCCTCTATTTCCAATAGGTCACATAGCTGGCCAACCATCTCTGGTCACCTTCTTGGACAACACTGAACTACTGACTCATTGAAAATGAACACATTTTTGACAAAAATGTAAGTAAAATTTGGCTTTTGATTGATGTACATTAGTTAAGTTGCTCCAGGCAAGAACTCTTATGTAAATAAATATGCACAAAAATATTTTTTTTTAATATAATAGTTTTTTACAGGCCATCACAATGTATTTGCTAGCAAATAAATGTGCCAAAGTTATTGAAATCTTTAACTCTAATAAATAAATGATTAAGGATTTAAGAGAATCAATGGGAATTTTGTAATATTTAGTCCACAAGATAGTGACAGCTCTCAGCAATCTCTTTTCTGACATTAAATCATGTACATATACTTTTATCATTACAGTATTGACTTCTTGAAGAAAACGCACTAGAGAAATTGTCACCAAAAAGTTTTTGAAGTTTTCTGTCCTGGGGTTAGAATAGGATTATTTTCAAATGAGTGGTGTCAAATACTGAAGTATTAATGTTATTAAGAAAATATAAACAATTACAGCACACCTGACAGATGGAATTAATTCAATAATACTGAGGACAACAAAAAAAAATCACTCCTTTTTCAAATGTCTTCTAAATATTTAAACAAACCAGAAAAAGGATATCCAAAACCAGGGGGCTAAACATCTGCACACAATCATGGTAGTCCAACAAGTATCTCATCATAAAAATGTCTCAAATAATCTGATTGGTCCTAGAATTCTAGAAAACTAATCAAAATTCTCCAAAGACACAGACAAATAGAAAGCATTTGTGCTGAATGAACTAGATTAAGTAAGGAAGAATTATTTGTTATCAGAGATTATGTTTGATAATAATAAAATTTGTTATGTAAATACGTGAAAGTAAATTGGTTTTTATATGGTTGTATGGTGGGACTGAGTTATAAATGAATAAATTATGATGATATAAATATTAAGAAAAGCCTTTGGGAATCATTTCTGAAACATTTTTGTCAAAAGTATAAAAATGTTCAAGGAAAATATATATAGTATAAGCAATAGCAGGATATGTCATAAATATAATAAACTGTATGCAATGATGTTTATTAGACGAGCATTAAACAATTTCCTGCAAATCTAAGTTTCAAATAATGCAATAAATTTCTGCCTTGTTAACCCCATGAGATATGAACATTATCATTTACTGTCTATATCATTTCCTCTGCCCATGTTGGAGCACCAGTCTCAGCGTAAGTTTTATCAATAACCCTGATTAGAGTTTTTAAGCACCTACTTGCAATAAATAACAGATTTAATTGATTAGCAAGATCCAATTACGACATCAAATATTCTGAAACTTAATATCATCAAAGCATTTTGCATGTCACATTAATTAGTCCTTTAGAATGATTAGAAACTCTTAATAATAGCAACAGAGACAAAAAACATTAATCACTTCTTATATTATTTTTGTGCAGTTATTACAAAATTATTCAAATCAATAATTAAAACAGCCTTTCAAGAAAAATAGTTCACAGCGTTCAACATTTGCCCACGTGGGGAATGACTTTAGCAACACATTAATGAGCACATAATCATACTGGAGACATTGTTATTGAAAAAAATTGACTAATATTGCACAGCAAAAAAAAAACAACTCTTACTAGAGTATAATCAACATTTCAAACTTTGTTATTTCAATGAAACAAGCTGAGAATGTTGTCAATCACTTATTGATTAAATATTAATTCATTATGTTGTTTCTATTGAAAAGTGGAGATGAAGAAATATATTATTTTACCTTAATTGTTATAAATAATTATAAATTATGCGTGTATAAATGAATCATAATCAATAATTTGGAATAATCTTGTTATAATATGAGTACGAGCAGATATTTCCTGATTCAAAGCCATTCTTGAGGCACGTTCCTCCCTCTGTGTACATGACAATACACTTACAATTTCAGAGGTTGTTACAAGTTTTAAAAATGAGCGCAAACATGTCACTTTTTTTTTTATTGAGTCCTATTTATAAATTCATTTGGACTCAAATTGGACATTGAACAAAAAAATGGACATCTTGATTTTCAATGTGACATAGTCTGTCAATGTCATGTGCCCAAACCAGATCAGTAAGTACAGTGTGATGACATTTTTCTACCCTGCAGCACTGATTCTAATACTTAAAAAAAAATAAAAAAATATTCAGTTCCATCTCTGTGTAGAAAATACCATATTCATGACTAAGACAACATTGTACATAAATATCTTATAATAAACAGTTTATTATTCACATCAAGGGTGACTAGAAACAAGCAAGTGTTGTTTTATCTTTAAGTGCTCAATATAAATAAGCTATACAAATTATTATGACATTGTAATCATATTCCATGCACAACAAATTGGAAAATGAACTTTTTTGTTCCCTTGAAGTAATATTTTTAAATATTTTCAACTCTTTAAAATCCTTTATTTATGCATTATGTTATTACTGACAATAATTATGAAGCAACATCAAATTGTAAAATAGCATAAAGTCATAGTCAGAATATTACATATACAAATATTCACAAAGCTATCTACAAAATAATTCAAGGTCTTTTTAAAGAATTTAAGTAATGTTATTGTTTCTAATTTTAAAAAAAACACAGAAAAGGCATTGTTCAAAAGCTTGCAAAGTCTACAGAGAAAAAAAAATTGTTTCTGTCTGCTCTGTACTTGATCTTATTACCTCCAACAAACAAGAAAGACTATGTCAGTGACCCTACATCTCTATTACAACGTAATCAGTGGCGGAGTATTTCTGTTCCAACAGGTCAAAAATTTCAGCTCGAAATCTGACAGCTTACTTGGAGGAGAGATTTTCAGATGCTTGTTGGGCCTTGACGATATTATAACATGCTTGACATACCCTCACTGGCTTAAGAATTCTCAGTCTCCTAATTTCTGTTTCAAAACAGCTGCATCTGAAAAGTGGGAAATTAGCATTACAATAAAAGCTTGCAAGTGGAGACCTACATTTATTTTATGGTGTCCAACGTTTAATGAGATTTTTATTAAAATAGTACCTCTAATTTTATTTACACAATAAATGTTTTTGACAAAGAAGTGGAAAAACTAAATAGAATCTATAAATTGAGCATTTTAATGTGAATTATTTTAAACAAGTCAATCACTGTCTTAACTGACATAATTGCTATAAATTTTCATCTCTAACATTTGTGTTAAGGTGATAAGTAATTAGTTAAAGGTAAGTATGACTTTTAAGCTAGCCAAGTAAGGTGAGGAGGTGGAGGTAATTGAGTTCTTACTTTGAGCAGAAAACATTCCCACAATTCCGACAGTGGTGTCTCCTTTCTGCAAAGGAGAATTTGACCCCACATGTTGGACAGGATTCAGCACCATCGTCTTTGACCCAGTGGTCAGCAACGACTCGACCAGGCTGGCTGGTTACTGTCCAATTCCAGATTCTTCCTTTAACATCTCCAACATAAACTGTTTTATGATCCCTTTAAAGAAAAAAAATGTCTAAATGTAATTTGCTGCCCTCTTGGATACTGCTTCTCAGCTAATTGCTATTTTTTAATTTTAATTTTATTCTGCTTTTTCTGTTTTGTTCGCTGACAAAGGCTTCCTGCCGACACTTTCATTGTTTTGTTGCGCTCCTTTTCAGGTTTAACCTTACTTTGTTTTACTAATTTCATATCAGTTGTTTAATATGTTACCTAACCTTATGTCTGGTTCATGTTTCTTCTCGGGAAAGTAAACTGAGAAAAATTCAATCTAACCTTTTCTTACACATGGATTCTAGACTTGACTTTAGGGGCAAAGAATTTGATTAAATATTTTGACATCATCTTCATGGTTGTATATAAGTAATACAAGCTATTTAAAATTCATTTTAGAAGGTGATTAGGACTAATGCTTGGAAGGTTGTGTAAAACGCTTGAACATCAGGTTAAATGGTTTTGGAAATGTTAAAGATAACCAAAAACAAACTAGGATGATTCTAAGGTAAATAAACTAAAACAGATATCCAAGTCTTTTATGTTGATGAAATAAGGACTAGTGGGCACCAAAGTAAAGAATTACATTGTTAATAGGAATAGATTAAGATTTTGACCTACTTGGACAATGCTATTGCTGTGACAGCTGCAGGCTCCTTGTTATCTTTACGTTCAAATGCTGTGTGCATGGTTAATTTACTGCGGAACACAAGCTGTCTCTGCCAGCAAAATCCTGATAAACAAATGAAAGATCAGTTGAGATTTCTGTTAGTTTTCTAAATTAATATTTCATGAGAAGTTAGAAAGTGGTCCAAGACTGACTAATCTACTTGTAAATTTCATGCAATTCTTTATAAGTTATGGGCTGAAAGCAAAACCTTAAACATGGTGCAAGATACCTTCTCTTAGTGTATTTTTTCCAATGGGCTTGTACTTCCTCAACAAATCCTCTGTGGCTGTGCTTGATCTTTTCTTTGATTCTGATACATCTGCATCACTGATCATTTCAAAGGATTCACTGCGAGTGATGTCACTTTCACTTGCCTCAGTGGTGGAAGAATGCCTTTGGTTTGGTACCTAGACATTCCCATACAATTTTGAACTTAATTATAGATTTTATCTCGTCAACCTGTACTACTTTATAACTGAATTTTTTTCCGAGATGACTTTTTTAAACAAATAATAAAAATGTAATAAATAAATTTCATTCTTCACTCTGATTTTAAATGTGTGCTCTCTTTCTTTTTGACCGTATGCTGCCGTAAAATTGAAGATGAATAGGTTTGCTCCAAATTGAGGATTGCTCCATTAGAATGATATGTGTCGATATCTACTACATACCTCTGACATGGAGTTTCTGTCTCCAACACTTCTCTTGGTCTCAGCACCGCTGCTCTCATCATTGGAAGTGTTTCCACAGCCAAGTTCAACCAAGGCATCAGCTGCAGTATCAATGCCATTACTGCCTGATTTTAGACTGTGCTTGTCCACTTCAACACCTTCCTGGACACTTATGACATCTTCTGAGGCTTTGTACAAATCACTTGCACTGCTTGTGGTGCTCAGAGTGGAACCGTATGCACTCTTCCGCTTCTCCCAAGTGTCTTCATCTCTTAGCCTTTTGGCAAACGGACTGTCTTGTTCTTCAGATGACCCAAGGTCACAATCCATGGCTGCTAGAAAATCTGGGTCTTTGAAATCTTTGAGCATATCAACTGCAGGTTTCCCATCACTGTAGCTATCACAGGATTCATGGCGAGAAAGTTTTCTTATTCCTGTATATCCCTCACTTGAGCTGTGGCGGGAAATTTTGCCGACTGTATTTATGGGTTGAGAAGTTGCAGAATTTGGGGATGAACTTTCATCTTTAGCTGTGCCTTTTGTTGCAGGAGCGGTATCTCTGGGAACTTGAACATATTCCACACTCCACATCTGTCAATAAATGTGACTTTTTTTCAGAACATGCTATTTTTATCATATTTATAACACAGGTCAGATGACTTTTAGGTCTGTTCCTAGTGTTATTTGGACGTTGATTCCTAAAATTGCATCTGATTTACCTAACAACACTAGTTTTTTAAGATATGGTTGAATTTTTTAAAATTTAGTCAGCTCTATACACAATATCTTATGCAGAATCTGAATGTCATAAAAATCTTATTTATTTGAATGGAAAACATATATATTTAAAATACCCTTATTTTTTGTGTGTATAAAGACATTTGTCTACTTCCTTTCTATAAAACACAGTCATAATATTTTAAGGACAAAATCTTCCTTCTGCTTTTTCAATTAATTATGTGCAAAATACATAAATGCTAAATTATGATTTTCATAGACTACATAAACTCTTATATCCAAAGTTTCCCAGCCGGATTTTTTTTTTAAAATGGGAATAATCCCAACATGAATTAGATATTTTACTGCAAAAATTTAATGAAATAAAATAACAATAAAAAAAAAAAACAAGGAACATCAAAATATTTTCAAAAAACTTCAGAGTATAAGGTTAAAAAATGCATTTGACCTCTAGGTACTTACTCTAACAACACCATCACTGCTTCCTGTGAGTACAACATTCTGGTTGTCCCATTCATTCATCTAGTGATAAAAAGAACAATAGGGAAAATTCCACAATTAATAAAAGTCTATATTGGATCATATTCTGATTCTGTCACGGATGCTAAGGGTGGGGGGTTAGGGTATATATAAATTAGTATTTGAACATTGAAGGGACATGTAAAAGTATGAACTTTTCAATGCTGCAAATGTCACTAACTAATTCTAGTTTTGAGAGGACCATTTATTAATAGGAGAGTTTGCAGCATCCTTAGGGTTGCAGTGAATTTGGACCATTGACTCATTCAGCCACAATGAATCACTTTCAGTCATGTTGGCTATTCATTCTGCAAACACTTGCCACCATGAGAGTGCATTTAAAATTACCTAGTATGCAGGATATTTGTTTTTATTTTTTTTATGACAGCCAGACTTACCTGTGAAAGACAGACACAGAGTATTTGTTGATTCCGACCAGTGGAAGTATTGACACTGGCTATTGCCTCCCCATTGACATTCCACACATGTAGAAATGTGCCAGCACAAGTGGCTATATCTCCCTGTAAAAAGTTGTAGGTTGTTAGGTAAGACAAGACAAACAAATTTAAAATGTACCATGGCTACTATCTTTTTCATGAATATCTTGAAAGAAATTCATATAATATTCAAGTGCTTATAAAAAGATGTTTCATTTTAATTTTTCATTTCAATAATGAAGTTGAAGCATTGGATATTATTTTCAACATTTAAAAAATGAAAAATAAATATGATTCTAAATGACAGCGTTTCTCTTTTATAATGCTTCATGTTCTCTTTTCCTAAAAATTGACAGATTTCTGTTTGCCACTCACTGTAAGGTCATTGATGGCCACCGCTGCAACTGGCGCCACATGTCCCCTCAGTTGATGGACATATGCCAGGCGGCTCATGTCCCACAGGATGCAAGTACGATCTCTGGAGCCACTTACAATTAAGCTGTAAGCTGCCGACGATGTCAGGCATGTCACGGGCTCTGTATGACCGTACAACGGTTGTTTAAGTGTAGCTTTGCGCTCTTTGTTTGAGTATTCCCAAACATTTACAACCTGAGTTAACGATGAAAAGTTTAGTGATCACGGCCAATATTCCCATCTGATCCTGTCTCAAAAAAGATCTTATATTTTTGACATCTCATTATTTAATTGCATATTGTTATTAATTTTGTTCAATAACTGAACAAGTTTCAGCCTGCGGATTCACATATAGAGCGTATGAGAGCCAAAGTAATAGCAGCAACAGATTTAATTGAAATCGGACTTTAAACCCATAAATCGGGAGATTTTATATTTTAAAGCTAAAATTACAACTGGCCTTTCTTAAATGTTACTAGTTTATGTGTTAATAATTTAACTGCATAATGGCCATCAGCATAAAGAGCCTGTAACTAAGGGTGAACTTAAAGTTAAACTTACACAACTTGTCCCACCAGTAATGAAGATCTTATCATTAGGACATGAGGCACACAAAATTTCTCCATTGTCAAGACCTTCAAAAACTAACGTTGCCTGTAAAATATAAAAAATTGTGGATGGGGGAAAAAGGCTTAATATAAGCAATAGATAACTAAATATGGACCAAATTGAAATGTAATGCAGCAATGCTTCTATAAGGACTATTGTGTAGCTTGGGCTCCCATGAAGATGATGGTGCACCTGCCCTATCCTACACATGGCCAAGTGCCCCAGTATTAAGCTTTGTTTTGGCAACATGGTTATTTGAAATAACTTCAACATTTGTAACAACCAGAGAGTCATAATACCAATGTAGAGAAGCTAGAGAATTTGATTAAGTAATTTAGAAATTATTTAGGCAACACTCTCATTGTCTTAATAATAACTTTACCTTCTCTGATTCATAAGGGCCAATTCTGATGCTGAGGTCTGAGAATCCCCACGCCAGGTGACGAGTGTGTCCAGGGGGTATCAGAACTTTGTTCTGTTCAACTGCCAGTAAGTACTTCTCAAGGTGATGGATTTGCCCCACTGCACCTTTCAATTCTGTCCAATAATTAAGAAAACATATGAATAAATACTCTTACATGGTTAATTGCACTGTCTGGTCAGACCAATGTACACACGAATATAAAACATATGCTTAGGAATCATTATATTGGTATATACTAATAAACAAGACTTGATAGAAAGACCTAAGAATTAAACTATCATACCTTTAATTGGCTGCATGGATGGTTTGAGGTTGTCAACATGATGGAAGAACAAAGTATTGACAGGAATGTTTAGTCTCTTTTGTGGATGTGGACGCTTGAACAGCTGCAACAAGTTCAAATGCAAAAATTATTGTAATGATTTTCTTATGCTTGATGCCAAAATTCTGATGGCACATTTTGAGAGTGCGTTATTTTAACAATGATTAATACTTAAAAACAACCATTTAAGACTAAACATTAGACCAGTCTGAATAATGATCGGTTAAAATTCACGTGCTTGTTTTGGGATCTGTCCAAAATTGTTGATGAATCCAATGGTAGCATTTTTTTTCAAGGGGTCATCAATGCTGTAAATATCCACATTTCCTTCATAGAACAGATGGTGAAAGACATTGACTGCTTCCACCGCAGGTGGACCACACTGTTTGTAGCCAAAGATTAGATCTATCCACTCATGTAAATGGGCACTGACATAATCACACTCAAGAGCCTGGAAAAAAAATTAGATTCTCTTTCTAAAAATTGAATAATATTATAAATTGTATTTTATTTTATAAAAACCTAGACATATGTTATATTTGTTTAAATATGCCCCTTTGTTCTCACCTGTCTGTGAACTCGAATGAATTCTTTTGGGTCTCCTTTTGCCCAAAGTGGCAAAATTACATCTCCTAATGCAACGCCATTTTGCTTTGACCCTTTAAAAAAAAAAAAAAAATTCTTTCTTAAAATAATTATAAAAAATTATTTACCTAAAAGGATACAAAAACATTTATTTGATAAAGAAAAATAATTATTTTGGAAAACCCTAGATTTTGATTGCATAATTTTACGAATACCTACATGTTGAGTTGTTCCAGAGAGAAATAATTAAGCCAATTTATTAAAAGAAACATTCTTGACAATGTTCCATAAGCATTCATTGCTGTGAGAAAATGGCATGCTTTGACTACAGTTGACATAAATATATAAATTGTGTACCTAAATCAAAATTGTTCTTGTTGAGAAGAAAGTCAGGGAGGTAAAAGAATTCTGGAATTAATTCTTTCACATCTGCCATATTGTTCTTTGATGCTGACATCCAATTTTCTTTGACACTATGAAACATTCTGTCAGCCAAGTCAAAGTGACCTCCCTGATACAAAAAATTTTTAATGATGAATTCACCAAAAGGAAAAAATCTGACATTTGTTTAAACAAATCAATAAAAATTAAGTCCTTAAAATTTTCAACAATTTAACAACACCCCCGTCCCCCCTTTCTAAGTCAGTAGACACTTGCCTGAAGTTTGAGAAAATGTTGAGTGAATGGCTCCATGCGTACAAGATAAGAGGCTACAATCATGGCTGAAGAATAGTGGGTACCGTAATGGTAAGGTGGTGTCTCTCCTAAAGATGATAAAGAATTTTCATTTTTTTAAATTTTTGTGCTGTTGGTTTGAAATATTGTAAGATTAAAAACATATCAAGAATTAATTCAATTAACTATATGAAGACAAAATAAAAATTGAAAAAAGACCTCTCTGACATTAAATCAGATCAAATAGTGTTGGAATTTGTTGTATAATGAAATTATTGACTCACCTACCTTGGGGATCATCCCATTCATTATATCACTTTTGAAATTATTGACTCACCTTGGGGATCATCCCATTCATTATATCTCTTTTGAAATTGTTGACTCACCTTGGGGATCATCCCATTCATTATATCTCTTTTGAAATTGTTGACTCACCTTGGGGATCATCCCATTCATTATATCTCTTTTGAAATTGTTGCAGCCTGACAGGTGTTTGAGCCCCCATTGGTTTTGAAAGGTCACGGAAATTTGAAGCTTTGGAAAGGTCAAGGTCCTGGTTGAAATAAAATATTCTATCAAGGAATGCATTTCAAATTCAAACCTAATTTGCTACTATTATATGCTCAACAGATTTGACCCAAGCTGTTTATCTTTAATTATGTGCGTATAACATGAAATATGTCTCACCAACCTCAGTGTCATAGTTGGCAATGATCCAAGGGAACACAGGATATTGCATAAGGTCATTGTAAGACCTTCCTGCCAAAGTGTTCAGGTGCATTAAGTACTGAAAGTTGCTGATTTCTCCTTTCTTTTAGTGGAAAACAAAAATAAGACATTAAGAAATATTTTAAACTGAAACAACCTAACACACAACATGCACCTAGAATTTCATTTATACCCACAGCAATGTAACTAAACTACAAAATATAAAACTAATGTAACCAATTTCATGGAATAAAATCTTTAGGCATACAATGAGTACAAAATAGTTCAAACTTACTTCCCATCTCTGTGTGACAGATTTTTCTCCAATTAAGTTACTGATGATACCACCTCTGAAATATTATGTTTATCTGTAGTAACTTTTTTCTAAAAATAGTAGATAATTTATAATTTCTCAAAGCATTTCTTTTTGAAATATTTGTGGAGCCTTTCTGATTATAACTGGATCAATTCATTCATTCAAAGGTACACTCACAAATTCAATGAATAATTACTTTAGAAAACTGCCCATGAAAGGGCTAATGGAAATGAAATGTAATTTTAACTGAAGTCACAAAGAAGATAACACATAGTTATGTGGAGTGTGGAAAGTCATTTCTTATATTAATGGTGTGCCACTATCACACTAAACTTTCCAAATAATTAATACTTCTGTTCAGCTTAAGGCATGAACCAGGCAACAAATCTAGTCTTGTCTTACCCTGTTTCTACTTTAGCATTCTGCCTTTGACCTGACACAGAGTGTTGTGCATTATCGGTCATGGCAGTGGCTACTGACAAGAACCTGTCAAGTTTCAAATAAAAACAGAAGCATTATTGCTAAATTCTTGTTTTTTTCTTAACATTTTTAATGCAATTATTTTTTATGCCTAGTTAATTTCTATTTAAACATTTACTTCATTTTTCAAATTTAAATGTTTATACTCACTTGGTCAGAACTTTGTTTCTTATCTTGCGTGGAAAGGCTAAGAGATGATTTCTGCCATCTCCTGAAAACACTTCAATTGCAATAGGCTGTAACAAGTATCTGCGTTTGTGAACTTCTCGGATGTCATCATAAGCAAATCTACTGTACCTAAAAAAAATATTTTAAAAAAAATTCAAGCCATCACATAAACTGCAGAAAAACTGTGTCAAATAAGAAAGATAACATTAAATATAAATGTTCCAAAATAGGTACAGAAAAGTAGCAAATCGTGTCACAAATAATGATGGTGTTAATTTTTACGCTTTTTACTTAGTTATAAAAAATACAATACCAATAAACATACATGCGCTTGAGGTAACTGCCTGCTCCCATCGAGGATTTAGGAATGATTGGGTCATGGATCCTGCATGAATAACACAGACTTTTATAAGCATTTAATAATAATAATAAGTAATTTTGTCTTTATATAAAGTCACGGGATAAAACACATTTCAATGAACAGCTTGCCATCCGATTAACACCCAATTTTATATGTCCAGCTTATACAATTACAATAGAGATTACTAATAGCAACATAACCTTAAAAACAAAATGAGCCAGTGCATATAAGATGAATTAGTGCATTTACGTACTCATACGGCAGTGAGTCAATATCTTTGATTTCCTTAGTCCTGAGTAATGTGAAACCATCAATGACATAGAAATGCTCTTTTCCAAATAACAACAGGCCTTCAGCAGTGTCCAAGCCTTGGATTCTGGCACATCTAAACATGTGGCTTATCTGAAAATAACATATGACTTGAATTAACCTGTCTTTAAAACAATAAATATTATATTTATAAATATAAAAAGAATAAATTCTGTTATGTGTCTGTGAAGATGTGTCTAATAAATTCAATAGAGTTAGAAACAAAATCTGGATTATGTGCACCAAACTGTATTATACTAAGCAATAGATTCATTTCAATGAATTAAATGTTATCTTCATTAACTTTATTGTTGCATACTAATGAGTATATAAAATATTAAAAATTGATTCGATATTGCTCAAAATAATTTATTTTAAATCAGTAAATGAATAAAAAAGAAAACTGTTCTTTGCTAATCAAATACATAAAAAATATATTTATAATGGAAACTGAATTTTTTTAAAGTAAATCTTTTTTAAGCAGGGTAATTCAGTAATAAATAAATACACAAATACTAGGTTTGTTTTAAAGTAATGAACTTGTTAAGTTTAGAAAGAGGGAAGGAGGGGGTTGGGGTGTGTCACTGTATAATTAATGTACTTTACTCAAAATTGTCTTTTAGTTTTAGATTTTATTATTTAAATAACATGAGAGTCTGAACTCTAAAAGTATATGTGAACTCACCCTTTCCTTTTCACCTATGAAATGGAGAATAGTTTGATTGTCTGCTTTTGTTGTAGGTGAGGAACTAACATCATTGGTGGGGTCACTTTGGCTGTCACCCTGACCTTCACTTTCTGACCGCTCCACAACACTGTCAGCTCTTTCTACAGTACTCTCTGACCTCTCAAGTTCAACTTGTTGTGAGTAAAGGTTGTTGTCATCATTGTCCTCATCTTCCCCTGTAGACTTTGAACGGCTTGCTCTGGGCAACAATTTCTTCAGATTGTTTACATCTAAAATATAAGAAAACAAAAGTTACACTTTTGGATATTTTAAATTCTTGGTAGTTTATAAGCTAATAGATTAAATCATATCTCCATTAAATAAGTGATGACATGAAAACTAGTTCATTTCATTTTTACATTCATCAAATTTGTCCTTCTGAGGTGCTCTGGAGCAAGTATGACCAATATGGCAATGTTGTGTGGCCTTCAAATGTACAAAATTGTCAATTTGAATATTTTGAGGTGAGATTAAAAATGCCCTGCTTTTAGAAATAATGATCAATCTCAGTTTTATTCAAAAAATACATTTTGTTTCATTTCAATTAAATTTTTTTAAAAATTGTATTTTATTATGAGTGGCCCGTAACTGGCATGACATAATTCTTAAAACCTTGATTAATATTTGACTTGGGAGTACTTAGGACTTCATTTACCCTATTCTTGAACACCATAATTAATATTTGACTTGGGAGTACTTAGGACTTCATTTACCCTATTTTTTAACACCATAATTAATATTTGACTTGGGAGTACTTAGGACTAAATTTACCCTTTTCTTGAACACCATAATTAATATTTGCCTTAGGAGTACTAAGGACTTCATTTACCCTATTCTTGAACACCATAATTAATATTTGACTTGGGAGTACTTAGGACTAAATTTACCCTTTTCTTGAACACCTTAATTAATATTATACTTGGGAGTACTTGAGACTTCATTTACCCTAAGTGATAAAAAGCTGAAACAAAAATATTTAAAATTATAGCTATTTTTTTTAGCTTGATGACTGAAAGATAATTGTCTAACCCCATGTGAACATAATTATCATTTTAATTTTTAAAATTCTAACCGATTTTTAAAAATGTTCAAGGAAAGTGTGTTTTAAATAAAAATGAGTTTTAGTAAATTCAAATCCTGATGATGTGCCAGATAATTAATACTAAAGAAATTTACACTATATATACCTTCTGGAGATCCAGAGCTGATCTCTGTGTATGTATTTATCAGATCAGCATCTGAGGTCTTCTGTATAGGGGCTGCCTCCATACACAGTATCCCTTGTGGCCAGAAATGTTCGTAATATTCTTTACTGTCAAAGCTGATAGCCACCTTGTATCTCAAAGGCTGTTAATAAAGACAAAATAAACCAAGAATTGGTCAACAGTTTTAAATAACCTACCTAAATAGCTCTATTGTATAAAATCAAAAGTAGTAAAAATATTTTCAACTTACACTGTCTTCCAAATTAGGCCGATATGGATAGTGAACATAAAACACATCATTTTTCATCATTTTCTTTCTCATTCGGAAAGGACCTTTGATGGAAGAAAAGATTTTAGGTAACTATCACAGAAGAAATACCCACAATATTTAACATCTTGGAATTTCTTGTTAAAATTAAATTAGCTAAAATGTCAAAGCAAATATAGTGATGTAAAAATATTGAATTTTTTAAAGATACAAATTAAAACAAATAGGAAACAATCATATGCAAGCATTTATTTTAGTATATCCCTCTCCTTTTTTGAATGCCTACCTTCTGTTACATCTAGAACCATCTTGTCCAACCTTGATCCTGTTTGGGGTCCCCAAAGACTGCGTACTCTAAGCAGTTCCTTTTCCACTTGGTTCCAGTCATCTAGCAAATACTTTTCCAGGTGCTTCTGGGACTATAATTTATTCAGAGGACGTTAAAAAAAAAGGGGTTTAATTAATTTAATTTTATGAATGCATGATTATAAAAGTCCTTAAGTTAATCTAAGTTTACTGGAACTCATAATGTAAGTAAGGACACTCAAAGTAGCAAAATGTAACTAACTACAGAGATTATAAGATATCTAGCACATACAAAATCATGAATTAAACCCATCTCATACCTGAACATACTGCCCGTGTTGGAACAGCACCACATTTTTTACAAGAACTACATGAGTGATTGTAGCTTGATGAAAGTCCTTAAAATGAAAGATAAAAATGAAGATTTATTTTTTTGAAACCAGAGCAGGGCAGATCTACTACTGCTTTCAAAAAATCAAATATTATTAAAAACATCTCCATTCTTGCAATGCATTTCTTAAAAATGGATAAAAACAACTCATTATTTGATTTTCTATAGATTTAACATTAAAATTGTCTTCACCTGATAGAATCTATAAAGAATAATTGAAGAAAAATCAATGAGTGGCCCTATGGACATTTCTATAACATTTCTACCAGGTTACTCACATGAGAAGCAGTCTACCAGACTTACATTCACATGAACATTTGAAACAGGAGATGACTTCAATGGTAAATCTCTCTTGGTTCTCCTTGATGCCATACGCAGTACACCACTCATGCCACTGCCCACTTTTTGTAGTTTCTAAAGAAATATCACAGCAATATTACCAAAGTAATATTTTTATTACTTTATGAAATCAACACAAATTTACGCAGCCATACATCACCTGTGCCAAGTGATTTACTAGTACTGTGTAACTAACACATGAAAAATTGTGCTGATCAAAAAATGTCTTGATGATCATATAAATAACACCCATTAAGAAAGAAAAAAAGATCTGAAAAATGCACAGGGTAACCAAGAAATGGATAAGAAATAATCATTTAAATATAATTATACCAAATTTTTGTTGATAATTAATTTTTGTTATGCAACTGAAATTTTAAAAAGATATGATTAAACTTGAAAATAAGTTTAAAAACTTACAGACTGAATCTGGTTCTGTAACTTGTCAATTTGCAAGAAAGAGGATTTCCGTTCATTTTCTGCGTAACTGACCCAAATCTTGGATGCTGCCTCCTGAATCAGCAGTCTATAAAATTGTACACAATTTTTTAAAGGGCGTAATAATAATAAAGTTTATTTCAAAAACACTCTTCATCCCCAAAGGCTCGAAGCGCAGTACAAAGTAAAAAAAAAATTTAAAAAATAATAATTTACCACATTTAAAACAAACGCAACACTACAAAAACTAATTACAAGCATACCAAGTCAAAGTCTTTCTACCCATTTCAACCCTAAGCAACACAGCCAATATGCATTAAATGGAAAATATGGTAGACAATCATCCCAGAAGGTGTTTGCAAAATAGATGTGTCTTTAAATCGGTTTTAAAGGACTCCAGTGTCTGGTTGTTTCTGAGATTGACTGGAAGGGCGTTCCAAATTGTTGGACCAGAAAATCCGAAAGTGCGCTTTCCGTAAGTCTCTAGGCGAACACGTGGTGTCGAGAGTTTGCCACTGTCGGATGAGCAGAGTTGTTTAGTGGGTACATAAGGCGTCAGCAGCTCTTTCAGATGGGACGGCGCCAGGCCATGTAAGCAGCGGTAGCACAACGTTGCGATTTTGTACTCTATGCGAGCACGGACCGGCAGCCAGTGCAGCTCTCTCAGAAGTGTTTTAGCATAGTCGAACTTGCTTTTGCGAAGAACAATGCGAGCCGCATTATTCTGTGCTATTTTAATTTTATCTAGGAGCGTAGCTGGAAGACCCACCATGAGAGCATTGCAATAGTCCATGCGTGGTAGCACAAATGCAGACATCAGCCTCTTTGTTGCGTCAATTGTTAGGAAGGGCCCGATGTGACTAATCCTGCGCAGCTCTAGAAAAATCGCCTTGCATAGCATGTTAATGCGACTTTCCAAGGTTAGTCTTCTATCTAGTTAGATACCCAGGTACCACACTGTTTGAGCTAACTCAATACGCACACCTGAGAGAGTAATTGATGTCGTGTTATTTGCAGATTTTTGCTTCTGAGCGGTCGCGATGAGGAGCAGCTCAGTCTTATCATCATTCAATTTGAGCTTGTTTATGGGTACTAAAAAGTCATTACTTAGCACACATTTATTAACACTTTTACATAAAATAACAGCTACATGAAATCAAACAACTTTAAGATGTTATAATTCATTTTTTATAGTTTTGAGCCAAGGGATAAGTCAGGATAAAAAAATTTTTTATTGAATATCTTGTGACCTGAGCCCCCTAATTATGTGATGATTTTTCAATACTTTTCCAAAGCACATCAATCAAAGTTTTGATATTTGTTGGAATTTGTTCATTTTGTAACATGTGAAAATGGCCCATTTTTATTAATAAAGTTAAAAAAATAAATTAAATAACTTGGTGCATTTTGTTAAATTAAGCGTTCAATTTGTGTTGCAATTATAAAGACATTTTCAAATGTAGATTTCCGGGTGTACAGATTACAGTCTAACCCATTTATCTCGTCCTCAGTTAACTCGCCAACCCTATTAAGGTGACGTTTTTGAAGTGGAACCACCAAATTCTCTCTTTGTCTTAGCATTTTCTCATCGGTTATGTTGATTCTTTTATGTCGCCGAACCCTAATATCTTGAGCACAATTTGCCCCTTAACGTCAGTTATCTCGATACACATGACCAATCACCAGCTTTTGATCTCCGCACAGAGGAAATAGCAAACAACAAAAATTTTTTTGCATAATTGAAAATAATTATTTATTTCTCAAAATACAGGAGTGAAAGAATTCCTAAATTGGGTGTTAACTTATGCTTCAGTAATATGTATGGTCCAATATTGCCAGGTGTTGACTCGTGTAAGTTTATTTTGTGGGAATGGAGATCCTGCAAAAATATGGCCTTTTGATTTTTTAATTTACCTCTTAACGCTATGCAATCTTTGGACTAGCCAATAAAAATTATCATACTTTGTTCATAGTCCATATTATAAATTATCATAATTTGCTTTGTGCAAAACATTGTTATGGGCAGCCTTTCACAGTCACTAGCATAATGGCTATGCCATAGTAGGCCAACTATCTCAGAGTTTCACAATTTAAAGTTCACCGTGTGCAAAAACTATTAAAGCATTGGTCAAGGAAATCTTTAATTAATTAGTCATGCCAAAGTTGATAGTTCAAAATAAGTAGTACTTAACAGTATTTTAGTAGTAAGGGGATGCCTTGCCTTATCAGTGGTTCTCCACCTTCCTAATGCCGCGACCCTTTAATACAGTTGCTCATGTTGTGGCGACCCCCAAACCACACAATTATTTTCGTTGCTACTTCTTAACTGTAGAGTATATTAGTTTTCCATGGTCTTGAGAGCCGCTGCCTTGTATAGACTATAAATATAGTTATAGTAACCGTATAATGGAAATTTCAAGCACATGTTAATATATTGCCGTCATTTATTGCCGTCATATTTGTTTTTGTTTTTCTCGATCATCGGTTATCTGGACACTTTTTGACAAACCCCTAGGCAGGCGACATAACCGGGTTCAACTGTAATTTATTATTTTTAATTTAACTCTTGAATAGAGCATCCAAATTAAGCTTACCTAACAGCATTAATATCTGGTGGAGCTATGGTCTTTGTTGGACTGCTACTGTTTAACTGAGTCCTAAAGACGTCTTCTAGGGCCTGAAATATGGTCAATCAAAAAGATTAAAGCCTAGCCAAATTGCATTGTGGACTAAGTTAAAATAGGAACAAGCTGAAAAAACAATTAAAACAAACAAGGTGTGTGTGTGAAGTGGGAAACCCTCTCTGCTTAATAAAATGACAAATAAAAATATACCCTTCCATTCCCCCTAATTAATGTGAAAGAGAACTATGCCCCATTGCATCCTCTCTAATTAAGATGAAAGAGAACAAAACACTTTTTATTTGCTTCATATTTTCATTCCTGCAGATGCATGAACAGAAATGTTTTCTATGATTTGATGTATTCTAAAAAAAGAAATCTGTACAACATTAGTTACAGAAAAATCCGTTTAAAAAAATAAGATTTAAAGAAACAAAGGCGACAAGAATATTTTGAAACAGACAAGGGTTGAAGGATGGACTCACTGAGTCTGAGGCAAACATGATATCTAGTACACTACCAAACTACATGCATCTCATTTTTAAACCCCTTTTTCAGAATGATTGAAATGGTGAAGAGCTCATGTTTTTTTTATAAGCAGTAGCATGTTGAAAGATAGGCTTTTATATCTCTTCTTGACAGAGACATTTTCTAATTGGTATCATTTCTTCTCTAAACAAAATGTAATTTATTTGGTTTTTAAAAATAAAATAGATTTGACATTTATAGAATCATTAGCTAGCTTTAAAAATGGTTAGAAGATTCTAAGATAATAAAAATTTATAAACCAAAGAAGTAGAATTTAATTTACTATTTGTTAATGATTCTTTAATTATTTGAGTATAGACATTTAAAAAAAAACTAATCACCGGTTTCTTATAAATGTAGAGTTCATCCCAAACTCTTTTAGCAGCAGTTGAGACAAGTTGCATTCCTTGCCTGAGGGCAGGGCTCAAAACTGTATTTCTCCCTTCATTATCTTCCCCTGGGTTCTCAATCAACATGGCGTCTGTATCTGGAGGGATCTCTGGGTTGACATGCCAAGTGGTTGCTCTAGGCTTGGGTTCACTTAGGTTAGCACCACTATAGACAAGGTAAAAAAAATAAACCTGGCCGGTCAACATAATTAAACTTGACATTTTTATTTGTTATGAGGACCACTGGGATATACTCAGCTAAGTAATGTAGACATTTATTACTTTAAAAATTCTCCTCAGTAAATCACTATGAGCTTACGAATATATTTTCAGTTTAACTTAAGCCACGTTTATCCAGAGAATGTAGCACCAGAGAATGTAACACTGAAGGAGTGAAGAGGTCAGCTGTAAATATTTCAATATTTATTTTTTCTTTAGGGGGAATTAGGGTACTGATCATTGGATTCCTTTCAATATTTGATTCAAACATCCAGCATCCTTGGGATGTAATCAAATGCTTATGTTATTTTTAGCAAAAGCAATCAGTTCCTTTTGAATATCCAGATTTTTTTTTGGTCAGGTAAGGCAATGGTTAATTTTAACAACTGACCTTGATTCAGGATCATCGGTCAGCTGTAGCAGGCAATAGCACAAACAGCCCAAAAACTCATTATCATGGTTTCCTGGACCAAACACCAAAGTTCTGTTGTTTGTAAGAACATGCAGGGCATCCAGAACACCTGCCTGACTGGCCACAGAGTCAATGGGCCGAGACAGTTGAAAAAGGATGGTGCGGTTCATGCATTTGTAGATTGGATCCAGAGAAATGCCAGTTGCTGCCAAAAACAAAACCCATTAATCAGCTATATGTTTAACAAATAATTAATAGAAAGTTTGTTGGTTCTTGCCTTACTATTCAAGGATGTTAATTAAATCTTTCATTAACAAAGGCTTTTCAGACATAAACATGTCAACCTTTGTGTTATTGTTGTTTGCTACTAACAACAAATTTCTTTTGTTTTTTGCTAATAAATTCAGATTTCTTTTGACCTTTTTGTAGTCAATGCTGACTAAATTATTAGAGCACCGAATGAAGTTTTAAACTATGGTAATCAAGGTGGACAAAGTCTATAATCACAATGTTACATAATGATCAAACAGCAAGGTAACACCATCTGTTTAAGATATTAATTAGAAACAAAGATTGCCGGCCATTTCTGGGGTCACCAGCCTCTTTGCTTGTTAAAGGAATCTGAATGGTATTACTGCAACTACATGCAGTATGAAGAATCAAAAGGCAAAAGTGCTAATAATTTTCACTGCTCTATCCAATCAACCCTCCCAAATGTTCACCACAAATGCAAATAGTTGACATTTCATGCTTTGAAATTACAAGTACATCACAATAGCACCTGACAACCGACAATTTAAAATATAATAAATATTACATAAGTCCTGCAGAAAAATATTTAATTCTGTGATGGCACAATTACTTTGATTTTGTATTATAAAATATGTAAGTCACATTTTTCCAGCCGCTTCTATTACCAAATATAAATACTTCCTCACATACTCTTTTACTAACACTTTATTGTACACAGTCAAAATTTTCAGAGTAACAAATCTTTTAAATCTGTATTATCTACCTCATGGCTGAAACTATTATCTCCTAGATGTATATTGGCCTGTGTTGTTTATGGTTGCAAGGGATGAAAGACTTAGAATGGGTATTCTTGTATGTAGTTTTTGTAATGTTGCGTTTTGTATTTCAATGTGGTATAATATAGATTTTTTGCATTTCTCTTTTAATATGGTTGACTTTGTACTGCGCTTCGAGCCTTTGGGGATGAAGCGTGATTTTCAAATAAACTTTATTATTATTATGTATCAGGCACTAGTAAACTGGTGTTCACATTGTCCCTCCCCTTTCTTAGACCTAATACTTCTTGCAAACTGGACCAATATAGGAGACTGAAATGTGTAACTTACATTTTCTTTTTGCTTGAGATATCAATTTGCATAAGAAATCAAAAACTTCTTTGGGTTCCCTGGTGAACACACCTGAAGAGTGAGAAAACAACATTTTAGAAGGCCTCAACATAAGAGACTTTGAAAATATGTCAACCTGTGAGAAGTGACTTTCAACAATTGAAAAACAGAAATGAGAATAAGGTTTTAGGCAACTGTTTTAGTAGTTGAAATGACAGATTTGAGCTATTTCCGGTACTATTGTATTCTCATTTTAATAACCCAAAATTCATTTAGAGTCGAGAATATCAGTATAAATTTTATGCATTAAAATGTTTTTTTTTCACATCTCACCATGCCAGGTCTTGTCTACCACACGACTAGCCAAGTAAAAGACACTGGTGGCCATGTGACTGTAGTTGCTGCCCGGCATCATAGGCAGGGCGGCCTGCTCCCCTAACAACACATCTGCTGCCAATAAATGGTCCATGAGGATTTTCAGCATTTCAGTCTGAAATTCCTTCTGCTGAGCTCGATTGGCATGATCAGGAGATGCCTAAAGCAGAAAACAGATCATACAATTTTCAGTATTAAAAATTGTTTACAAGAGCAATTTTTCTTAAAGAAAATTTGGTATTTCCTGATTTTTATTTATTATTTTTATTAGACTGTTGAGTCTTGTGACATATTAAGTAAAAAAATATATGCTCACGTCCAACATTATATCAAGTACGGTGGCAGATTTACTATTGGACATTTGAGACAGGCTATCAATGACTATGGTGCGGATGAAGTCAACAATAAATCTTCGGGCTGGGTGACCAGTGAGAAACCCTGAGCCAAAATGAGAAAAAAATTAAATTGATAATTCATTGAACATGCTTACGTGTGAGCGTTGATACAAAGATCAAACAGGAGTAAATGTCATTTGGTGTTCAACATGTTTTAGATTTCTTTTAAAAATGATTGAGCTATTTAACATTTATTTAACATTCCTTAAACTTTTTGTAACATTAAGAACTTCTACATTAAGAATTTCTAAAAGATAAAATATGGCTACATACCTGCACACACTCTGTCTGGTGATTTCACAATCATTAAACTTTCACAGTCTGGAAATGGCTAAATACAAAATAAAAATAGGGTTTCACGCAAAACTTAGAGAAAGTGATTTTTTTAATATAACCCCAACAAAAAAAATTTGAAACAGTAATAGTAATAATTAACTTAAAGGAAAATAATAACATGATGAAGAGTGCTGTCTTTATTTAAAATGCGATAAAACTTTTTTTTCTCCTATTTTTAAAAGAAAAATTTGAAAGTAACTGAAAGCTAATAGGTGTTATATTGCATGTATTATATTTAACTAAAACATGGCTAATTAATGTAATAAAAGAATTAAAAATAAAGACTTCCACTTGCAATATAATCTTGAGAGGCATAGAGAAAAAATTGTTGAAATGAAATAGTTATGCTTCAAGCCACCACAAACCTTAAACTCTTCATTGGGTGTTGTGACATCACTGTTAGACTCACTGACAGGATAGGGGAATAAGGTGGCTACTAGGCCTGTGATAAAGTCAGAACTGGTACAGACAGACTGGAATTCTGACAAATTGTGATACAGATACATCAGGAACTGAATCACTGTAACAGGATATTCATTCTCTGTTGGAGATCTGGTACTGGTGACATCATTCTGGAGATAGAAAAATCTCTTCTTTTTTTTTATCTCTTTTTTTCTCACATTATTTTTCTCAAGAATATAATTTTAAAAGATAGATATGAAACAGATCTGTCATTTATGGAAATCTATTTAAATGGAATTCCAAAAATAAATTGGAAATGAATAAAGGTGTCCCTCATTATATAATCACACTTTATACATTTGCATTACAAGATGATACTACAAAAATATTTTCAAAATCAATGCATGGTGGGCTGTGGTGTGGTGGTATGACCTTGTGGTGCCTAAGCATTTTACGCAGCGTTGTTTCAGTAGTGCTAGCATGTTGTGCTTTTGTGGGTTTATTTATGTTGCATTATGGAAAGAAGAATTTACAGTTATCAAATGCAAAAAACAATCAAAATCTTTGCCAGTGGTAGGAAAAATTAGAAGAGCTCTGTACATAATGAGCACACTGTGGGCATAAGTCATTAACAGCATCTGTATCTGTAGCAAGCATTGTACTACTTTATATGCTAATAATTGCATTGCTATAGATTTTTTTCTTATAGAGTAATCCCTATCTCACCCATGTTTTTCAGTTATGCAATTGCTTCTCTAACCAATCACTAAGGTAATGAGGAACAGCTGTTTAGTGACAAATAGCTAAACTATATAACAAACCTCATTAATCATGTATCTGATCATGGCCAGCAGTACTAAAGCTGCATCTGGGCAGAGATCTACTGTCTCCCTTGACAGAATATGCATTGGCTTGCTGGCTGGCACTCCAAATATCACTGTCCAAACAGCATCCACATTGAGTGTCTAGGAATAGACATGACAATCAAGATTCTGAAGGTAAATCTTATTTAAAAAATTCTTCCATGTGCACACAAATTTAAGATTAAATTTGATGGATTCTTGCTCCTAAATTAAAATGTAAATTAAACTTTTAAATATCCTGAGGATGAATCCCTTATTAAAATGTTACAATGATGAAAACCCACTTGTCCATCTGTGGCTAAAGGTCTGTTCTGCTGACCCAACAACAAAGCCATGAGTAGAAAGTAAACATCTGGAACAATATTGTGCCGCGACAACAGCCACTGCAGGGCTTGGAAACCTGGAACGCGACACACTTCATGATTGATTTCCCTGTCTTCCTGGGGATTGTGGGCACCAACATTAAAACCTGTAGATTTAAAGCAAGAAGATATTGTAAACAAACTTAAACAATTTTGAAATTTGTATCTAATTGTTTTTAATCAGTTGAAAAAAAAAAAAATTGAATTAAAATTGTGTCCTTAAATTGAGTTCCTCAAAAGATAAACAATCTTTAGCACATTCAGATTTAGTTTTTGTAACAAAGAAAACAAACAAACTGTTGATTAAAAATTACCCAGCATGACAGACATTTGGTTCTTCAGGACAATTTCAGTTCCACCCATCCAACCACCTCCATAGCTTCCTTCTCTGAATTTTTTTATGTTCTCACTGTTACGGAACATGACTAAAAGAATTCTCAGTGCCAGTACCACAGTAGTTGGATGCAGATGGCTTTGCATGAACAGCATCAGCCAATCATAGCCCAGCCGCTTGGCAATGTCTTCACAGGTTCTAAGCAAGGATATAACAAAATTTTAAAACTTTTTTTAAAGATAATTCCTTTATTAATCTAGGTTTTTTTTTTTTTTAAACTGCAAAATAAACCAATTGCAGGTAATGATTTCTATTGCTTAGAACTAATTGTGGAACTTCTAAATGACAAAAAGCATTTAAAATTATTCATTAAAGAAAACCTTAAAAAAAGAAATATAATGAGCCATTGCGCTACTCAAGAGTTAATCACATCGACTTCCATCAATACTTACTGCTGGTTAACTCCAACACTGCTGGTCTGTGGTTTGACCAGTTTCAGGACTACATCCAGCATAATGTTACGCATTTTGATGTTGTGGATCATTTGTGGTAGGCTACAGTCAGCTAGAGTTATGGAAATCATAGACAGATCATCTTTTTAGGATGTTAATTAAATTAACATATTAATGGTCACAATTGTCAGCAAGTTGTCATTTTATTTACTTAATTCTAATCCAAGCAACTTACTCAAGCCATTGAACGGATCCAGATCTACTAGGCCTTCTTGTTTGAGATCTACACTTTTTTCCATGTAAGATGCAACTGGTAATGTTGAAACCAGATGCTGGCCAAACCTAATAGTTCGGAAATGTAATATTTTTTTAAAGGAAAAGTCTCAGAATTTCATTAGTTAAATGGCAAACATAAGTACCTTTAAAATCCATCACCGATGTACATTTAGCCTACTATTGTTAAGAAAAGAGACAATGACAATGACCCACCTTAGAAGACCTGAATGATCAGAGGGTCCGGACAAAAGCTCTCCCAAGACATTGGAAACAGACTGTATGGTCTGTATGGGAAGTTTGGGGTCCTTGAGGATATGAAGTAATTTGGTTGAGAGGCCCATGCTTCTCATAATACTGTGATTGGACTTCTGCTCACTGGAGAATAGAGCACAAGTTAATTTAACAGATCTCAAAGAAACAGGACTTCCTCCAGCTCACGTGCAAAAAGCAGGAGACAAATTTGTGTTTCACTAATCCGTGGGTCTGGAAACTGTGGCTCTTTGATCTTTCTCATGTAGCTCTTGGATACTACTAGTTATCAGCTCAAAATTTAATATTTAGCTCTTTGCCCTGATAAGGTTCCCGGCCCCTGCTCTAATCTTACAACACATTCCCTAACATTCAAAGAGAGACACCTCTTCAGAACAGCAAAGTGATTAAAACAAACTCCAGAGAAAATCAATGGAAAAAAGAAACAACAAACCTAGAATCTGTGAGTAACTCATAGAAGTGTTCATAGAGAGATCTCTGCAAGTCACCTGGGGCTTCATGCCATATCTGTCAATATTATTAAGTGCCTTAATCAACATGCAAAGCAGTATTTACAATTACCAAAATGGATTAAATAATGTTAAACTTGCTAAACAGTATCAGTTATTATATTAAACTAGAAATAACCTGTCCATTTTCATGGAAATATATTTTACTCACAATGTATTTTATTATTAAATTTGAGGTGTGACAAATGTTTACTAAAAAAACTTTGAAGAATAAGATACTGAAAACTAGAAAAAAATAAAATAAAAGGAGATCTAGCTTTACTGCTTTGCCACGGAATTAATCATGATCTCCAACACATGGCAGTACTCCAACCCATTAGATCACCACCTTTGCATTACATTTTTTTAGAAATGTTTGATACAACATGCAAAAAAGGACACAAGTACGTAGCCGACCTACACCGGATAATTATCTTAAATATGTACCTCTAAATCACACAGAAGGTCTTGGAATGCTGTAATGTTGGGAATGATGGATGTCTCTCTGCCACTGTCCAGAGTTCCAACAAGAGAGAATGTCAGATGCAGTATGTGACTGTTGAGTAAATGCCGCTTTTTCTTGTACAACATTGCTAAGAGCTGAAGATAAAGATATTATTCATAAATACAAGAGTTAAGGCATAATGAAGAAAGAATTTGATGAACACATGTTCAGGGAGGATATTTAAAAGACCATAAATCACAACTCCAACATTATTATTTAATTAGCAGGTAAATACTGATTATAATTATTGTATTATTATAAGTCATTCCTTATGAAACAAATGAGACTTAAAATGTATTACTACAAAAGCATAAAAATGACATTAACATCAATGTTAAGACAAGTTTAAAACTATCAACACAATTTATTATTCAAGAGGGCTGTCAACTTACAGTCCCCTGATGAGATTTGTGGAGGGTATGAAGTAACACAAAATGCAGCACAAGGTAACCTAGTTACTGGGATTCAACACATCCTGAATTAAGTCTAAAAATTTTGATTTTCACTCAAAGTGAAGCTTAACTCTTTGATACCTTTGATTCGACAGTACTGGCTCACCGATATTCCGTTTGTGTCTCATAAGCCAACTGTACCTGCTCACAATTTAATAATAATATTGTGTATGGAGTACCTATGGAGGGGTAGTACCTCTGATTGAGCAGCAGTTTGTAACCCTTTGGGGTAGCTAATCAATCTTTGCTCCCCACACTGCACTCAGCTCTCACCTGTGGCTCCAAGAAGCTGTAACATGCACAGCGGCTATACCCCGAACAATGGTTTTGACTAGCCGGCAAAACCAGGTTGAGGTTAGCCGAAGGCATAGAACCTTCAGTAAAAAGGGGCTTGTCCCCCGTAGCATGTAAAAGACTGAATCCAGCAAATTGTGCGGAGGAACCACTACTTGGTCAACAGACAAAAGGCGGAGACAGTATAGTGATGTGAATCGCTAAGAGCATGGCCAGACACGTAGAACGCCATGGTCATTCACTGCACTCAATCCCATCCCCAACTGTCTCAACATTGTCTTGCTGCTGGATCAAGGTGGTATTGTGAGAGAGAGTGAAGCTGACGACTCGCGCAACTCTTCCTCACTTAAATCCAAATCACAGCGCGTCACTTAATCATCACTCAGAGGACAATGACAATGAAACTCCCTCTCGTATCTGGAAGAAAACACCTCACCATAAGAAGCTGCTATGCTACCACAATGACAAACCCAGATGACGTAAAAACCAAGTTCTACAAGGATCTTCACTCTGTCTTTGTAGGCGTTCCAAAGCAGGAAAAGCTTATAATTCTTGGTGACGTCATTGCTCGAGTTGGTACTGACCACATCGCTTGGCATGGAACTCTGGGAAAGTATGGAGTGGGCCAGTGCAAGAGTAACGGTCTTCTCCTGCTCCAGACATGTGCAGCGCATGAACTGCTGATTACTAATATGATATTTCGCCTTCCGACTCATAATCGGACGTCCTGGATGCACCCTCCTTTTAAAACATTGACACCTCATTGACTATGTCATCATCAGGAGGAAGGACAGTCAAGACGTGCATGTGACCAAGTCAATGTGTGGTGCAGACTGCTGGAGAGATCATCATCTTATTATCACCAAGCTCAACCTACACATACAACCCAAAAGACGTTCACAGGGAAAGAATACCCCTAAACATCTAAATACCACAAAGTTGATAAGCCCCAAAATTAAAAAATCTTTTGTGGAAGCTTCACACCATTGGAAAATGACAAAGTCGAAGCAAACTGGGCATCACTTAGATACATGTTGTACAACACCGCCCTGGAGTTTCTGGGGCCAAGCTCGGAAAAACATCAGGACTGGTTTGATGATGTAACGTAATCAAGCAACCGCTGGAGGAAAAACACTGTCTCCTCCATGCTTCCCTAAACAACCAGAGGTCAGTCCCAATGTATAAGAAGAACGGTGCAGCAAAAACTGCGTCTAATGCTGAATAAATGGTTGAGCAACAAGGCCGACGAGATCCAAGGCTATGCGGACATGACCTAAAAAATTGCTAATACGCTCTGAAAACAGTCCATGGCCCCATTTCATCTGGATCATCCCCACCTCTGAGTGAAGATGAGAAATCTCTAATCACTGAGGAGGAAAAAATTATAGAATGCTGGGCTGAACACTGAACACTTTGACTACATCCTGAATAGACATTTGTTCCATCAATGATTAAGCCATAAATCGTCTCATACAGGTGCCATTTAATCAAGAACTGGAAGATCCCCTTACCCTAACTGAGACCCAACATGCTATCTGCCCTCTCCCAAGCGGCAAAGCCCCAGGGGATGACTCAATCCCCTCTGAAGTATACAAAGAAGGGGGCAAAGCTCTGTCTGAAAGGCTTCACCAGCTGTTCATACTTATGTGGCAGCAAGAGATCATTCCACAGGACTTCAAAGATGCATCTATTGTTCACCTGTACAAGCATAAAGGGAACCATCAGTCGTGCGACCACCACCGTGGCATATCACTGCTCTCAATTGCAGGCAAGAAACAAGGCTGTGTACTTGCCCCAAAACTTTTTAGCCTCATGTTTTCCACTATGCTGACCGATGCCTTCGGAGAGGGAGATGTTGGAATTGGCCTCAGATACCGAAACTCACGATAATCTATTCAACCTCAAGAGGCTACATGCCAAATCGAAGGTCCTGACAGGCACCATCAGGAACCTCCTGTATGCAGACAATTGTGCCCTAAACACTGTATCAGAAGTCGATATGCAATGCCCCATCACAAACTTTTCCAATGCCTGAACAAACTTCGAGCTCATCATTAACACAAAAAAGACAGAGGTTCTATACCAACCAGCTCTTTGAAGACTTATGTTGAGCCCAACATCCAAGTATATGGCCAAAGACTTAAGGTAGTGAATAGCTTTTCTTATCTTGGCAGCACTCTGTCCAAAAGCGCAACCATCGATGACAAGGTTAATCTCTGTATTGAGAGAGCCAGTGCAACCTATGGCAAACTGTCTAAGAATGTATGGACCAGGAGAGGTATCAGCACTCAAACTTAACTAAAGTATATAAGGCGGCTGTCCTCCCTAAGCTTCTCTATGCCTGTGAAACGTGCAAGAATGCTGAACAACTAATCATGCATCAAGACTCAGAAAAATCCTCAAAATTAAATGGCAGGACAGGGTCCCAGAAACTGAGGTGCTTACACAGGCAGGTCACCCCAGCATCTTTACCATCTTAATGCAGTCCCAGCTTCGTTGGACGGGACATGTGAGAATGTCAGACAACCGTCTGCCCAAAAGAATTTTCTGTGGTGAGTTCAAACATGGAAAGCGATCTGCTGGCGGGCATAAGAAACATTTTAAAGACAAGCTTAAAGCCTCATTGAAAGCATTTGACATATACCCAGACACGTGGGAGGAAAAAGCAAAGGATCGAACATCATGGCATTACACTTTACACAGGAGCTCCATGCAACATGAAGTTAGCAGAGCAGTGGCTGCACAGCGCAAGAGGCATGTCAGGAAGGTCCCGTGTGACTCCGATGCCGGATATGCCCCATCATTCCCCTGCATAAGAAAATTTCGCGCCAGAATTGGGCTCATTAGCCATTTTTGCACCCACAGACAGGACTGGCACAAATCTGATGATTAAAGTGGTCATGGTCGACTCCTGACTGACAAACAACAAAATAATATCGTAAAAGACTGAAGCGGTGTAAACGTTTGGTTTCACCTCACTGTGTCCGGTGAGCCATTTTGCTTTGTGATTCAGTCAGCTGTTTCATGTTTACAGCCCAATTTGGTTTATGTTTATTTAATTTTCGAGTGCCTATTCATTGATATCTTACTCAAATTGATCATGCCCCTGTTAGAGATTTACTGCTAGTTAAGTTCTAGAATTAATCCAAATACTCCAATAAGATAAAACAAATATTAGTTTTACATCTCAGGCATGTTGAAAGTTGGTGTAACAAATTTATTATTAGTGGCCCCCCAGAAAGGGGGCGTTGTCCTAAACTAAAGGTGGTACACATTTACAGCAAGGGCGTGAAGATTATTCATACAATTTTGCTAAAACTAGTGAACCTGAACTGTTTACTTGTAATGACCACAACTAGTAGCAATGGTACTGATGCCATCCACTTGCAAACAAATGAAACTTTATCAGAGTATGTGGATGGCAAGCCTCATTTACCTATACAGTGGCGAGAAGTGGACAGAACAGCAGAGAGTTATTGATTCAACAACAAAGTCACAATGTTAATCCAAGTCTACATCACACTGCACAGTTTTAATCCAAGTCTACAGCACACTGCACAGTTTTAATCCAAGTCTACAGCACACTGCACAGTTTTAATCCAAGTCTACAGCACACTGCACAGTTTTAATCCAAGTCTACAGCACACTGCACAGTTTTAATCCAAGTCTACAGCACACTGCACAGTTTTAATCCAAGTCTACAGCACATTGCACAGTTTTAATCCAAGTCTACAGCACACTGCACAAACTCAAAGATAAGATTGTCTTATCCTCATGACAGATGACATTTCATAGTTGAGAGGCCTATTAATTATCTGTGTGCGAAGAAACACTTGGGCACTAGAGAAATCACAACTCATTGTTTCAAAATATCAAGTGTGTCAACAGACAGGATTAAAATTCTTAGCCATTCAAGTCACCAAAGCCTGGCTAATAGACTGATGCTTATACTCAAATGTGTGGGCAATAGTACATCAAGACGATGCATCAAAAATGACTTCAGTCAATACTGAATGTACTTGCTTGTAGACCAAAGAGTCAGAAAAAATAGAGCCTTTATTGAACCGATTGTGGGGATTATCCAACCATAACTATGGAAGTTGATAAAAAAATTGATATCATAGCGATTAGATTAGTCAGGTGGAAATATTGGAAGTACAATGCTCATTAACCATCAAAACATTCAATTTATGTGACATGGTCTACATAGAGGACAGCCTATGATCATATCTTAGCTGTAGTCTGAATCAACATCTAAAGATATTAATGTCTGTTAGCCTGATGTTGTTCCTGATTCTTTACTTGCATCAAGATCTTTTATATTAAAACAATTGCAATAGGGTTATAATTTTACTCTGAGAAATAACAATATGACTAGTTGAAATTATTGTACATTTGCTCAAATTGTTTAACCTGTGGTTTGTTTTACTAAAAAGTGGGCCATTTTTGTAGATTTCAACTAATTTTGAAAACATTAGGATATCATATTGTTCATTAAGTTTATTATCAGTCTTAAGATGCTAGGAGTAATTTTTGACACGTGATAAATTATAGAATGGTGGTGTTTTATAACACTACAATAATTTTTACTTGAAATTTTTATTTTATTTTAAAAATCATGCACCAATTTTTTTTTTTTATTCTGATTACAAGTCTACAAACATTTATAAAAACTTCATTCAATTCCCTTTCAAAATATGTAGAAAACGTCAAGAAAATAAGAATGTGATTGATGGTATTCATAGAAAATTTTCCCTGCATTTTTCTGCCGCTATAATTTTGATAATAAAAAATATGTAATATTTTATTTTTTTTTAATCAAACTTGAAGAAAATTTGAAAAATTTTATTGAATATTCTGTCCGTGTAAAAAAAAAATTTGTTCGACAATTGGCTATAAATTTTTATCATAAATTGATAGTAATCTGACATTTGTGTATTGTTTTTTTCTATCTATTTTTGTCTGTGCTGTTGTCAACAAATTTTTTTTTTTGTGCAGTCCAAATTTTCTACGAAATTATAATGTGCTCATTTAGAAGGAAATAAAATCTAAAATTAATAGTAGCAGCAACTCAGCCTATCTTCTGGATGGCCGAGCTGTCTAAACTGACACAATCCAAAACAGCTGGTGGTCTGGGGTTCAATCCCCACTGATGCAAAAACATCCCCGGGTGGATGGGACTCGTTAGCCTTGGATAGCAACTCATCTAAGAGAAGGCAAACTCTGAATATAAACCAGGAGCCAGAATGATCAACAAATTGATCTTGGGCCCTCAAAATATAGAAATTTATAGTCACATATATATAACACCAATGTTATTATACCTGATAGCCATGGATTCTATCCATGTCCCACTTGGAGGAGTTGTTGCTTCTTACAACACAGACAAGGGCTTTAACTGCCGCATACAGACTTTCAACATCTTTGGCCATAGCAATAAGACCAAGCAGAGATGATGTTCCACCAACATTTTCCAACATTCGAGCCACCGGACGAGGGCAAAATGTGCGAACACCTGAATAAAACACTCGTAATTACATATCCCATTTTTACGGCAGATGAATGAAGATTTATTAACACAAACAGACAGCTACAAGACATTTTAGGATTCATTAATCACTGATTCAGACCTGTTTACACTTACGATTTTGGCGTACAATGTACTATTTTGAGGTGTATAAATTATATATATATATATATACTGTTTATTTTTTTTACTATAAAGGTAATAAATTGAACGATTTTGTGATGATATTGTATGATTTTAAGAGTTTGAGGGTAAACAGGTCTGCTGAATAATATGGACACATAATTTAGTCTCTATGTAAGGTGGCATGAGAGAACCATACAGCAGCTCTGGCATTACGAAATTTCTAATCATCTCAATGTGCGAATTACATTTTTTTACTTTTGGTTTCCATAAATTTACAAGAATCCTCCACACAAGAGTTTTTGTTATTTTAGGACCTCTACTCTCTATTTCGTAACAAGAAACGTTAAACAGTTTCCACTTTCTCCACACTTATCAGACAACATAACACCCATGTTCTTACATCATTTTTAAATACTGAAAAGTTAATTTATTCTTGCTCATGCAGATCTTTCCCTATGCTTTTGTCACACACCACAGGCATTTTGAATGATTCCTTATATTTTTTAGGCCAAAAATGGATGTTTAGAGTAAAAATATGCGTAGGGTAGATGTGTTACCTAGATATCCCATCAACACAGCTCCAAGACTTCTTGCAGGTCCAGCTAAATGAGCAGCTGAGTTGTGTAATATTCTTATTGGTGTGGCATTCTCATGTGCTGACATAGCCAACTGATAAAGGAAGAATAGTTGGATTTAATTGCAAAAAAAAAAATTTGTATATGCATAAAATAGTGCATTTTATTAATTTTTACAAAGACTGAATAGTCCTCATTAAAGAAAATAGGGTTGCAGCTGAGGTATGTGTATAGAGTAATAAAGCTAAAAAAAAAAAAAAAAAAAAAAAAAAAAAAAAAAAAAAAAAAATTTTATAAGAAAAAAAAAGGGCATTTTATTAAATTTTAAAAAAAAAGAAAAATCCTCAATAAAAAAAAAAGGGTTGGAAATGGGGTATGTGTAAAAAAAAAAAAAAAAAAAAAAAAAAAAAAAAAAAAAAAAAAAGAAATGTATATAAATAATTTGTATTCTATTGTTTTAGTCACTGAAAATACCTGTTTTGCAATGGATTTGCCATCCACTTTGTTGTAAATCCTCCTAATTTTGGCTATGGTCATTTGTGACATAGCATGAGCAAAGACTCCAAACATAACTCTTTCTTCACTAATAAATGGACCACTGACCTCTCCATCCTCTGTGTGGGTAGACAAAAAGAAGAGGAATATTGAATTAGATAGGTCAAGCTTAAAACTGTTAGAACTAATGAGAAGACTTTGCAAAATTTAATACCATCTTACAAAACTGTCCTTTAAAAAAAATTCCTTTGAATATCTATCTAAACTTATAATAACAAATGAAAACAACTTATTTATTCCCAATGGTTAAGATTAATTTCTGCATTTAGGCTGCATTCACTTATTTCATAATTTTATTCATTGAACTTCCAGGAAACTAATAAAACTGGTGATTTCACTCATACTCTAGACCAGTGGTTTTCAATCAGTGCTCCTGGTGCACTTGCCAGGGACTCCGCGACCGCATCAGGCAATTCCTAAACACTAAAAATTTATAAGACATAAGGTGGGCATAAGGGGCTCTCCCATAGAAATTGATTCTACAAGGGCTCTGTGAGTCAAAAAGAATGGGAACCACTGCTCTAGACCTGTGCAGGGGCAAAGCCAACAGTGAAGGTAGGAGCCTCAGTTCTGTTGCAGTTGGGCCTACCCACATGTTCTAGGCCCTCCAGCTTTCCATGAGGATACTTAGATGTTTTTGTCAGTAAAAGCATACAAATGATAGAAAACAGCAGCTTGTAAATGAAATGCCAACCCTGAAATCTTCAGGCAGACATTAAGTTACCAGTGATATCCCCGAGTAGTTCTACTTGGAAAACTTCAGGTAAAATATTTTTAAAAACTTGCCAGCAAGAGGTGCCTGCAAACTGCCCACATATGTAGGTCCCAATCCATACAAGTTTTTCACAGTAGCAGCTGAAACAATATCTTCCAACATCAGACAAGGCCCTTGTCTCCACAGTAATCTTGACTGCCGCCGTAACTGAGGTGGTGTGCCAATGTAAGCAAAGACTGAAGTGAAAGCTGTGGGGCTTGCTGTTCCTCCTCCGCCCAAATTAGGAGATATGTAATGAAGCTGTTGAATAAAAAATTACAAATTTGGTAAAAAATTTGTAACTTATTTTTTTTTAAAGAGTTTTTAAAGTTTTTCAATCAGTTGTGAGTGTCTAAAATACTTGTATAAAGTTTTTCAATCAGTTGTGAGTGTCTAAAATACTTGTATAAAGTTTTTCAATCAGTTGTGAGTGTCTAAAATACTTGTATAAAGTTTTTCAATCAGTTGTGAGTGTCTAAAATACTTGTATAAAGTTTTTCAATCAGTTGTGAGTGTCTAAAATACTTGTATAAAGTTTTTCAATCAGTTGTGAGTGTCTAAAATACTTGTATAAAGTTTTTCAATCAGTTGTGAGTGTCTAAAATACTTGTATAAAGTTTTTCAATCAGTTGTGAGTGTCTAAAATACTTGTATAAAGTTTTTCAATCAGTTGTGAGTGTCTAAAATACTTGTATAAAGTTTTTCAATCAGTTGTGAGTGTCTAAAATACTTGTATAAAGTTTTTCAATCAGTTGTGAGTGTCTAAAATACTTGTATAAAGTTTTTCAATCAGTTGTGAGTGTCTAAAATACTTGTATAAAGTTTTTCAATCAGTTGTGAGTGTCTAAAATACTTGTATAAAGTTTTTCAATCAGTTGTGAGTGTCTAAAATACTTGTATAAAGTTTTTCAATCAGTTGTGAGTGTCTAAAATACTTGTATAAAGTTTTTCAATCAGTTGTGAGTGTCTAAAATACTTGTATAAAGTTTTTCAATCAGTTGTGAGTGTCTAAAATACTTGTATAAAGTTTTTCAATCAGTTGTGAGTGTCTAAAATACTTGTATAAAGTTTTTCAATCAGTTGTGAGTGTCTAAAATACTTGTATAAAGTTTTTCAATCAGTTGTGAGTGTCTAAAATACTTGTATAAAGTTTTTCAATCAGTTGTGAGTGTCTAAAATACTTGTATAAAGTTTTTCAATCAGTTGTGAGTGTCTAAAATACTTGTATAAAGTTTTTCAATCAGTTGTGAGTGTCTAAAATACTTGTATAAAGTTTTTCAATCAGTTGTGAGTGTCTAAAATACTTGTATAAAGTTTTTCAATCAGTTGTGAGTGTCTAAAATACTTGTATAAAGTTTTTCAATCAGTTGTTGAGTGTCTAAAATACTTGTATAAAGTTTTTCAATCAGTTGTTGAGTGTCTAAAATACTTGTATAAAGTTTTTCAATCAGTTGTTGAGTGTCTAAAATACTTGTATAAAGTTTTTCAATCAGTTGTTGAGTGTCTAAAATGCAGGTGAATAAAAGCACTTGCATTTTTACCAACCTTTTTAAAAAGACCAACTATTAAATGAAACATACTTTTTGTTGAGGCATCATTTCTCCATCTACAAAGAGGCTGATATTACTGTTTTTCATAATGCCAGCTCTATGTAGTACAAGAACTAAATGGTGCCACTGCCCTTCTTGTGTAAGTTCTGGACACCAAAAACGAACAGTGTTGTCATTGAGAGGTGGTTCTTGCTCAATTTCACAGCCATTTCCTGACAAATATGCTTTAAAAAGTTAATTACCTTACATACATGTGAAAAGGTTGCATTTTGATACAAAACATTGTGATAAAAAACAGGGATGTAACACATCTACTCAACATCACAGGGAAGAAGATGGCGGCATATTAGTGGACTATGCATATTGGGCTCAAGGTTAAGCAAACGCTAGGGAGATAAAAAAAATCTACCCCACAATGTGATTTTAGGCAATTGCCTCTTCTAGCCATACTGCATAAAACATCAAATATTTACCATATCTGATTCCTGACAAAATACTATCATGATTTTATGAATAGCGATTATACAAGTTTTCATCTAAACAGAGCAGCTCCATACTCGTTAAGGAGTACCCTGCCATACTTTCATAAAGTCACTTCCACAAAAATTTTATATTTCCATTAAAAAGGGGCCATGTAACTCCCCAAATTATAGTGTGACCTATCTGCAAGTTTATTGGAAATAACACTTTGTGAGCATAAGGGTGCGACTATCCAATAGTGCGACCTAGACTTAACTTTGTTATTAAGAACTGATGTAATTAGAAACTGTAACATATAAGGTCATTCAAGAGTTAAAATAATTAAATGAAATGAAACCACACCCAAAAAAAAAAAAAAAAAAAAAAAAAAATAAAAAAAAAAAAAAAAAAAAAATAAAAAAAAAAAAAAAAAAAAAAAAAAATAAAAAAAAAAAAAAACAAAAAAAAAAAAAAAAAAAAAAAAAAAAATCACATTCATGATATATATCTATTTGCATTACTTGAATAACGAAAAAAATTAATATAATTTTAGAAATTTTTTCATTTGAGTAATCATACAAGTGGAAATGAATTAATAAAATTAACTAAAAAACAAAAGAATAAAAATAAAACATTGAAAATTTACAGTAACAATGAAATTTCCAAGAATCCAAACAACTAATAAGGGTGACATCAGCTAAAGGAGATGTTGGTCTTTATTGCCAGGTGTGGGGGAAACAAAGGGAGAATCAAAAGAAATTAATTGCAAACCTGCATCATGCACATTTAGGTCCTCACCGGCATTAGGCATGTAATTCTCCTGAGTTGTTATTATCAGTGCCCTGTCTTTGGACATGATGGAAACGCTAAGACAAATAAGATTCTCTTCTCGACCCTGAAGGTTGCGCACAATCGTCAGTAGCCTCACCGGGTGCGCATCTGTGCCAAAAGCACTAAACTTGTCTACACAGAACCAAGTTGAATAGGTGATACCCGACTGTGGTGGGAATATGCGTTCCCCTGGAACAGATTGGTAAATGTATGTAGTTCAATATAAAGGCACAAATAAAGAGATACCAACTGTGGTTGACCAAAGTAAAAGGTTAGCTATCCTTCTTCTGGTTTAGACTTAAGAGTAGTTTGTAGACATGTATTTGTCAATTGAAGTGATTTACATTAAGAACAAAACTGCATGACCATGTAAAGATCTTTACAAAAAAATCCTAATATAACATCCAGATTGAAGAAATGGTTACCGGTTCCGATGCCTCCTATAACTACTGGTTCTGACGTTCCAACGACGCCTCCCACCACTGATGGAGTTGGTGGACCTTGTGGCGCAATACTGGGCAGATACAAACAAGAGAACCCTTCGGCACTCATGTCAAACTCTACAAAGGCTGGAGTCACTGATGATCCGTGCATTCTGCTGTCACGAGGGGTTGTCATTGAGACCAAACATTTGACACGTGTCAGGGGTACAGTGCCGCCTACAGAAGTTTGGAATAAGGTTTTAGATCTTAAAATTCTAAAAGTGAAGAAAAGCATTAAATATAGTATAGATATGGCTACATTGTGTTATGGTTTTACAAATCCAAATATTAAGAAAGTCCCAGTGAACAAACAAACCTCCTATAATTAAATGTGGGGAAAATTGCTCATTCAATAATACTATGACTTTTGTCTGTAGAAATTTTCCAACCTGCAGAGTTAAGTTTTTTCTCTGTCTCCATAGTTGATGGTTTTTCTTCCATATCTAATGAAGACGCCATGTTATCAGGATCTGTAACAGCTAAAGACTGGTCTTCCATATATTCTTCTTCCACTGATCGACAACTCAAAGGAGATCCCAGTCTCAAAAAATCACTGAATCAAAAATATAAATACATTTTTAATCAGCTGTTGCTAATCTTGAAGGACATATTCCTCAAAATTAATTTAATGTAATTGCTTCAAAATAAGTTCAAATAAAGTGATCTTACCGCAAGTCTCTAGGTGTCAAAGACTGTGATGCCAGCCTTTCAAACATGTACTGTAAGTACGTGTGAAGTGGATGAGACTCATCTGCCAGTGCGGCACTACCATGGCTTAATAGCTCATGGGGGAATCTGTAAATGGTTCAATATTTTAGATATTTACTATTTAAACTTTTATTAGAGTTCTTTTTAAAATATAGGAAGAAACGTGACAGTTGATACAACTAATACCAATCTATCCAAAATAGAATTAAAGGTTCGATATCCTGGGTCAATGTGAATCCTGTTGATTCCACTAATCTCACACACAAAAATGGAACTCGCCAATGCTTGGCTTTTCTGTCCAAATTATTTAAAATGTCTGCACAGATGATTTTTGAGGATGTTGGCAAGGGACATGCTGCCAAAAACAAGAGTAAATCCCAACTATTCAGGCAGTTTAGTTCAATCTGTATTGTAGCAGTCTCTCCTCCTGATTATACTACTGGTGTAGTAATAACCTATTATCTTCCAGTTAAACAAAACAAAATCCTGATTTTGCTTGGAACGGCACTAGGGGTAGGTACTACTCAAGGAACGGCACTAGGGGTAGGTACTACTCAAGGAACGGCACTAGGGGTAGGTACTACTCAAGGAACGGCACTAGGGGTAGGTACTACTCAAGGAACAGCACTAGGGGTAGGTACTACTCAAGGAACGGCACTAGGGGTAGGTACTACTCAAGGAACGGCACTAGGGGCAGGTACTACTCAAGGAACGGCACTAGGGGCAGGTACTACTCAAGGAACGGCACTAGGGGCAGGTACTACTCAAGGAACGGCACTAGGGGCAGGTACTACTCAAGGAACGGCACTAGGGGTAGGTACTACTCAAGGAACGGCACTAGGGGTAGGTACTACTCACTACCTTATTGCAATTAAAACAAATTGATGTTAAAAAGTGACAGTATCCAGGCTAGTAATCAGCTCTAATATCATCATGAAAGAAGCAATTGAAAGTGGATGATCCTCCATCTGATCTCCACAACGGAGAAAACAATGCATGAAATGAATCATTTACATATGTCATCACAAATGAAGATGGCAGACAAGAAAAAAGATGTTTATGTCTGGCCAGCATTTTCAATAATGGTTATTGTTATTTGGTCTTCTGAAATAGGTTTCATTGGATTTATGTAAGAGCTAAAAAAGCTATTTTAGTTATCTTACCTAGCATCACACATTATTTGTTGATTACGCTCATTTCTCATGATAGACTTCAAAAGATCTGCTATGAACACCTTCAAGTCCCAAGAGAACTGTGTATTATGGGGAAAAACATAATTTTGGTTCACATTATAGAGATCATCTCCATTCAAAGAGTAAAAATAATGCATATTGCTTGGCAATATAAATCATAGAATTATTTTCTGCATTTTTCCAATTTCAAAAACCCCTGTTAGCAAGATAAATTCCACTATAAAAATTTAAAAAGAATGAATAAAAAAACCACCCAAATACTAATTTAAAGCATGCCCTCAAGTTGGATGCCATTCAAATATGTTCAGGAAGTAAATGAACATTGGTTGTGATCAGAATGTAATTTTAGGTTTATAGGTTGTTGCTATTTTGATACTTTTTATATGTTTGCAATTAAAATACACCAACCCTAAACTGATTATAAATTGGACCAGTTTTGTACTGAAGTATTTTTTTTTTTTTTTACAAATGAGAGTTTTAGAGCACACAAAGTCTTCCTTATGGTGTAATGATTTAGCTCCATTATTTTTTAGATCAAATATTTTTTTAGGAAAATAAACTTTGAGTAACAGGCAGATTCAACTGAACACTATGAAACTGTAGTTACCTGAAGGCTTTCAATATGTTCTATGGCTGGCAATAAGTGAAATATGGACAGGATAGCCCCTGAATGCACCAGAATGGGGTCTGAGCTTCCACTGAAATTGATGGATAGGCTGCCAGTGCTACCGCTTTTTGGTCTCATTCCTGATGGTGTTGAAGGAGAAGATGAGGGCTGGTTGTCCTCTATCACAGATGTGTGTTTCTTAAGACATGGAGAGTCAGCTGATTTGATCTGATTGGGCCTTTAATGAGAAATTGAGGGTTGTTTCAGCTGTTTGAATTAGTTTTAACAAAATAGCCTTACTATCCAATTTTAAAAAAGTATTACTAAAACAACATGCCAGTACTAAATTATCATGGCTTCTAAAGCACTTTCATTCTAAAATTTTGTACTCACTTGTCAAAAGCATCAAGTGCCATGTCATATAAATATCTGAGAATTATGCAGGCTGAGAGCAGAATCCTAGGAATGCTTGAAGGGGCTCTATTTAAACAAAATAATATAAAACCCTTTTTAAACATACACTTAAATATGAACATTATTAAAGCTCTTAATAGACTTATGACTTATTTAGGCTTCAACAATCAGAAAATTCACCACAATTCTGCAAGTCAGACATGTTTATTCTAAGTCGACAGGAGTAAAAAAAAAAATTGCAAGCATAAATTATGCAAATCAGGATATTTCTCTGTGATAAGTGCTGAGATTTTAGTTTCATTCATAAAGATTGTATTAGTTCATTCGATTTCCTATAAAAATATATACAGTTTTTTTATTTGCAAAGCAATTACTTTATTTTTTAGTTCAAGGCTTGTGAAAAGGAGTCCATTTTCTTGGCACCGAAAGTCCAAAAAGGCTCCGCCTCAGGTTAATAAAATCAAGTAGTTATAAAATTTGTGGTGAAAATAGTACCACTTGAATATCTACATACTTTTCTTCTTTACAATGTACAAAAACAGCTCCAAAATGTTCCAATGACTCTGAGGTCACCATGCTATCTGGTGCAGCTGGAATGTCAACAGTATTGGAAAAACAGCCCAATAATCTTACGGCTTCTGTCAGGCTGTCATAACGAACCTGAAAGGCATGAACATGACAGTGGTGTGAATCTCTCAAACATTTTCTTATACAACACAGAAGGTTAATCAAATATCTTCCGCCGCTAACAACAAAAAGTATCTGTATTTTTTAAAACTTGACCACTTGTTAAAATAGAAATGAATTTTTCCTTATTTCTTCCAGTATTTTGACTTGAGAGTAGCCTATGAAGTTTAACATGATTTTAATAAATCAAAGTACTGGCACAACCTTATGCCTGTGTTCAGTTAGGCAGCACAATGGACAACATCAACATGAGTTATGTTTTCACTTACGCCAGTGTTACTGCTTAAGTTACACAAGCGTCCGGTGTAGATACAAACCTCTGAGGCAAAAAACTTGGCATTGGCTGGTTCATATCTCATTGCAACTGTTAGTGTACTGAACACAGTTTTCAGCATCATCAGGACATCTTTTTTCTCCACTGAAATTCATTAGCAAGAACAACTTGAATATATAAAACATGCAAGTTCACTCAAGTTACACTGAAGAAAAGAATGACAGATTTCATAATGAACCAGCTTAACATTTCTAAGAGATTTCTATAAAACACAAAAGGAATGTAGTGTCACAGTCTGTCCAGCATATACTCTGACCTCCACTAACAGGTACATTTCAAGGATAGTACAAAAGTACTGTCTCTATACACTAGGCCACCGGTGTGTTCAAGGGGCGGTCTGGAGTCAGAAATAGACCAGAGAGTAAGTCGAGTGTTTATGTTTGAAGGGCACCTGCCTGAGAGCCTAAATAGTTTGCATAAAGGTGTCAATGTGTTTTAAAATAGTAGTGATGTAATTTTGAGTTGTCATTTTAAACAATAGCCCAATATTTCTCATCCAGGGGTGTCCCCATCCCTAAGGTGTGCAGGAGGCAGTGTCTGGGGGTGCGGGAAGATCCAGAAAAATCAGGATTATAAGCATTTAATTAGCAATTTATTTTTATCATGAGGGGTGCGGGAAAATATATTTTGAAATAGAGATGGGGGTACGGGAAATGTTTTGAAATCAAGATGGCGTGCCGCGCTGCAAAAAGGTTAACATCCACTGAAATAGCTCATCATAAAACAAAGCAATAGCTTGGTTGTAATTGGATCGGTTTGTTTAGGGGGGTGTATTATTAAAGGGGGTTGGAAGATGTATTACAGTGGTAGTCCGGGACATTGTCCTGTCACGCCGGGGTACATGATAACAAAACTTAAACATAAAAAATTAATTTCTGTTAATGAAATTCAATGTAAACTTTACCTGTATCCCAAGGCGATTTTGGTGGATCTGATAAACACCCTTCCATCGACACCAACACAGACATGACATAAACAAAGCCCCCTACTTTTCTGAAAACGGTTCTGGTTCGATGACTTTCTCTTAACACACTTAACAAAGACTGAAAAGATTTAAAGATATCCCGAGTCAGTGACTGGAAGACGTATTCAATGGTAGCAGTGCATATAAACTGTTAGCGAATAACATCTAGAAAAAGACATTCTAGAAATGTTTTTATTTTTACTAAATTTAATGTTATGAATTTTTTATTAATGATTCAAGTAGCAGGCACAGTACGTGACTTAATGTGCCAATGTGATGCGACTCAAATAATTTGATTGATAAGTGATATAAATATTGTACATGCTGTGGCATCCATTGGTAAAAATGACACTTTTTAATGAAACTAACCTTAAGGATGTGAGTTTTTAACTCCAAGTCAGTGACAGCAGCTGTCGGCATGAGGCCTAACAGTGTACCCATATCATCATCACCTCCAGGAGATAAAACCAACTGTTGAACAATATGCAAAGACTGCTGTCTACATTCAGGGAAGGGAACCATATTGTGTGCACACCTTGCACCCCCACATTCTCTGAACACGCCTGTTGGATCATTTTAAAGAAAAATTCAATTTTTTTTTTTTTGCGAGTATCTATGATTAAAAAAAATATATAGGCTGATTTAGTGTATTTAAAATTTTGAAATTGATGATACAATGCCCCCAAAAATGTTGGTTTTCCATAATATCAAAATCTTGAAATCTATGAACTTTTTGAAACTCAAAAGAGTGAGTGACACATAATTGAAAATCGCTGCTATAATAAATTTTATAATAGATTACATAAGATTTAAATTAATTAATTTTTATAATTGGAAGGTAATAAAATCATTTAATGTGAGTAATTATGCAAGTCTCAAAAGTCTTAAATACAGTAAAAGGTAGTTAAGAAAAGTTCTAAAACTTCAAAGAAACAAAGAATGATATTTTTTATTCAAAATAATAACTGGATTCAACCTGTGTTTAATATATACAAAATATTAAATGCATTACAGCAATATTAGAAACATTCCAGAAAAGTTTTTTATTCCTACAGATCACTTCTCTTCTTCCTACTTCCCATAACGTATTACAAGATTTTGCTTTCTAAATAATCTTGGACAACAGCTTGACCAATTTAAAAACAAAAGTGCAAAATACATAAAGTATTCCTAAATTTGGACATGTAAGTCTTTCATTAGTGAAATATTTTATTCCCAATTTGTAATATGGAATCAATCAAGGTATACAAATTCTTTTATACCACAAAACATTGCAAAAATATAAATATTGAAAAGCCTTTGACAGATCGGAGGTTTTATTTCTTACTGGCTCCAATTCCCAATCTATACTAAATTGAACTAACCAGCATTGGCACCATTGCCAGAAAGCAATACTGACAGCGCCTCCATAACAAGCAGGCCCAACTCTTGTTGTTCTTCAGATACGGGGGCTTGGTCTGTCAATTAAATCACTTTATTTTTAGGATGTGCTCTATTGAAATTATGTTAATTGTAAGACAAAAGAACAAACGTTCTGATTGACAGTCTTTGGTGTTAACTCTGGCTAAGTCAAACCTCTATCATATCCGACACACTTTATTAATGAATTGTACTTCATTACTTGATTATAGAACAAAAAGAATTCTTAGCATTGAAAATTTTACAGAAAAAAATAGTGTATTTAAAATGTATTCAAAAAGAGAATTCCACTAAAGTAGCACCAGTGGTGTGCACCTGCAATACTGCACTGTTCTTTCAGCTGTCCTGCATATCTGTGTAAACAGGTGACCATGACTTCTAGCATCCCAACTTCTCTGAATACATCACGATAGACACTGTGATAGCGCAAGATTCGCAGCAGTGACTTCATACACAAGATACTGCAGTCTATGGAACTGTTAAACGTGGTTAAAAAGATATTATTATAATAAGAAATATACAAAATATACAAATCCTGCAGATCAGTAGAAACAAAATTCTAAACCAATAATCATAATTGATATTAAGCATATTTTTACTTTGAAATAGAGGAACTATTTCATTTAATTATAATAAAAATAAAAAATTATTCATTCCTATGCCTATTTGTCTGTGTTAGTTTAAATATGCACGCCAATATTTGTGCACCTCTTCTGCTCGTTTCCTTTTCTGAATAATATTTTTTTTTTTAACTTTCGAGTGTTGAGCTGTGTTAAAGATCAAGTAGATTAAACCACTAAAACTATGAGTTTTTTTCTATAAGTATAAGGGTGAAAAAAATTTTTTTTAAAAATATTTTTAGCCTTCTTCACCTGAAAAACATACAAACACACTATGCTATATAATCAATTAGAAATTCTTAATTATAAGAATTAAATAATAAGACAAAATAAAATTTAAAAAGCACAGCCACAATAAAAAAAATATATAGTTCAGTTAGAAAATAATTATTTTGTTAAAAACTGAACCAAATTTTGTTAAAAACAAACAAATAGGCACTTACTGTTGAGATTTGATAAGAATACTGACACTGATGAGCTCTTTGCATGGTACAAAGTTTAGATTAAAGACTAAAAATTCCAGCATTTCAAAGAATTTGATCTGAAATTCAACAAAATATTGCTCAATTTAAATTTGTATCTAAAATGCTTCTAACATTGTTCAGCACACTTAAACAAATTACACAAACTCTTTGACATACCAATCCTTTGTGTCACATACAATAATTTTACTAGAAGTAGCATTCAAGCAAATTACTATTAGATTTGTTTAGATGGATTATACCTTTTGTCTTTAAAAGCCTTTACTTTGTAGGTAAAATACCCCCCAATATGATGATTTTCCTTTATATCAAAATCTTGAAATCTGTGAGCTTTTTTGCAACACAAAAAAGTGAGTGACACATAAATTGAAAATTGACACTATAAGAAAGGTTATAATAGATTACATTAACTTTACATTATGTCCTCAAATCATTGAATCAAATTATTGACACTGAATTTGAGTACTATAACTAGCAGTTAAACCATTTTCAAAAATAGGGAAATAATGAATTTTACTATTTTACCTGAATATCTTCTGGTTTGAGATAAATCTTTTCAGCAAATTGTGGCAATGTGTGCTGAGACTCAAGTATGAAGTAGTTGGCATTGTCCTGATGATAAATACTACTGATGACATCAAGGATGGTGCTACACAAGTGGCTGGTATTGGACTGGAAAACAAAAGAAATAAAGATTATCTGATGTTTTATTGGTTTGATTGATTGAATTATAGCGCTTGTAGTCATGCTATTTTTATTAGTGTCCTTTACGTCAAAATTTTACCTGAAATATTAATATCATCTGCCGCCTCAAAGACAAACTCTATAACAAACATGAAGATACAATAAATAATTGTAGTTTTAATGTGTTTTATTGGACGGATTACATAGATTGTAGGAACCGCAGATATAGATGCATGAAAATTCATTACTTTCCGTTGACATGTCATTAAAAGTATAAGCCAAGTTGTTTTAGCATGTGAAACATACCTTGAGGAAGACAGACTGTAAGACTTGAAATGCCTGTATGTTTCGAACACTGACTCCTGAAAATGGCAAAATTCCAAATTTGGTGAAAAGTTCAAGCATTATTCATTAGAACTAAAGACAGGCATGCAAATAAAAAATTTTTTTTGAAGATTTCAAGCTGTTTAAAAATAGGAGCAAAGAACCTATGTAAGTTCTATTTGCAACATTGAGTTAACAAGTTAATGACATTTTATTACATTGCTAACAATTTTTAACCTTTTTAATTATATATAGTCTTAGCTACTCATATAGAACACATTTAGCATTGTAAGTTTTGTTAATATTTAATATTTACCAAGTAACTTTTTAAAATAAATATTTGCCACTTGTCAATTTGATGTATCACTATATATATTATTATAAGTTTCCAACAGATTTTTTAAATTATTTAGAAATCCTTTTTCGGTTAAAATTAAGACCACTGAGAATTAATGCATAAATCATAACCAGTATCTTTCACATCAGCACAGCTAGCAATGGCTTGAGCTACAGATTTCTTCCAAGGTTATGGAAACTCCCCCCCCCCCTCCTCTTCAAATCACTATTTTAATACATGAGAGTGGCAAAAGAGCTCCATCTGGCACCTCCTGCCATATCACCCCTTTGATGCCTTTTGAAATTTTTTAAATATCAAATAAAGATAGATTTTTTGGACTATGTCTCCAAAATGAGCAAATAAACACTATTCATAATGCATTTAGAAGTACTGATGATACCATGAAAGATTACATTAACAACAATTTAGATTGCTGAAGAGAAAACTAACCTCTCAGAACAAAATAGGATCTCAGAATAAAAAAAAAAAGAGAAATCAAGCTGCAGAACCTGTTTATATTACTAGCTTTATGATGTATAATTTTAGAGATTCCCATGGATAATATGGAGAATAGTAAAGCTAACTTTTCCATAGGAGAAACAAAGTCTCAACAAGTCAGTAATTTTTTTCGAGTATTTTAATGTTCCCTATTTTACTTGTTATTCTTCTATTTTAACACATTTTTACTTTCTTGATTTCTAATTCCTTAAAAAGCATGGAGTTAAGAAAATATTGTAACTGATTTCTTCCTTTTAAAAAATATCAATTTCATAAGAAAATCTTCAAATTGATTTCTCCCTTAGAGAGAATGGAGTTAATAAGAAACTATATCTTCAAATGAATTTGGGTAATCATTTATGGGGACGACATAATTAGCAGACAACAGCAAAAAAAAAAGTTTATACCGGTTCCAAAGGATTATTTACTAACAAGCTTGCAATGAATTTGCATTAGTACTTGTGTCATAAGTGAAGATAAAGAATGTGCTAAGTCCAGCCATTTCAAGAATGCAAGTGTAGGTTAGTAATAAGGCAAGCAGATGGAGCTGTTAGTTATGCAGTCAGTAAATATTATGCTCTGACATGAAAGTTTCAACCCTTAAAAAAATATTCATGAAAGCTTTTTGAAGAAAATTATATTCTCACAACTACAACATGCCCCTTAAGCAAATATAGATTTTTATGCGTTCAGTGAATAGATTATACAGTCAAATATTCATGAAAGTTATTTTGAGAAAATTATATTCTCACAATTACATCATGCCCCCTAGGCAAATATAAATTTTTTGTATTCAGAGAATAGATTATACAGCAAAACTTTTAAAAAACTTAACTCATACCATAAATAAATAAATAGCCTCATATTAAGTGCATTGTGAGTGAAAGAGCAATTTCCCATTTAGAAATAAATAACGAGCAGGGCCTAAACTTAAAACATCTTAAATTATAAAAGGGGTAGAACACCATTTCCTTTTAAATCATAATGGCGTAATGAGTACAGGTGATTAAAAAATCGGATGGCTAAATCACATGCAAATATTTTATATCTCAATCTTTCAGCTTATCCCCCACAACAAGTAGAATAAATTACTTCCAAATGCAAAAAATTCAATGCATGTGAATATGCATTGCATCACTGCACATTTTGTCCATAATTAAACAGCACTCACCTATAAGGCATATATATACATAATATTCTCACAGGTATTTTCATATAAATATATATATTCAAGAGTGAAACATTTTTTTAAAGTGGATCAGATTCTTAGCTTAATTTGTTTGATTTAATGTTTTCTCATTATGGCTATCTTTAATTTAAAGAGCATAATTTTGCAGAATAACCCTACATTAGGTAATATGGGTCCAGATATACCAACCAACCTCATTTCAGCATTTTATTGTTGTGCATTAATTAGTAGTTAATTTAAAGGCCAATATTGTAGGTAAGAAATAATCCAAACTAAAGAGACTTCTGCCCTTGCCATTGGCATGTAAATGGAACTAATACATCCACGCTGACAGTCGACTTCCACTCCTGAGGTCTTCATTTGAAGTGAGGTTTGTCTGAGACTTGATTAAGGACATCTAAAAATTCTTTAAGCCCTTAAACCCTAAATTAAGTTCATTCGCATTTAGGTTAGTTATGTTACATAATAAGTAGGCAATTAAGTATATACTTTTAAAAGTTTTTGAATATTTTACTGAAAAAATATATAAATTCCATTCAATTAAGTATTAAACTTTATATTATGAATGAATCTCAGGTTAAGAGGCTGAATTCCCATGGAGCGCCTCCCCAGGTGACAGGCAAGGGAATAAATACCCAGGGCAAACCAAAGCCAGCAACTGCTGCCTTGTAGTTAGTAAAGGGATTTACAAAGACTACGGAACTGACCCCAAAAACAAGGAATCTACCCAGAGGGCTGAAGGGGCTCCCCCCCCCCCCCCCCCCCCCCCCCCCCCCCCCACCCACCCGAGGGGGGGGGGGGGCCCCCCCCCCCCCCCCCCCCGTATGTGTGAAGGACTGATGGCTGTCACATTAAAAAATCCAGGCTAAATAAGAAGCAGTAAATCTGACTGATACTTGTGAATTTCTACCTAATCCTGGACAAAGACATGATTTGTGGATGGGGACCTGGAATGTTCTTAGTTTACACAGAGCAGGAGCGCTGGCTCACCTCAATGATGGATTGATAAGATAGAGAATCAATGTTGCTGAACTGCGCAGAAGCTAAGACGGAAAGACTCTTGATATACTAAGCTCTAAGGAATATACAATATTCTACAGTGGAAATGACACCAACACCTGAGGAACAAGGTTTTTTCAACTATAAGACAGTAAATGCAGTCACTGGGTTCAGACCATTGAGTGAAAGACATTAATTTGCACACATACTCCAAATGAAGATGAAAATGACAGCACAAACAAAATTGAATGAAACACTTAAAAGAATATTTGATGAGGCATCAGGCCAAATAGTTCTTGGAGATTGCAAAGCAAAAATTGGCAAAGAGCCTGCTTACAGACCAACTATCTATAGAGAGAATATTAAATGTAAACAAAGAATCTGGAAATCCCCCCAAAAAAACAAATTATGAGAGAACAAAAAAAATATCCAGAAGTTAAGTAGAGACCAAAAAATAACTGAAGCATGTCAACAGAAGTTAAGTAGAGACCCAAAAATTACTGAGGCATGTCAACAGAAGTGAAGTAGAGACCTAAATATTACTGAGGCATGTCAACAGAAGTTAAGCAGAGACCCAAAAATTACTGAGGCATGTAAACAAGTTAAGTAGAGACCTAAATATTACTGAGGCATGTCAACAGAAGTTAAGTAGAGACCTAAATTTTACTGAGGCATGTCAACAGAAGTTAAGTAGAGACCCAAAAATTACTGAGGCATGTCAACAGAAGTGAAGTAGAGACCCAAAAATTACTGAGGCATGTCAACAGAAGTGAAGTAGAGACCCAAAAATTACTGAGGCATGTCAACAGAAGTGAAGTAGAGACCCAAAAATTACTGAGGCATGTCAACAAAAGCTAAATAGAGACCCAATGATTACTGAAGCATATCAAGAGAATTACTGAGGCATGTCAACAGAAGAATTACTGAGGCATGTCAACAGAAATTAAGTAGAGACCCAAAAATTACTGAGGCATGTCAACAAAAGCTAAATAGAGACCCAATGATTACTTAGGCATATAAAGAGAATTTAAGTAGAGACCCAATGATTACTGAGGCATATCAAGAGAATTTAAGTAGAGACCCAAAAATTACTGAGGCATGTCAACAGAAGTTGAGTAGAGGGATAAAAATTACTGAGGCATATCAACAGATGTTAAGTAGAGACCCAAAAATTAATGAAGCATACAAACAGAAGTTAAGGTGAGACCCAAAAATTTACTGAGACGTATCAACAGAAGATTCAAACTCTAATTGAATTATCCAAAAGGGAAATGACCCGCAACATCAATAAAAATGAGCAATGGGATCAAATGAAGCAAACTGTTAAAATAGTAGCACAGGAAACATTGGGATTCAAACAGACAGGGAAGAGAACAGGATGGTATGACACAGAATGCAGAGAAGTTACAGATGAAAGAAACAAGACTCAGGCTAATGATGCTGCAAATGGAGACCAGAAGAACACTAGAAATATATTATGCAAAAAGGGGGGTTGCTACCATAATTTTGAGCACAAAAAAAAACTTGATTGGGAAAAGTAAAAAATAATAGAGATAGAAGAGTTGGCGAATGAAAGAGCTTAGGGGAATGTACCTGAAGATGAATCAGGAAAAAAACGGCTTTCAAGCCAGATCACATGTATGAAAGTATAGATGGCAAAATGATCATAAAGAGCAGTACATGGGCACAACACTTTGAAGGGATGCCAAATGGTTCATCTGGAGGAGCCAATGAGGATAGGATTAGGAACGACCAAAAGGACCCACTGATCAGCTGACCAACAATGAATGAAACAAAAGATGTGATCTTCACCATGACAAAAATAATAAACCCACAGGAATATAATGTACTGCTGCAGAACTCTTCAAATTAGGTGGAAAAGAACTGCATAGGAAATACATCATCGCATATCCAGAACCTGGCAGGAGGAAGTAATGCCAAAAGACTGGGCTCATAATCCCAATACACAAGAATGGATCTAAGCTGCATTATTGCTCAAATTATAGAGGAATCTGTCTCCTTGATGTAACTTAAAAGTCCTTGCTAAGTTCAATCCTCAGAAAACGTCTAGACAAGCAAAAACATCACCAGCACCTGAGGTGGATGGGACTCATTAGCCTTGGGATAGCAACTCATCTAAGGCAATCTCTAAAATCAAACCCGGAGTTGGGCTCAAGTTCGCATTATGAGATTGACACAATGAAAATTCTGACAACTCCTGCAACATAGAATGCATAAAAAGAACATTGAAACACACACTCACACTGCTCATCATCTAATTCATCCTGGTCTATTTCCATTTGTCTTGCCATTGGATCAAATAGACAAGGATGGGAGAGAGAGGTTGACAAAGTGAGCAACTCTCCCTCACTTTAAACAAAATTACTGCTCAAGTCAGGGCCGTTCAAGTTGAAAATTGCCTTGGTCGTCTTCGCGTGCGAAGGACAAACAACAACAAACACCATGAGATGTCTCCTGAAGAAATGCTAGGAACACAAAATTACCACACACCAACTACATGTGAACTAAAAAACAACTTATGATAGCCTAGACAGGAAATATCTGTAGGATGCACAACAGCAGGGGTGTCAAACTCAATCGCTCAGCGGGCCAAAACTCAAATCACATGTAAGGTTGCGGACCGAACAGGATAAATATTTAATAAGTGAAACATCCATCTTTTCTTAAAAGCATTTACATAAATGAAAACAGAAAAAAAAATAAACAAACAAATCATTGGCAAACCCATTTTCGTTCATATGCCAATTTGCCAGAGCTGGATGTTTGACACATTTTCTTGGCTACAAAAACAAGTAAGTTCGTTTATGTTGGGAGTAACGTTCTGTGTCATTGAGATTCTCATGATGAACTGCAAGTGTTCATCAGTGAGATGACTCCTGTGAAACACCATAGTGTTGACTTGGATATAAGTGTATGCCGATCAAGACCTCACGGGCCTGTAATTGTACGGCGGACCGGATGTGGCCCCTCAAGGATTAATCAGGACCTCAAACACGGAGACTTACTATCAAGTATCCTGTTCAACATCACATTAGAAAAAGTGATGAGAACCATTACATGTGAGCTCCAGTGAAACTATCACTACTTCCAGAGAAGCCTTATAGAAAAACAACTTTAAATTGCCAACCTTGCAGGTATCTGGCATATGCGGACAACTTAGCTCTACTGGGCAGAAACTGCATTGACGTAAACAAAGCCTCAGTTAAAGCTGGTCTTGACTTGTGGTAAATGAAGCTAAGACTAAATATATTGTAATGTCATGAAACAAACATAATGGTAACATCAAAATAAACAACTACGTCTTTAAGAGAGTAGCTACTTACAATTATCTGGGAGCTACTTTAAACAAACACAATCAAATAATGACAGAGATGAAAGAAAGGTTAACAGCAGGCAACCGTTCTTATTTCAGCCAACAAAAGCTACTAGGAAGCAAAAAAATCTCAAGGAGAACAAAGAAAGCCGTATACACCACTATTATAAGACCAGTAGTAATTTACGCATGGGAGACTTGGTCCCTTACCAGAAAAGCAGAGAGCCTGCTGAATACATGGGAGGGTAAAATAATCAGGAAAATTTATAGTCCAGTTATAGTCAATGATTGATGGACAATTTTTACAAACAAAGAGATTGAGCAATTGTTCGAAGAGCGACCCATAATAGCAACAATTAAAGGCAGACTGCGCTGGACAAATAACCTTGAGATGGTGCCGAATTGTAGAGCAGCAAAAGTGCAGGCAGAAACCTAGGGACGCATGGCTCACAGGTTGGCCAGGGCTTAAATGGATTAATGATGTAGGACTTACATAAGCTGGGGGTCTGGAAAGTTATGGATCAATCCAAATAAAAGGATGTGGTGGAGCAAGGCTGTAGTGCCACTGATGAGGATTATGAATAAATACAAAGATTTAATTAGAGTTTAAATGTTTTTGACAAAAAAAAAAAATTTCTTCTTGGTTAACCTTGGCAGAATCAAATGTCTGGGACAATGTAGCCACAGTATGAGACATAGGTTATAGCACAGAAAAGCTTTTAAAAGGAAATATTTTTTCACTCTGTTTTATTAGAAAAACTAGTAATAAACCTTAATATAGAATATATATTTAAATGTCAATAATTCGTTGTTGCTTGATTTTGACTTCTTATAACAGATTCATTAATAGAATCAATATTTTGGTATCTTCACAGATAGACAAAATTGCTAGGTTTGGACTTGTCGAGTTCCTAGAAACATTTCTTACAAAACAATAGCATTCCTGACCAAGTTGACAGGAATAATCATATTTATTTTCTGTTACAATTTTTACAGGGTATATCCAGCATGCACCCCCTAAGCACTCAAAATGCCTTTATTAAAAAATTTTAATAAAGAAAAAAAAATAAAAGCATAGCTGAAAAACTTGTCTATTTTATTTGGCACTAAATATTACACCTGTAATGAATTTAAAATACTCCACCTTTATCAGATTTTGTTCTAGCTTTATTTTTATTCTTAGCATCTGCAAACCAAAATAAAAAATAATACAAGCATAAACAAAGCCAAAATAATTAACACAGTCTTTTGAGGTTCTCTTCTCAACAACAGAGTCACATGAATCAAATAAATATGGTTTCCTAGTTATAAATGGGCCGCAGACAAAAAGGTGAAGGAAAAATTGACTGCACTTGAAAATATATCATTAAACAAAATAAATATTTAACAACTGTAATATTCAAAAAAATATTTATTTACAGAAAAGCACACAAAAAATTGTAATTTGTCAATCTCACTATTTTTTTAAAGGTACAAATACAAACAACATTAAAATTGTAAATCTTCGTTTATATTTATATAGGAATTGCTATCCGATTCTAAATTTGATAAAATCCAGCTTTAAAATCCAGTGTTATTTAATTAAAACATTATGTTAAATTTAAGTGTTGGTTATATAATTCGGAGGTAAGCAAAAGGTATGGACAATGCGGCAAATAGTTTAAAATACACGAGCACACAAGACTGTAACTATATGAAAGAAATATTGACAAAGATTCACCTTTGCCTGAAGGACTAGGAACAACAAATCCTGGCATTTGAAATAAAGAGCCAGTGTTGCTGTAACTTGGCTTCATTTCAGAGAATCCACAAGTAGTCAATGAGCCAACAAGAAGAACTAAATTCCTTAGGGCTTGTATTGATTCTTCTGCACTGTCTTGCTCAAGCCTGAAAATTACAAAAAAATAATGACACTTTTCTAAAAATAAATAACTCCTTCACGAGAATATGAATTTTCCAAATAATTCATTCAATAAAATGTAATTATTTAAGGCCAGAACACCAATTTTTTGCTGTAATAATAAATGATTTTCATTACATTCATAAATATATATTTGTCGAAATCAGAAGAAACGGCATTGTTTTTTTAAAAATAACTTCTAAACTGAAGAAGAAAACATTTTGCAATGACAAAAATTAAGAGTTTTAGACAGCTAAAATGCCATCAACATTTTTCTTCTAGCAAATATTAACATTACGTTTATAATTAAGCTATTTTGAAAGTCTTACTTGAGTAGAAATTCAGAGAGAAACACATAGCCTTGACATGTACGGAAATCATCCAATAGTAACTGGGAGACCTCACTAGAATCTTTCAAAAAGCAGAATACTGTCACAAACATCTCAACAAGTTCCAGGGGAGAAAGATCCTGAGCCCTTTGCATATTTTCTATACAGTGACGCACACAACCTTTTTCTGCAAAGTAAATACAATATTTAGCACCACATTTAACACATTTTTTATTTCCCCGACGAGCCCAACGTTTTATTAAGGTTTCATATCACCCTTTCTGAGTAAAATTCTATTTCTGTAAACTTGGAATAGCAACAAACAAATTATTGCATGAATATGATCTCCAAAAAAAATAAAGTCTGTAACTCGTTTGATTATGGGAATAAGAGTAACCAGTTAAGCTTAAAACAAATGCCAGAAAGGTTCAAGCAATTTCAAAAACATTTATTTACCTCTAAATACACTTGATGTGGTAAATGGACCAAGAGCAATTATGGAACTGATAAGCTTTTTTTTTTTTTTTTTTTTAAATTTAGATGCATACATAATGAATGCCTCAAATAAGATTCTTTTTTTGATCCAAATAAATGGAAATGTTACACTTGATGTGGTAAATGGACCAAGAGCAATTATGGAACTGATAAGCTTTTTTTTTTTTTTTTTTTAAATTTAGATGCATACATAATGAATGCCTCAGATAAGATTCTTTTTTTGATCCAAATAAATGGAAATGTTGAAGAGCTCTAATCATTTAATTACCGTGAATGTAATTGACCACCTTCTGTGTAAGTCCATGACGTGACAATGTTACCAAAACTTCACCGGCACTTTGCCTCCACATTACATTGTGTTTTGGACACCAACTTGTGATGGCGCTGAATAAGAGACTCAAGTCATCTTTCCATGCGAGCTCTTCGGCAGGTGAGGTATGATTGCAAAGTCTTACTAATACCTAAAGTACATTTTGAAAGTATTACAAAAATAGAGTTAGCTATCATAAAAGTTAATAGAATGTAATAGAAACTCATAAAGACAGAACATTTAAAAAATAAAATAAAATACAGTGCTGCCTATTTGGATAAAAATTATGCTAATCTACTGCTGCAAACATAAGAAATGTAAATTAGCGACTTAAAGTCAACATGAAATAATACAAACCATTTCTAAAATTATTTTAGACAATGGGCCTATTTGCATTAAAACTGTTTCAAACTGTATGGTTAAGTTTGATATCTGACCTATATTTGACCTGTTAAACGCTATAAACCTACATAAATAAAAAGTAATTATGTTAACATAGAATCAACTATTCTAAACCAGGCTGCACAACAAATGGCCACTTTGCAGCCCGCGAAGTAACGAAATATTCTTTATTCTTATTATTTTCTTGATAGCTTTCCCCCTGTCCTATTTTCTTTTGGCCCGACAAGTCCTGTCCTATTTTCTTTTGGCCCGCACAAGTTTTACATAAAGTATTACAGCCCACCTTACATTTTGAGTTGTGCAGGCCTGCTGTAAACAGTTTGTATATTTGTCTTATCAGCAAATCTGTTTTTAAGAGGCCAATTTTCCTTTTCAATTTTAATGATTAATTTAACAAATCAAATTAAATTATTAAAATAATGAAAAATGCATTACAGCCTATGTATTTTCATAAATCAGACAATAAAATCTTTGTTTCTACCTGCACAAACACCTTCTGCAACAGGATTCTCCTTTCTTTTGGAGTGAATTGACAACCTGGCTGTAGCTGGTCCTCATTTTCCACAGGGGGTAAGTCAAAGAACAGATACAAACACTTGACTAGTGTGGAGGGAAGAGAGGCAGCAGTCATGCAATCAATAAGTGTGTTCCCGCCCAGAGAAAGAAGGTTAATTGCAGTAAGCAGCATCCAGCCATTTCCATTTTCTATTTGAGACTCCATTTCTAGCAACTGAACAATGGCACAACTAGCAGCTTCTAAAATAAAGGAATAGGTGAAAATACATGTGTTACTCATTGTAAAATAACTTGATGCACACCAAAAATAATTTACATAATTTATTTTGTGCTATAAAGTAGAAAAATAAAATCTTTCTTTGCTCTATTCAACAAAGAGATGTTTTATTGACAGAGTGACAGTGGATAAAAAGCACTTTGAAAATCTTTAAATGCAATGTACTTTGAAGAATCCTTTTAGAGAGTAATGTATTGTAATTAGTTTTCTTTCTTTTTCATGGCCTTTAGATTTAATAATACTACTAGCTTTTTTTCTTATATACATAACTCTGGGGTAAAAATGTTTGAATAGATGCATAAAAAGGTGTGTAATTTATAGGCAATAAGTGCAAACTGCATCGTTAATCTCACTTATATATATAAAAAAAAAAATAATAATATATCTCTACTATTTCTTAGAAATTCTGAAGTATAGAAGAATAGGAATAGCCTAATTTGATTTAACCAAACGCATTGAGTACTCCTTTTTTTAAATTATTTTTATAATAAAATTAGAATTACAGTAAACCAATTATTTTTTCAGGGAATATTTATTGTGACTCTGTTATCGACTGTAATCTACATAAACTCTTTAACAGTTTAATATGTTTGGCAGTGATTTTGATAAGTTGCAGATTCTCCCATTTAATTCACAGCAAATTTAAAAATAAGTTCACCTGTTGACTGGTTAGATGCTCTTCTGCGTATTTCTGTTACCATTAATTTAGAGACATGGCTACAAAACTGAAGAATATCGTTCCATTTGTCAGTCATGTCAGTGGCTTGTGTGTTTTCAAAAACCTGTAGTAAAAAACATAGACTAAAAGAAACTTCATACAAATACTTCTAACAACATGGAACCTGAGTTTTAATGGCACTAAATTGATTATACTTCTGGTATACACAGTGAGGCAATCTCAAATCAACGGTCTGGCCCAAGTCAAGAATGTGGGAGATGGCGCTAGTCAACTCTATCCACTCAAAATTCAAGAGTATGCTTAGTCAGACACTTGCATCTACATAACACATGTTTAGGAAATGCCAATGTGATGCATACAAGTCTGATGAGGCAGATTCAGAAGAGGCATCACCATGTGTCTATTCAAGAAACTTTGTCTGACCAACCAAAATTTAAATTTTTTAAATTTGAAAATGAAACAATGTAGTCACTATTAAATAAATAGCTTGTTGTAAAAGAAAATTCACGAGATTAGAAATTTACTGCTCAAACAGATGTATCCATTCCACAAAAAATTTTCATACACAAAATTTGAGAAAATGTGATTTTTAGCTTTTTTTTTTCATGGCTGGTTAGCGCTGAGTAATTCTTTTCAGGAGGGTGTTGATAAACCATCTATATTGCTATGGTCCATATTAAAATGCATCTAAGGAGGATCATTTTTTCATGAGGAGGTGTCAAGATATGAGAATCACTGTCTTGGGTGAACGTTTTTGTGGTCGTGAATTATAGGTGTCTGAGTAGTATTATAAGGTCTTAATGAGATTGGTTCAACAGTGGATGAAAAAAATCATTTGAGTAAGGATATAAGGGTCTTGAGAAGATTAGTTATTTTCTGTAGTTCTCATAGTGCTATTCTTGTAGTTCAGAGCATCAGAGAGAGAGCATGTCCAGTGTTGATCAGTGTTAGTAGTGTTTTGTAGAGGCTGATGTCTGCATTTGTGCTATCACGCATGGACTATTGCAATGCTCTCATGGTGGGTCTTCCAGCTACGCTCCTGGATAAAATTCAAATAGCACAGAATAATGCGGCTCACATAGTTCTCCGCAAACGCAAATTCGACCATGCAAAAACACTTCTGAGAGAGTTGCATTGGCTGCCGGTGCGTGCTCGCATAGAGTACAAAATCGCAACTTTGTGCTACCGCTGCTTACATGACCTGGCGCCGTCCTATCTGAAAGAGCTGCTGACGCCTTATGTACCCACTAGAGAGCTCCGCTCATCCGATAGTGGCAAACTCTCGACGCCACGTGTTTGCCTTGAGACTTACGGAAAGCACACTTTCGCATTTGCTGGTCCAACAATTTGGAACGCCCTTCCTGTCGATCTTAGAAACAACCAGACACTGGAGTTCTTTAAAACCGATCTAAAGACACATCTATTTCGCAAATACCTTCTGGGATGATTGTCTACCTTATTTTCCAGTTAATGCATAATGGCTGTGTTGCTCCGAGTTGAGATGGCTAGAAAGACTTTGAGATTGTATGCTTGTAATTAGTTTTTGTAGTGTTGCGTTTGTTTTAAATGTGGTAAATTATAGATATGTTTTTTGTTGACTTTGTACCGCGCTTTGAGCCTTTGGGGATGAAGCGTGTTTTTGAAATGAACTTTATTATTATTATTATTAGATTGACTGTCATAGTGGATTTGTGGGGTCAGTCATCTCATTGTGCAAACAAAGTAGGAATTGTAATTAAAGAATAACTATAGTCATTTTGTACAGTTTAGAGTCAATTTAATTTTAGAAAATGTTGTGGTAGCTGAAAATTGCCAGAACAAGAGCCAGAACTGCCTCACAGCAGGTCAGAGTGGGTTCAAAGTAATCATACTGTAGCTGTGAAGGGGAAAAGGGGCATGCTAAGGTCATTAATATACATTTTATAGAAAGATCAGCAAACAGTAAGAGTTGGATTGGAAAGCACTTTGCCCCTTGCCCTAGGTGGACGTAAAATATGTATCAAGACTTGGGATGGTGTATTTTTTTTGTCATTGTGAAGTCGGATGAAGTGATGTCACGGGCCGGATCTCGTAGTTTGGCGACCCCCTGGTCTAGATTATGACATGTGGACGCTCCTACCCCACTGCACAATGACACAAAGTCCTTCTAAATGAATTTTATAATCATTTATTGAATTTTAAATCTCTCTTACACAATATGACAAATCTATAATCTGAATCAATCCCTAATCAGGTTCTTAGGCTTTACACGGTCTGCCGACAACCTCAGCTCAGAACTGGTCCCACAATTAGAATATTGTAACACTGACACATTCAGCGTTATGAATATCCCCCCCCTTTTCCACACTTCCCCATTTATTTTCCACCAGCACACTACTAGCCCTTAAGTATACTCCTTTGTTTGTAGAATCTCTATGCTCATGGTCCGATCCGTATTCTGGATCACTAACTCGCTGTCCTCATTCATAACCAAGGGACATGCCCACACAAGACTCTCAGGGTATCTAAAAACATTTACATTATGTCATTTTAATTCACAAACCTTGCTTTATCTACGGTGCTACCAGTAAAGGAATGATCCTTATTTCCCTTTATTAGTGAATTGAATCCACGGGTTAAATAATCATAATACTAAGATTGAGTCTTTGACAAAATATATATTCCACAGCCTGTCTAATTAACAAAATGAGGAAATATACTGACACTTCATAGATTATATAAGGTTTTAAGCATAACTAGAGACCTCTGTTGGCTTACTAATATTGCTATAGTTAAAATTTACTATGCCATTCAATGTAAAGAAATTTATAATGCAAATACATTTTAAGCTCAAAGGCTAAATCTTTCATGAATATAGGTATGACCTTGTTTAAAATTTAATTTTTTTTTAAATATGTATGTATTTGCTCATAGCCATTGTAAGTTAAGTTTTTCTTTTTTCTTAAAATTAGTTTAAAATAGTACCAGTATACTGTTAAATTTTGTACACACAGTATAGACAAACAAATCTTTGATTATTACTTAATTTAGTTCCAATTTACCTATAATTAAATTAACTTTCAGCTAGAAATTATCACTAACCTTGATAAATAAAGGAAGCATGCTGTAGAGTTTCTCCTCTTGATTTTTTTGGGTTTTATTTAATGGTGGATGACGAAACTCTGCAAACAACTTTCGTAGATGCATGAGACCAAGATTATTGTCTTGGGCCTGGCCAGCTGGTGATGGATCTCCAAAGCCCCGCTGGCCAAGCATTTTTTTCATGAAGCTCATTTTGCTTCCCCTGAAATAAATAATTCTATAATACATTTCTTTCAATAAAGTTTTTTTTACTGTAGATGAAGATTTTTAACAGCTGGATTCACTGACATTCAAGATAAAAACTGAAATTGTGAATATTATATTCTTACATTTCTACAAACAATTAAGTCATTCAAATAGGATCGGAAAGCAATAAAGCTAAAGTAGATTAATCAGATTAAACGCACAAACTGTTTATGTAAAAGTATGGTTAAGCTTTAATAAAAATAAACCAAATTGAAAAAAAAAAATTCGTTTGCAAGCTTTCATAATTTAAAAACAAAGGCATGTAAATTTAAATTTTCTAAAAGTTAAGCATAAATACAGCATTAAATTGGAAAAGTAAGAAATAAAAGCATGCCCAAATACCCAAAAAGAAAATTTAAAAAAAAAAAAAAAAAGAAAAAAGGGGAAAAAAAAAGGGAAAAAAAAAATAAAAAAAAAAAAAAAGCTTTCATAATTTAAAAAAAAAGGCATGTAAATTTAAATTTTATAAAAGTTAAGCATAAATAAAGCATTAAATTGGAAAAGTAAGAAATAAAAGCATGCCCAAATACCCAAAAAAAAAATTTAAAAAAAAAAAAAAAAAGGCAGTAGGGGAAAAAAAAAGTGAATTAAAATTTTGTGAAACAATATTGCAGCCCTGTAAAATTATGGATTTAATTTATACAGAGTAGAATTGACGCCCAAAGTATTTTAATCAATTTATTCTCCACACAAATTCTTTGCTGTGAACTCTTAGAAACACTGTCACTACACCAGTTAATACAATATCCCAATGTGGATCTGTACGGATATTTAGAATGAGAATAGCAGGAATGGCTAGCCTACAAACAATGTAGGTGACCTCCCATTTGATTTACAGTGGTCTGCCAGTCTCCCTTTGAGTTGCATCATAGTCAATGGGTGACGCTTTGATAAGAGATGAAACAATTGACTGAAGCAATATCCCTTTGAGCCACAGCAGCCGCCAGCTTGAGTTATCCTATGACAAGCGAACAGCCTTTTTACCAGTCTTTGATTATATTTATATGTATTTTATCTAACCAGCTAAAATTATACACATAATGCTACACTTAAGCGAATATGTTCTATGTGACCTGAAAATTTTATCCTGGCGGGTTGGGGTAGGAGAATTCAAATAGCAGTACCAGTGGTAAACTAGTTATCCTTTGGCTGATTAACTCCTGTTTGGGATGTTGGACTTTAGATGTGTATTAAAGTAAAGTTACGCATATTTTTATTATTATTTTTATTAGTGGTCTTATATTGCACGGTACCCCATCCTAGGGCTGGGCTCACCTCGTTGTACATAAAAATATTAGCAAACATAATCATGACCATAAAAAAAATAACATACATTTATTTAATTAAAAAACAGCTATATAACAACAAAACAAAAACAAATGTATATTCACACCATATGCAGATAGAGAGTGAGAGCCCGACAGCAGAAACTGACAGGACAGAATCAAAACCAATGAGAGGGAGGAGTGGCACAGTTCAGTAGTGTCAGTCAAGAGTGAGGAGTAAAATTTTTATATGAAGTGTAACAACTAATAGTTGAAAGCAGAGCAATGTAACCAAGAAAATTCCTGATACTATATTATTTGTATGTTGGGTAAATGTTTAGCTCATGGTTTGGATTTTTACAAGAGTAAGTGCAGTGATTGGGAACTATGGCTGGTAGTTGATATGATAGACATGGCCAGTAATACTGCAATCTTAATTCCAGCCTATGATTTGGCCTAAAATAAAAATAGATTAAAAGTCTAGATTTGATGTGAATAGTGAATCGTGAAGTCGAACTTGTGTTATATTATAATTAATATTATTAGTCTTTAACTTTAGTCGTTCGTATAGCAGCCACAGTATGACAAGTTTAGATAGTCAAAAAAAGTTTCTCTACAGAATTTCTAACTCTCATTGACTAAGACTCCAGACTGTCTAAAATTGAAGTTCTACTCAACTGACTTGAGTACTTACTGTCTCTGAGCTGTTTGGCACCAGTGGTATGCCAGCACCAGTTCAGTACAAGTTATTTTTTCTCCACCACCAGCCCCTATTGATGCCACAAATATAGGCCTCTTATATTGTTAACTGATGTAAGTGGGCCTATCACGTTAAATTAACTCAGATAGTTCAAATAGGTCTAATAAAGAGAATACACTCACTTCACCGAGAGTCCCAGGCAAACTCAAGACTGAGCAGAGTGTTGAGTCACAACAAACCCCTCACAGTCACAGTGAGCGTTCAATTCTTATTATTATGCAGAATGCAGGAAACGAAAAGTAATGCTTCATTTTCTTTATTTAATCTCAATTCATTTTCAAGTTTACATCAACCCAAAAAAACTTTATAGGTAACCATGTTCATGCAATTAATCAAATAAAATTCATCATATCAAGTTGTTTTTGAAAATGTTTAGCAGATTCAACAATAATATACTCAATGGTCCATGAAGAACTTCCGTAATTTTTTGGTGGCCGGTTTTTTTTATTTTTAAAACCAAAGTGCATATAAATAATAATAAATTAGTACAAATAAATTTTAAATTAAAACTCAAGATATGTGTTCATTAATTTATAATGATAATCAATGTTATAATTTTCTCTGGATAGCTGCATTAATAGTATATTTATGTAATTAGTGTTAAAAATATGTTTTTTGGATATTACAAAAGATGTTGAGCAACCGTCTATGTAGTATCAATGACATCTAAATTTACTGTAATTTTAAAATAACATCTAAAATGACTATGGTCATCTGAATCCCCCCCCCACACACATACACATATTTTTTTCGCCCCTCCCCTACTCCGTCTTTTTTTTCTTCCTTTTTTTAAATTCCTTTCCTAAATAGGTTTACCCACATATTTTTTAATCTTATTTAAACTTCTTAAAAATATAAAGCAAAATATAGACAATATTTTTAGAGTGTTCGCTTTCTCAATCGTGGTTATAATTTGAAATACAAATGAATAAGCTCCGCAACCTGGGCAGTAATTTTGCATTTTCAAATTGTTACCTGGCACTTATATTGCTCAAAAGATGGCGCTCTATTTCCAATCGTAGTTTTAGGTCGAGGTCAATAATTACTTACTAAATCTCTCATATATATTTTGTAACTGGTATGTCCTGATTCTTCATCAAAATCACCCCCCCCCCTCACACACACACACAAAACAACGTAATAGTACTGAGTGGAAAAAAGATGTGTCACGCAGCGAGGTTCGTGCGTGACGTCTGAACTCCGGTATATAGGTTGATTTTTTTCCGTTTGGGGGGAGGCGATTATTACTCGGTGTTCTTATTTTTCGTGTTCCTCTGTTACGCAGGGAGCTTCGGCGTGACGTCTAAACTGTTTTAAATAGTTTTTTATATTTTTTTAATGTCTCTGCTTTTTCACATCTTTGTTCTGGGGCTGCACACCACACAGATCGCCGCATCTAAATCTAGGCTAATTCGTATATTTGAAAAGCAGAATTTATTTTTAGTACAAAAAATTTAAAAATCATAATGTAATATTATATATTCTGGCTGTTTGCTTGTTTCGGGATGTTTTTTTCTAAACTTAGATCTAATTCGTTTTTTAATGGGGGGGGGGGGGGTGCTAGAAATGTTATATATTATTGTGGGGGTGTCAATGGAAATGTTGCTGGTATATAAAATGAGGCCCGCGAAGTAACGAAGCATTCTTTATCATTATTATTTTCTTAATAGCTTTCCCCCCCTGTCCTATTTTCTTTCGGCCTGCACAAGTTTTTCATAAAGTATTACAGCCCGCCTTACATTTTGAGTTGTGAAGGCCTGCTGTAAACAGTTTGTGGCATTAGTCGGCGCAATAATATTTTGGGAAAATTAAGAGTAAACGTTATATGAAAATGCTCTTTTGTTTATAAAAAAAAAGTTTAATTACTAATAATCTTTTTAAAAAAGGCATCGATCTAAACTAAGACATGGGGAAAGCTGCGACAGGCACGTTGCTGGTACATTTATTTTATTTTAGTTCAAACATGGAATATTTAAGACTTAAGGTTTGACAGCTAGGGAAAAAATGCGTAATATTATATTACCTCACAGAAACGATAAACTATAATTATAGAGGGTTGGCTGGAGGAAGGAGGTAAATGTATGGTAGGAAGTTCGGTCTTATACACTTCTAATTTGGCACAAACATGTGTTTGATAAAATCCCATTCAAACATAAATAATCGTTCAAACCTTTCTTTATTTAAATCTGGCATATTAATATTGTTTGCAGTTTTCGTAGTCCGATTGATCGGCAAAGTGGCCGAAAGTGCAACTCTTTAGCTTACATCACTTCATTAGTTCATTTTTATGAACTTCTTTTGCCATTTTGTTCAAGAAATGGGCCACATGACATTACACCTAATAAATATAACAAAAATCACATAAACGATATACATTGTTACATAATTAGTATTAATTCATTATTTATTCACATAAAGAAATCCAAATGGGTAATTAAAAGCAATCAAATCTGATAATTTTGTGTTTTCTCTTGTAATTTCAAACTAATTTTTTGTTTTAATTGTATTTGTATCTCAGTGTTTTCGTTGGGCATCTTTATTCATTTTGTAAATTCTCATCACGTTATTATTAGTGATGAATACGTCGATATGACAGACGGCATGCTGGTCACCTCTGGCCTAAAAAAGTAAAACCATTTTCGATTATTATTAAATTTAAATACTACTACACATCGAATGTAGGAATGTAAAGTTAACGGGAGATCCAAATTTTATTCAAAATTTTAGACCACTTTACTTTAATAAATATTATTTTATTTTTGTTTAAAGACCTCTCTCTAGCTATCAAACAAAGAAATAAAAAGGTACAAATTATACTATCAACACCTCGAGATGTTCAGTCAACTTCAACAATTAATATGATGAATATCTAGCTGAATATCTCAGATCTGGCGTACAATTTTTCACATTTGCAATTTGAAAGAAAATAATACGTTTTTTGCAATATCGTAGTACATCTTAATATTCTTAATGAAAGGGTTGCAAGATTTGTTCCTCATTAGCGAAAGGCATCGGGATTTTTTTTCTTTTCTAGAATGTGGTAGTAAAACAAGTGTTGAGGCTGGTAAGATCAAAACATTTCAATGAATTTCTAAATGTAAATAGAAATTGTGCTTTCCAGATAGTCCCCAGTTCCAGTATGATAGTGCTGCCCATCTTTTTGACTCAGGAGCCAATTCTTTTTCCCGTGAAGCCGAGGGCCGCGCATGACATCTTTAAATAAATACTTTTTTTTTTTTTTTGGTTGAAAATTATTCAATTTATTAACGTTAGGGTAATAAGGGGGAAGACTGCAATCAGGTTAGCACATCATTAGGAAGTGAGTAAAACAAAGTAAGGGAATGTAACTAAGCAACGAACGTGTCGGCAGAAAGCCTTCGTCAGCGAACAAACAGAATAAAATTTTAAAATAGCACTTAGCTGAGAAGTAGTATCCGAGAGGGCAGCAAATGAATTGTGCACACTTCAGCCTTTTCAAGGGCTGGAACGTTAGTAAAATTTGACCGATTCATTTGAGTAATAAATGTAAGTCAAGCTTGGATTCGAAAACACTAATTTATTTCATAATCGTTAAGACATGAAAACGCCCTTGTAATTTTAAATTATTACGATGGTCTGTGATACCATTTAGAAATGATAGCCTTACGATAAACTCAAGCATTTCCATAAATCGCTCTTTGCTTTGGACCCGAGAAAAATTTTCACTTCTATGTCTCATAATCTTGCCAGCACTTACCCTTTGCTCGGCCAACGAACATCAGTATGAACTTATGAAGAGCAAAATCCCCCAAATTTATTTAATATCCTCAAAAGTCTTAAACTGACAGAGAGTGATTTAATGGATTATCTTGAATGAAATTACATTTTTTACTACAAATATCCACTGCATCATCTTTCAGCAAAGAGATTGCTAGTGAATTATAGAATATGCTTGAATGTCTGGAAAATCGTTGTCGGCAATCAGCAAACCATTCAGGCCAACTTAATCCTACCATCTGTTGCAACCGAAATAAGCTTCTTCAAATCATTTACTATTAACTATCCTTAGATACATATCCTCTACGGCTTGTATTTGTACCAACAATTCTTTAAATCCACATTTCTTGTCAATTCTAACCAAAACAATAAGTTGGACGGTGTTAGTGATAGTAACATCACAGGATTCATCTAATGCAAGACTAAAACTGGTAGCATTTTCAAGTCATGAAGCAACTGCTCAATATGTATCCCCGAAATACTTTCAACATGTTTTGACAGTCTATTGAGAAAGCTGGTTAGCAATTATACCCACACAGCATGATGTAGCTAGTACTGCTCCTGTGATGTTCACACCATTGTTAAAAACACAAGAAAAAGCAATAATAATCCTTTATAAATTTCCTGTTTATTTGATGACATAAAAAAAGTATGGACCACAAACAATTTGAAAGTGAATACAGTACACTCTACCACTCAGCTCAAATATCCATTCTTATTTGTGCATATATGTCTTAAAGAAAACAACTATACTATGAATACTAACAAGAACATAAATCTAGACAGAACAGTATGTACATCTTACATCTGTTATATATCAACTAAAAATTTGACATACACTTTTGATAGAAAGCATTGTAAGTACATCGACTAGGAGACACTAACTTTAAAATGTGTAGTAATTAACAAGAAAGTCAGTGTGAACTAGACAAAAAGTAAAATTTCTAAACGCTGATTAGTAACAGAATATTTGAAATAAATGCAGTTTCCAAACTGGTAGGCATCATTCCGAAGCAGATTTGTAAAATATACATAAAATTAACTCCAACGATTGCCATTAAAAAAAAAGAAAATCAAGGTGAGAATGGACATTTGTAATTATATACAGATTTAATTTTGAGTGATTCATAGAAAAATACTATTCTTGAATAACTAAATACTGATTGCAGGAGCAAAGCTTAAACTTAAAAAGTAAACTGGAGGTAACTTATGGGTACATGAAAAGAGTCACTAAAATTTCCAAATAAATTTACATTTGAATTTGTGCTGTTAAAGTACCGGTACATCAAAATCTTATGTAATTTTTTTTTGAAAACCACATGTAGCACGGAGCATAAATGCAGAAAAAATAAACATTGCGATGGTACTTATGGATAATCTTTAAGTGAGTTGTGAAGTACAGTACCAACTTGAAGATGCAAATTATACTTTTAAAAAACTTGAGAAATAAGTACTTCAAGCACCCCCAGTATTTAACTCATTCCCTCCGGCAGTGCTACTTCCCGACTTAATTTATTTTCCAGAGAAAAGGGAAGCAACTCAGATTTGAAATCGATTTACATTTTTAGAATATCTTTTTAAGTAGCTAAATATTATTTAATGAATAAAGAACAAATACAACAAAAAATAAATAAGGTTTAATGTAAATATAACATTAGTGGAGAAAAAAAAATGAACATTGGCAAAAAAAAAAGAAAAAAAAGATTTTCGGCACCCATGACGAACACATACTACATGTAGACACGCTGTACTAAAAAAGAGAGGCGTGTCGCTTACCGCCAGGATGCATCAGGAGGAACCCCCAGAGAACGCATTTAGTCGCAACCGTCGGGAATGAGTTAATAAATTACTTTGACATAAGTCATATTAGCTAACAAAAAAAAATACAACCTCACTGTTTCGAAATGCTCAAAAGCTATTACTATGAGCATCTTACATCAAAATGTATATCCAACAGTACACAAGAAATTAGAAGTCAGAAATTCCAGATCAAGAGGGTGGCTAAGACCATATTTTTCTCGTAAGTTGAAAAATGCACACACATGTATGTATTAATATGATCACCATTATTTATTATACAATACAATAGACATATTTGGGAATGTTTAAAAAAAAGTTAATTAAAATTTTGTCTGGTTAAGAAAAAATATAACCAAACATTTTGAGTTGAACTGAAATTTATTATGAAGCACAAAACTGAGATTCATGATATAATCATTTAAAACCAAAGTTAAGCAAATGTAAAACAGGGCAGTTAAATTGTTCATTGACAAGAAAAAACATTCTTAAAGTTGATATAACTACTAAATTACCTTGAAAAATCTTTCTTGTTTTTAATTTAAATTTTCTTTTTTAAGAAGTGATACAAATTTCATGTCACTGGCTTCACACTTACAAAAGTAAAAAAAAGCAACCCCCTTTGCATTCAAGGGCACCTTAAATGCACCCCAAAAAGGGTTCAAATGCAAATTACAATCCAAATTTGTTACCCAACACTCATACTTGTGTCATTACATCTCACAAAAGCTTTCTTAGACCAAAGACACTTAAAATCAGTCCAAATGTCAAGGAAAAAGACAGTGCAACTCTCTCAGAAGCATTGCAATTATTACCGTTGCAGTTGCAGTACCAGGATTTGTAACGGTACGTTCCAGTACGTTCCAGACAGTCTCCAACATTACCCCGTGTTGCACACTGGCGAAGAACTCTAGTGTGGTCTTCTCCATTGTAGTAAACTGCAAAGAATTAAAATAAATATAAGCTCTAAGTAGTTGCCAATAACCTCTAATTTGCTATAATGGCCATTGTAGTATGCAGTATAGCTCAACCTACTTAACTTTTGCATTTATTGCATTTCTGCAACTATACTAGAAATAAATTTGAAAAAAATATTTCAAGGTTTTAGACTTTACAGACCTAATTAAATTTAACCTATAACTTAACACTTTCAACAACCTAAACCTCAGCCAAAGAAGAGCAACACAGAATTTAAAACAACCCAACTTTGTAATATATTTATATTAAAAAAATTGATTCACATTCATAACTGGTATAATTTATGTGTTCAATTACATAATTTCCTAATGCTTTTGTTAAGTTAACTACTAAATGTCAAATTACAAAATGAAGTATCTGGTACTTGACTACTCATGATCCTAGCAAATGAACCCTGTTTGATAAAAATATTCAGAAATAATCTCCCTTGCAAGACCTCAGCTTTTTATAAAGCAACATTCAAACCTGGTAACACTGGAACTACAAAAGTAGCACATTATCATCCCAGAATAGTAATTAACCAACTGAAATCGTATGATATAATTTAATAATAAATAAACACAGTCCCATGCACACCCTTGTAAGTTAACACCACCCCCTCCCTCTCCAGGCATAACGTTATAAAACCCAAAATGAATTTTTGTAAATAAGAAAAACTAATGAAATATTTTATTTCAACCCACACTCTTAAAATTCTAATTTTGACAGGTCTCTGCGTACAATTGTAAAAATCATTCAAAAATCACATATTGTGCAAAAAAACTTAATAAAAGTAACCATGTCTGCAATATGTGAACAGCATCAAGTGGATGGATTTGGTTGTTACTGGGTTCATTCAATACTGGTCACATTTGGCAAACACGGAATTCAACTGGTTAAATTATACTTACTCTGTTGTTCAATTTTCCTGCACATAGTCTGGTTACCCACACAGTCAATTACTGGAGTTTGGGCACTAGGGGTAAGGCAGAGTTCCTTTTGAACCTCACTGTTACAACTGTAACATGTAAGAGACAGTCCTGAAAATGAACATATGATTTGAAGTGACTAAAACATATCAAACTTACACATATCAAAAGTAACAAAATTGCTGACAATTACTTAAATTACATCCAATAGTAATCGATAAATTAACTTCTGTATTGACAGTAAAGTTAAGTGGCACAGGAGTGGAATAGACTAGAATTCTCAGTACCTGTAATCCATTGAAAAAAGAAAATGCAAAGTAAAACTTGTAATAAGACTTATTTAAGACACCCCCCCCAAAAAAAAAAAAAAAAAAAAAAAAAAAAAAAAAAAAAAAAAAAAAAAATTAAAAAAAAACTTATTAAAAAAACCCCCCCCCAAAAAAAAAAAAAAAAAAAAAAAAATATATAACAAATAGAACCAAACCCACTAGCTACTTACATTATCTTAACAGCTCTCATGTACTGCTAGTACTAATCAAATCACAACAAGTAGGCTTTATTATAAGAGTGAAAAGTAAGTTTCTCTACTCTATAGTCTATACTCAGTACGGCAAAGCTTCTGAACTCACTGATATGCTACAATAGCTAGGCCTACATACTTAATTAGAATGAGTCAAAATCACAAATTAAAACCATACCGGTACCCACATAATACAGTGAGTGGTCAATGGAAACTCCAGTAGTGCCCCCCCCCCCCCAAGCCTCTATAGTGTAGATACTTCGATGAAACAAGGGAGACTACTATTTTTTTTGTATCGGAAATGGGCGTCGGCGCCGAAAAATCCGAGTTTTTAATTTTCCGATGTGTGTCTATTTATTATTAAATTAGTTCTTTCCACATATATTTGAGTTCCGTTTCCGGCCTTATAATTTGGAAGACATCTTGGCCTACATTTCTAGCCAGTTATTTTGCTTTTTTCAATCGACCTTTATTTTGAAAATCTTTGGTATATATAAGGCATCTTCGCATACAAAATTTTTTGTGAAATAATAAGATAAGGTCCTTTTTTATTAAATCTGTATGAGCATTAGATATTGATCTATATCTGTGCCAAGTTTCATTGATGTAGGTCGTGTCCCACGTTTGTTACACTTGTCACAGTGACCCATATCACCATAAAGTGGCTCAGCCTAATTTCGCCATGGCGTGGGCCACGCCCCCTTTTTAATGGCGGAAGTTGCCGATACTTAGGAAATATTTAATTATTACCACTATATACATCAAAATATTTTATATTTTGTGTTTCAGAATGCATTTTGAAGACATTTAAACTGGAAATGTTTTAATTTGAGCTTTAAAAACCCTGCAGAGTCCATAATATAAATGATCAGAATTTTCCGTGTGCAACACGTTGTCATTGGCAACCATTCACAGCCACTTGCATAACGGCTACGTTGTAGTACTATCTCAGAGTTTCATTCATAAGAGTTTGCTGTGTGCAAAAGCTATTAAACCATTGGTCAGGGAAAGCTTTTATTAATTATTCATGTGCCAAAGTTGAAAGTTTAAAATAAGTCGACCCTAAACAGTATTTTAGTGATAAGGGAATGCTTTGCCTTATATAAACTATATAGTCATTGCGCATGACGCGATCAGTGGAATGAGGTCACAGAATGTGGAGATGCAGTCTATGTTAAAAAATGACAAACCAAGTCTTACTTTAAAAATTCATAACTTTACAACTACAACAGCTAAAAATATGATTTTGGTGTTATAATTATGTTTAAAATTAGCTCTATTCAACTGTGCCATTGGTTTATTTTTAAAAAATGTTTACATTTTTGACCAAAGTATCTACTATAGTGCAATCAACTACCTACTTGTTTATTTCAATTAGGTCAGGTTGATGATCGTGGTTAAGCCCAAATTAGTTTAAATGACCAAAGAAAAATTGCTTTGATGAACTGGGGCCCTAAAAATTGAAAAGATCTATCCAGGATTTGCGATTGGAATACAAGTGGTTCATGACTAGTGAGACAATGATTAAAAGATTATTAAATATATAATGTGCAGATCTTATCACAAGCATTTAGTATCTAGCCTACAATGACCTACAGCCTACAGACAATCGGGTCACAATCGAGATCTGTCTCAAACCCCTATACTAGCCCTATGCCTATACTCTATACCATTGACTTGACTATTGAGTTGGTACGAGAAAAGTGGGCTCTATATAATTCTATATAATAATAATATTGGACGAGGGGACAACGAGGTTTAAATATAAGTTCCTTACCTTCTTTGATTGCAATAGCAATTAAGATGAGACATGCCAAGATATGTTGTGAAGCCTTCATGGTTATCAGAGACCCAAATGTCTTCGGACTTGTTCGATAAGGAAAAGGACAGGTACAAGAACGCACGGTGACACAATCCCGGTCAGGTTGTATCTACGGTCACCTTCAGACTGTTGTTACTTCCTCCGATGAAAGCGCCATCTACATTACATAATTATAGTCTGTCTGGTATACTTTACGTCGATTCTTTGCTTTGTTTATTCAAATTACATTTTAGTAACATATTTATTGCCAAAAATTCTTTAGATCTCTAAAAATTCACATGTCTTTATCATGTGTAATGTTTCAAAATAAAATTAATATTGTAGAAAATGTATGTGTACGTAATATTTTTCACCAGCGGACATTAGGCTACTGTAATGTATTAAATCTACTTGAAACAGACGATAGCTTATTTGCCGTTCGACCTTCACCGCATTCTATTCTGTATCAAAATGCAGTGATCAAGTCTTCTATTTTTTTTTTTAAAGTTTGCCTGCCTGTGTGACTGCGTGTCATTGAAATCGTTACAACTTTGTAAAAATTTGGTGAAATGGACTTAGTTATTTATTGAGTATGCGGCATGTGGAATTTATATATTTCAAAGTGTTATGTAATCAGAATAAGGAAATGGCATTTTAAATGAGTCATTTGTCAATGGCGATCATTCCGGCATTATAAATACAAGTAGTTTTACGATTTAGATAGAAAGGAAGGGCCAGTAGCGGTTGCAGGATGGTAGTACATGCATGCACTTGTACAAAATAATAATTATGTGAATGATAAATGCAGTGGCGTCACAGGGTGTGTGTACCTGGCAGAGGGGAAGTTAGTGTTGCCGTCCGGGGCAAGATTTTTTTCATCTCCATTCAAGGAAAAAAATCTGCAGTTAGCCGAAAATGCTGCACCTCAATAACAATATAAATTGAAGAAAGTGCCGCCCAGGGTGGACCACCCATTCCACCCCTTCTACGCATCTGACCGCAGTGGGTTAAACCGTCTGAGAGGCTACTCCAAAAGTAATATGTGTGCTCTGTTTCACAGCAGAATAATATAATATTATATTTTCCATCTCTCATAAACTCTTTTAGCCCACCATGCATCGTATTAAATTTTAGCTATTATTCCAATTACAAATCTTGAAATAGGGGCTATAAGCCCTCGCGCGACGTTCATTTTTGATTTTTTTATTTTTTTTTTTTTAATGCTTAAAAAAAATTATTATTGTTTTGTTTATTTTATTTTTTTAAAAGGGGGGGGGGGGTGTGGTTAGAAATAAAACATGCACGCTGTTGATGTCAAGATTTATGTAGCCTAATGTAAGAGTGTTCTGTAATCGTTTTCGTAAACATGTCTCTTCTGACTATCGGACTATCCTTTACAATTTAAATGCGTACTCAAAGTACCTGGTTATCTTAATTCAGCATTATGTGTCATGATTGCTGTCATCGGAGCAATGCCGGATTTCCCTATAGGCTAAGCAGGCTTAAGCCAAGCCCCCCCCCCCCTTCCCCAAACTCATGCAAGGCCTGCAAGGGCCTCAAAATTTAAGAACCAACATTTTCCATTTTTTTTTTACATGATTGCGGCACCCGGAGCAATGCCGGATTTCCCTATAGGCTAAGCGGGCTTAAGCCAAGCCCCCCCCCCCCTTTCCCCAAACTCATGCAAGGCCTGCAAGGGCCTCAAAATTTAAGAACCAACATTTTCCATTTTTTTTTTAGATTCCTGCTTGAAAAAATAAATAACGTTTAAAAAATGATAAAAATAAGATAAAATAATTACCATAATAGCCCCAATATAAAAGAACCGCTGTGATACATTGATAAAAGAAGCGCTGTTGCGTCTACTGGTATTTAAAGCCCCCCGCCCCTCGTGGTGGGGAACGAATAAAAAGAGAATACTTAACATTGAATTGAACAGCGAAAACCAAAAAGAGACAAGGCAATAGCACTGAATATTAAAGGAAACATTTACTAACAAATCGAAGATTAAGTTGTTTAATTTTTTAATATTTTTTTAGTGATCTTAAAGTATAATGTCTGGTATTATATCTTAGGCAGGTAAAATGTTGTAAACAAAACTATGCAGGATGCCTCTGTGGAACTATCTACTGCAGTTTCACTAATGAATAGTGTCACTGATTATTTAATTGAATATCGTGAAAAGGGATTTAGAAATGCACCAGAGTCAATAAAAAAAAAATTAAAAATAAAAAAAAGGCTAAAGAATTAGATGTAGAGCCCATTTTTTTTTTTAAATAAAGGAAGTCATAGAAGGGTGTTGTTTGAATGTGTGGACCGACGAGCAGTGTTTCTTTCAGAAATTCCCCCCCCCCCCCGGGGTGAGCACTTCAGATTTTCGGGGGGGAGGGGACTTTAGATTTTTCGGGGGGGGGGGCAGTGCAAGCAGTTCCAGTTGATTTATTGTTGGACATGTTTTTGCTCCGGGAGGGGGCACTTGGCTTTCCCGGGGCGGGGACCCTGCCCTAAATCGGCCCTGATGAGATGATCCATGCCTCGTTCAATATTCCCCACTGCTACTACTGCTATCCGAGTATCTGTACAGCGGCCAGGTTAAGGACCTATGGCAGGCCGGATCTTGCCCGCAAGTTGTAGTTTTAGGACCTCTGTTTCAAATCTATGGTCTCTATTATAGTATATAAGCTTGCAAAACGAGAACCATTTCCAATTGCTTAAAATGACATCAGTAGCGAGTAAATTAAAATAAAGGTGAATGACAGAAGGTGAATGTAAGTGAAGGTGACCTTCCCTTCAGTCGCGCTTATTTTAGATGTGCTTGTAAAAGTTAAGTGCAGGCCCGCTGAAAGTAAAACAAGACTCGTCGTTAATAATGGCTCATTGCGATCTACCCAGTGGCGTAGCTGGCGTTAGTGCCGCCCAGGACTGGTCAATATTCTTGCCAGCCCCATTTGCGCGAAAAAAAACAACCTCTGTAGTCCACCAAAAATGCCGCCCCTTCATATAAGGAAATAAAGTGCCACCTGGGCGGACCGCCCCCTCCGCCTCTACCTTAACGCACTTAGAATTGAGGTATGTTCAAAGATGGAGGTGTGTGTTGAGGGGCATTAATATATTAGCATCCTTTTGCGGCCATACTATACACACGGAAATTTAATTTATTTGTATTTCCTTTTTATGAAAAAAAGAACTGTATTAATAGTACACACTTACGGTATATATAAAGTAGTTTCAATTGTGTCAGATAAATATTTAACTGGTATATTTAAGGGGGAAGCCCCCCCCCCCCCGCGCCAACTGATAACAAATAATAACCTGACTATAATCTACAACTTTTATTTTAATAATCTAACCATCATGGGATATTAGACATTGCAGTATATATTGAATTATTTGAATGCAAGTAATATATCTGATATAATTTGTATGTAAGATATATTACAAGTTTTGGTACGTTGACTCCATGCGGTATAAAACCAAATTCACTTTTACATAGCTACCTACTACCACGTCTTCTTCCGGTGCGTAAAATTTACTTCCACATCACCAACCACATCCTTTCAGTTCTTTTAAGTTGTAAGCTTTCTTTTTGTTAGGGACTAGAGCCCATTCTTATTCTTTACTTTAGGATACACATTATAAATTATTATTTAAATTTAATTTATACTTGTATTGTTTTTGTTGTTACAGAGGCACTTGCCAAAACGTTGGCCATTTGTTTTGTGTAACCATTATTAAAGCTTAACATTGTATTGTGACCAATTGTGTTATTTACCCAAATTTCTCATTAATTATACAAATAGTGTACATATCAATAAATAATTTCATTTAGTACTAAATCGAAAGCGTTAGTGTTTTTGTTAAATGTGCTACTTTTGTAACAGTTTCCTGAATAACAGAATAAAAACCAAAAACAACTTGGGGGTTTTCCATTAATTTTTTTTTTTTTTAAATAGGAAAGGGTTTGGGGGGGGGGTGTTTTGGGTGTGTGTGTTTTCCGGAAATGTTTGACAATTGTTGATGTAATTAATTTAATGTACGCACCCTTAGCTTATATTATTATTATAGATTTTGTTATTTATTAAATGAATAACAGAATAAAAACCAAAAACAACTTGGGGGTTTTCCATTAATTTTTTTTTTTTTTAAATAGGAAAGGGTTTGGGGGGGGGGGTGTTTTGGGTGTGTGTGTTTTCCGGAAATGTTTGACAATTGTTGATGTAATTAATTTAATGGACGCCCCCTTAGCTTATATTATTATTATAGACTATGTTATTTATTAAATTACCTACGGCTTTTCTCTTTTTAATATCAGAAGGAATAATATTAAAAATATACGACCAACCTATTTTCACGTTTTTAATTTTTGTTCAGTTTAAAAAAAAAAAAATTTTGTTTGGTTTCTAATTTATAGAATACATTCTTCTAAGTAAATCTTCATAAATTCTGTGGATAGGGTAAAAACAAATGTACCGGTATTTAAAGTATGTATTTATAAAGTAAAATAATAAAAGGCAAATTGTAATTTATCTGAAGAAAGTAATAATTTGAAATAAACATTTTATTTAACTGAATATTGGGAAAGTGATGATTCATTATTTCATGATTTCCGTCCGATAAAATCACATTCATATTAAATATATTTTTTGTTACCTGGTAACATCTCATGTCTTTTGTACATTGCTATTTTTAGCTGTTATTTTTGTGATGGAAATTGGAAAAGTTTTTTGGGAGGATTTTTGTTTGTTTGAAATTTGAAGTAATTAACCCCAAAAATACCGGTACTTTAAACAACAATCACATTAATATATAAAAATTAATAGTATAACACAGGCAGAGCAGTCGCTTGACTTTTCCGGGGCCCCTTGCCATTTTTCTGATCTGTCTTCCCCGCCTTGCTTGCATTCAAAGTTGATAAGTGAAATCTAAAAATGTATTTAGCAATTTTGTTGCTTTCCAAATTAAGTGTGGAATGTTGCAAAAATAAATTCAGGTCTGTGCTAAAATGTTATCTTGTATTTATCAAAAAATTACTATAAAGATTTAAGGGGTGGAAATAACTAGGGCAAAACCATACACTCAACTAGAATTAATTCATGTTGGGCTGGGGCGGAGTTGTCCTTGATTATTATTTTGGCTAATCTTGGCAGCTTCACACTCGAAAGTTTGAAATGTCCCCCACAATGGTTGAAAGAAATATTGAAATATGCGAAAAAATGCACTCTGAATTTGGCAGACAGTCTTCGGCACCCTCAATTTCTGCCCTTCCCTCATCCTGATCAATGTTACAGTTACAGGTTTAGAATCTAAGCTTTTCCCAAATGATTACCGTGGGGTGCCACAACCAGAGTGAAAATCAGTTATGCATGGCACCATAATGCTTTCCCTGAACGCTTAAAAGAAATTCTTTAATTCTTTTCCGAAAGAAAAAGTCAAATAGAAACACGAAATTTAAGATTACCCCAAAAGCACTTCTTGATTTTTAAATAATGGAAGTTTCCAGGCCCCCCTCTCCAGCTCAAGATTCATTCACTCTCCATGTCTGTCCTATTTCCCAATAAAAATGATCAAAAATTTTAGTGCCCAATAATTATTTTCATATATTAAATACCGGTACCATCAAAGCCAATTTTGCCGTACCCCTCAGCAACGCCCCTGGTGACTGGCAGTGGCACTGCCCCCACACCCCCTGAGGAAATTGAAAGAATCACTGCTTGCAATTGTAATATGGAGGGGATCTGGTTTAAAAATGGAATACCAGTGGAGCCATAAAAGTAAACAAATCAGATGAACGATAAGTTTGAGTCGAATCATTTATTTGTCAAACTTAGTAGGGAATTAATTTTAATTGTTAGCCCCCAGTTCTTGAAGTGTTCTAGTGGCGGTAGTAAATGATTAAGGGACAGTTGCAAATAAAATAATCTTCAAAATTACAGATTTTCACATCAATTACATGCTGCAGTTTCCTCGATTCTAAAAAATACAACTATTTAAATTCTTTTGAACAGTGGAGAATAACCTTTGTGTTTGAGTCGCAGCATTGCTTTAATTTACATGGCGATGATTTTTCAATGGCTTGCTGATGCACATATAGCATCAGTCAAGAGTTTGTGCTCAGTACCGCTTCTGCAAATTGTTTGTCAGATACACTTAGCACCAATTTTCTAGTAAATTGAGAAAATAAGACAGAGTAAATGGACATAAGGGAAGGTTTACTTCCACTGTTCAAAATATTAAAGACACACTCCAGCGCGTTATGTTCTAATTTCAATTCTACCAGAATAAGGTCGAGATAACCAGCAGACCATATATGATAACGTGATAGGTGAGAACAGTCATTATCACTACTTCCTTTCTTTGACACTTGGACAAGATTAGCTCTCTTCTCCAATGTATAGCTAATAAAATTTGAACATAAACATAAGCAAAAGAAACGTGATTTAATAAAATTTTAAACACAAAATTTACAGTTATGGATACATGCATGATATACAACAATGTTTGACAATCGAGGAAATGATGGAAAAGGTCAATATTTGTTATAACAATTATTGAGAAAAAAAAACTATACAAGGCCAATTTTACATTGTGGTGCATTAACTACAATAATTCTGTACATAAAGCAGGTGCTTTGATGGTAGTTCACTTTATTTCTTAAGTTTAATGATATTCGATAGCTGAGTAGTAAAACATTCACTCTCACACACTTGCTGGGAGATTCTGGTGGAACGAAAGACTTCCTTGGAAAAGAAGTAGAGAGGGATGAAAACGAGTATAGCATTATCACTTAAGTTTCCTCCAGCCACAAACACATTCTTGGGACACAATCATTATGTTACATTATTATTTACCAAAAAAAATAATAATTTAAAAATACAAAAACTGGCTCATTACACAGCTTTCAGAAGCTGTCATTTAAGCAATGACCACAATTAAATAGAAACAAAACCATCTTGAAAATATCAGTTTTGTGTGTCCACAATAAAGTTTTAGGTGGCCTACGAAACATTTCTAAAGATTTCATGAGTAAATGAAAGAAAATGACCAACTAAATAATTCTTTTCAAACTAGGACATTACCAAATTGACATATAGCAAGGAACACAATTTAACCATATCCTCAATAAATGATACCATTAAAGGTGTAGAAAAGTAAGCTACTGAAGTTTTTCAAATAAGCAAAACAAGTGACAGGCAGAATTCAGAATTAAAACTAATAATTAAAAAAATATATTAAAAAAATTTTTTTTTCTTTTAGGCTTGACTATGACTTAACTACATTTTTATTTAAAAAAAAACAACAAAAAAAAACAACTAATTCCTCTCTATTTTTTATCTTCCTCAAAAAATGGATACAGCTATAACACGAACATAGTTTTTAATGTAAATGGTCGGCATGATTATTATTAGTGTCTACATGCATGAGGTGCTGGATTGAAAAGGGGTAATAAGAGAAGTTTTGGAGTATATTAAGGTGAAACAGAGGTATTGGCCATTTTCAATTTTCATGAATACAACTTTTTCTTCTAAATCTTATTTCATGGCACCAGATGTAATCAGTATGTCATTTGTGTGTGTTTCACTTACTAACATGTAATTGTAATTACAACTTTGATAGAAAGCATCATATTACAAAGGCTTTTGTCTCCTGCCTTTACATTAGCTTATATGTATGTACCTATGCATGTGGGTATATATATATATATAAATAATAAACAATGTTTGCTCCATTAAATTAGTCGCATACAACCTATTTTTTAACAAGCAAAAGGGCTAAATCTTTTGAGGATGCTCAATACCAATTTAAATTTGGAGAAAATTATGCAAATGCCAGGAAGTTTCAAAAGGTAATGTCTCTAGTCAAGTTCACACATGGGTAGGAAAGCAATGTTACACTATTTCCATGCACTTGGCAAAATTTTCTAAACATGGCTTAATAGTATTAAAAAAATTTCAGCCTCATAAGCCATTCAAGAAAGTGTCAATAGAAAAGAAACTACATCATCCTCTTTTAAAGATGGAAGGATGCCAACCCTAAGAAGTGTAATCTACTTATGAATAGCAAAGCAAATGCCATCCATCATTCATTACACACATTGATATGCCCTCAGAAGATACTTGGTATGTATTGGTGGTATATTCAAAACTAAAAAAAATAAATTAAAACAAAAGCATGCAAGGCTTGACTTACTTATTATCTTTAAAATAATTTTATTGGGATATTTTAATCAATGTTGAAAAATAGCAAACCGCAAAATTAAAAGTTTATCTTTTCTCATCTGAGCATACAACCCAAGTATTCGAGAAAAAAAAAAAAGGCTACAGAAAATAGGATGCAAGGTTGAGACTATGTAGCTTTTAGAAAAGCATACACTTTTGTTCACAAATAAACTGAAAAGGCATTCTATGTCAAGCTAATATATATGTATATTAATAAAGCCTTTCGCATCAAAATAAACATAGGAATAAGGGAATGTAACAATGTGAAAATAAATACCACAGTAGTAGTGTATATATAAATTGCACTCAAAATAGGTACTGGTTAACAAAGCTGTCAACTGTACCTGAATGGGGTAAAAGTAGGGCTCTGATTGTATTACTTTCACTTTCTAATTGAAATCAAGTAAAAATGGGGAAAGGACAAGCATGTGGACTTTTTAAAAAAATAATACACCATTCTTCTGTAATGTCTGGAACATTATATCTGTAATACAAAACTTATAGATAATACAACATCTCTCCACGTACAATTTGGTAGTCTTTACACGAAATGATGAATAAAAAAAAAAAAATTAAAATATTATAAAACATTCCTTCAACTCTCTGCAGACATTTTCTTTCTTTCTTTACAAATCTAAAATTATGGCAGTTGCTCTGCTCTTTATCTCAAATAATGAAATCTCAACGACACAAACAAAAATGTACCAGAAACATATATTCAACAGCACAGTACTTTGTATATTTAAATATGTTTAGTTTTTTTAAGTTTGAAAAAGAAATCAGAACAAAACATCAACCATATTGATAAAAGCAATGATAGAAGTAAAAAATATAGATTTTAAATATATTTAAAGAAGCAATGTACTGCCAAGTTTAAAAAAATACTACTGACCACAAAAACAACAAGTGATAAATAGGGAGAAGTGAATGAGGCAGGGCCACGAGAGAAGACAAAAAGGGAAGAGACATTTTACATCAGTTACAACATGATAAAAAGAAAGGGTATGTGTGAATAATTGAATGAAGGAGAGGGGGGGGGGAGGGGGGGGGGAAAGAGAGAGAGAGAGAGAGAGAGAGAGAGAGAGAAGAGAAATACAACAGCACAAGAGGTATATCACATTTGTAAAAGCAATGAAAGATTATGCAGGGGGGGGAGGGGGGGGGAGAGAGAGAGAGAGAGAGAGAGAGAGAGAGAGAGAGAAGAGAAATACAACAGCACATGAGGTATATCACATTTGTAAAAGCTATGAAAGATTATGCATTAGCAATTCTTTAAAGATTGCAACATGAAAGATGCATTTTGTGTTTTTAAAAAATACTCGGACCGAACAAGAAACAGCAACATGTTTTTTTCCTTTTTATAAATATTTTAAACATGGACAGGTGAGGATATACAACAGGAGTGCATAATTTTAAAAAGAGGAAACGCAAAATATCACATAAGAAAAACCGTACACATGCAGAATTGTCTGCAATCTTTACATTAACATCTTCACACATACAAATTGAAATTAAGCACTAGCACAGCACTTACCAATTTTAGGGGGATAATTTAAGTTCTGATGGTTTCAGAAAGTAGCTAAAAATTACAACAGAATGTATATTGATAAAATCCAAATCCCTTTAACATACCCGATACGACAAATATCTCTTGGATCAAAATGAGGTACTCTCCATAAATCTCATACTCCTGTAATTTTCTTGTAAATACATTTTCTAAACTTGTTATCAAAGCCATAGTTCATTTCAAAACTAGGTGCACCCTGATATCCTTTTTTCTCACTATTAGATTTTGTTGGCTGAAATTGCTAAACTGGATAATAACTTCAGGCTTGAATATTAAAACAATTTATGCAGACAATATGTTACCTGAATAATAAAGAGTATGCATAATGTATATTTTTATGGAGGTTTGTGTTATTTTGACCAGTGTTGTGGCCTTTTCTGTAAAAAAAAAAAAACAACAAACAAACCAACTAATAAACAATACTCTTTATATTAAAAACTCCAATAGGTCAGGACTTTAAAGGGTTAACTGACCATGATAAATTATGATTGATTCTAAATACAGGAGGTTTATATCATACAGACTAGAAATAAGTTTCAACATTTTAAGCTTTGTTTTCAAAAAAGGATAACAAATTTTTTTTAAAAAGCATGTCAGTTCTTGACATAAATGAAAAGATTCTTTAAAAAAAAAGTGCTATAAAAAAAATGACCAACCGGTTTAAAGTTACACTACATTCTATTTTTAAGAAAGAAGATGCAACTTTTAACTATCACTACAGATTATTTTCTATAGTAACGGTTACATAGACTTTTTATCAATCGCGCCATTAAAAGCAAAGAAAATTTCGATAATTTCTAACAGAATCAGTGTGCGGTGAATTAAGCAAAGATGCATTTCTTACAAGTTTTTGAGCTCTACTAGAAATCATTTAATGTTGTAGCTGAAAACAATAAAAATACATTTTGAGATTTTAAATGCTCACAAAAAAGTGATATTTTATTATTAAAGAAAAAAATAATAAAAGTCTTAAGGGGGAAAAACCCAGTTACGTACATATACTGCTGTAGCTCGCATATTCAGCACTAGAATAGATGTGTTTATTAACAATTCCATTTTAAGTCTTGCTCGCAGAGTAATTCTCACTGACTATTCTGCCCCTTATTGTCATTGAACTGTTGTATTATTGAGTTGTTTTGGGTTCAATTCTTGGAAATAATAATAAGACAGCTAATCTCAATTAGAAATTCCAGTGTCCTTAAACCTAAAGTACAGAGAAAACTAGTTTAGTGGATCAAATTAAGTGCTGACCATTGTTGACATAGTTTAAATTTAATAACTGTTGAGGTTATAAATTTTTAAACACCAGAATACAAGTTACAAAGTAAGTGAAAAAAATACATAAATCACACTGACTAGACGCTTAGTTTTCTTCACTGGCTAATCTTTAAAATAATATTTTAGAAATAATTTACCTCAAAGAATCTCTAGTTTGACAATTTAAAAAAAAAATTATTTACAGATGACTGCAATTGAAGAAACACTCATTCAATTTAAATAAGAATTGTTGGTTTCAGATGAGACTTCAAAGTAAAGTGAAATAAACAAGATGAAACAAATCTACAAGTCTGAGATTACGTGATGAGATTGCTCTTATACTAGAAAGCTGTCAATGCAATTAAATTTTTGTTAGTGCAGATTAGAATTGTCAATTATTGATAATTTCAAATTATTGGTCTACATCTCACATTAACACCTACTATACAATGGAATAAAAATAAATGAAAATGAGCACTAACTTTCTACAAAACCTTTCACTACACTACAAAAAAGCTTAAGACACCACCAACTCTTTAAAATGTACCAAATCAAGCTAAACTTTAAGCCTGCACCAAGTCAGTACAGCTTTATTATATAGAATCAATAAGCAAATCTCAGGAGAGAGCTGACCAAATTTGTATACACCTTTAATAAAAAAAAATAATTTAAGATTTCTATAAAACCAAGTCATCAACATCTGAAGAGCTATTGCTTCAAATAAAAATGTGTGTAAAGAAGTGCTCACTTTTACAACTTTAAGTGAATAATCTAAATTTATAATTGCAACCCATGACAATCAAATGAAAATATGAAAGATTTTTATATTTATCAGACATGATAAAAGATAAAATTTATGAGGGGAAAACACCATATAAATCTCCCTTTCAAAATTTATATGGCCATAAATCTGTGTTAGCAGTCTTTTATTGACAGATCGCCCAGACTTTCAACAAACAAACAAAAATTTAATAAAAACCACTCACACAGTCACAAGATATAATCAAGCTGAACAAAAACATGACAATAATTATAAAAAGTATATAAGTTGAGGGTGTGGAGTCCTTGTTAAGACTTTGGGTGTTCCTTATTATTTGAATTGACAGCATCCTTCCTAGGTGGCATCCTCTCATTCATCTTATCTAGGCATTTGGCTTCCTCAAAACCACTGATTTTGTGATTAGGAGAAAATCCACTCAATGCTGGAGGAACAGATTATGAATTTAAATTAATTTTATTTGAGTTAAAATAGTTTCATCTACAGGTCAGGATGGTTTATTTTTCAATGATGTCATTCAATAAAATTTATAAGAAGTTGGAACACATATTCTGGTGTATATCAATTTATATACTTTTAAAAACCTAAATAATGAATAAAAGAGTAATTACAAATCAAGATAAGATTAATTTAAAAAACTATTTTGATTATGCATATAATCCATGAAAATGATGTATTTCCTGATAAAATTGACTGCCTTTATAAGTTACAAAATAATGCTGACTGATGAAAATTAAGCTTTACATTAAGAAAATAATATTGAAACCATTTGAAAAAAGTTGAAAGACATCTTGTTTCAGTACAAAATGACAATTTATGTTGATGCTATACTCAGTACTTACCACTGCTTAGAGTATCTTTTCCACCCGAGAGTGCACCTAGTGGAAGAAGTCCATTTGGTGTAAGACCTTTGAGCTGTAGCACACTTTCACTTTCTTCCCTGATTAAAATAGAAAGCAAACAATTTTCAGCTATAATACTATAAATAAGTAATACATTTTTTCTCTAACTAACTCTTTCCGTGCCAAATCGACAGTATACTGTTGATTTAACTGGTTGCGTTCGTGCCAACCCACAGTATACTGTCGTTATCACTTATGTAGTTTATTTCGTTTCTTCTGGCTTTTAATCCGACTTCTTTTGTTCTTAAACGAAGGATAACTCTTACTACTTCCCTTTTTTAAGAAGTAGGGCATGTTTGCATGTGTTTTTTCTAATAATAGTTCAATTTGTGTTGAACCTTTTGTAAACAAAGCCATGGCCACGCCCACTCCAAGCGTGTCAGCTGTTGCTAGACCACGTTGGTAGTCAATTTTGCAAACAATAAAACTTTTATTGCTAATTATTGATGCTGAAACAACAGACAATAACCATGAATCATTTGAATCTGATTCCAATGATGATTTTCAGCATTCTGATGGGTCTGTAAATGCCAAATGGAAATAGTAATAGAATGGTGATAGTAAATAGTGGTGACTGTCGGCACTTTCATAAAAATTTCAAAACATTTTTAAAAATATAAAAATACCACGAATGTATAGAGCCTAGAGAATGGATTTAAAAAAAACCACCCAGATCAACTTTCTAGCTCAAGTAGTTCAGAAGTTATGATTTTTTTTCAAAACCACTTTATTACTATGGCAACAGTGAGGATTCAGGTAAGAATACTCCTAACGTTACAAAAATGGGTATAACTCTATAAAAAAATGGAATATTTTCAAAATGTAAAATGCAATATGATCAAAAAATGGATATACTTTTTGGGGATTGAAGCAGAATAGGATATCAGCTACACAGACCATATGGTAGTCTGATTAGTTCAGATTTGGTGTGCAATTTTAAAAACATAAAATTTGTTTATCTCACAATTTTACCTAAAACTTTTAACTTATTGTTATATTGTTTTATACTTTACATATTGTTATTCTCTGTCTAATTTCCTTTAATTTGATATGAAATACAGCTATCTTGCTAAAATAAATGTATTCAAAATTAATTAATAGATAGGAGCACCCTAAAAAAATTTCCATTGGCCGAATACTGGTCTGGCACGAACGTGGAAAACCCCCTGGCATGGAAGGAGTTAATACAGAAGACTATCAACTAAATAATTTGTTAATTTATGGTGTATCAACCTTGTCCATTTAAATTTAAACCAAATAAATCGCACCAATCTTTAATTTAAAAATGCATAATTACATTTTTAAAAAAAATCCACTAATCAATTATTCATAAATATTTTGGCAACAAGGTTTTAATAGTAGCTTTTTTATGTATCACTAAAATAAATTAAAAAAATAATAGAAAATGAAAATGGGTCCCATAAAGTATACAAATTCTGAAAAAAAAAAAAGAAAAGACACATGAAAACAAATCATAATGAATGAATTTGGTTAATTATTTAAGATGACTTTTATATGGCTTTTATACAATGAGTACAATTGTGTAAAGGGTTTTCTGAAACAAATCTTGACAGACTAATTGGGATTCTTATAAAGTGTGTTACATGTGTGCATGTTTTGTCAAATTTTCAGCCCCACCCCCCATTGCTCATAGTTACATTTTACAAAGGAAAAAATATGTTTTTACGGGTTGATTAATTTAAATGTACTTCTGTGACCTAAAAATTCCTTCATATATTTAAATTAATTGCTTTTAATTTATCATTAATACAGTAAGTGCTAGAGTAGTCACATTCCCCACTTATTTCAAATCAATAACATGAATGCTAGCTTGTTAGTTAACTGCTGGCTTGTCTCTATCAATACCATAAATTCTGCCAACAAATTCACTACCATAAATTCTGCAAACAAATTCACTCTCATCAAGAAATAATTCAAATAAATTGTGCTATTGTTTTGAAGGGCCATTATCCTTCAAAATCTGAGGACAGATAAATATAACAACAAAACATTCGATAATGTATACTTGATTCAAAATAAACTATATAAACACACAAAACCCTAGTTTATGCTTTATTTTGCCTTTCATTTTTATCTACAATCACTGTTAATATTACTCAGCGAATTAGCACTTAGGAGAACTGGTACAAATGTATATATGGTCCAAAAAATGAGCTCTGATCAAGTTACATGGAAGAGCAGAGTCAAGGTGTTGTGACATTGACATTTGTGATAAATTGGCGAAATGTGGAGAGTCCTGTAGTACCGTACGTAAAGTGTGATGAGATAATCCAAGTAAATTTTCTAGGATAATTTCTTGCTGTATGGAACACCCTTTCAATTTCAAAATATTTTTCGCAGACTACTACCCAGCAAACTGTTAATGCAATATCCAAAACCCCTACTCAAACTGCACCAAAATATCTTGTTATAAAATACCTCAAAACAGTGAATACTCTGGCCATTTTCCCTATAGCTCTGATCTTGTTACGAATGACTTCCTTCCTTGCAGCTACTGAAAAGAAACAAAAAAGTTAATTTCTGGCTAGAAAATGACTAAGCAGAGAATCCTATACTAAGCTTTTTAAAACTAAAATTTTACAATCAGCTACCCTGTTAACAGTTAAGTTCTGTTTAATAAAACTGCTTTAAAATAAAGCACATTGTAACTACCACAACAAATTAATTTTCAAACATCTTTAAAAAATATTACAATTTACATTATTTCCACTTCTAAATTTAAAAAATACGTTGCTCATACATGATTCAATCTTTCAATCCTGACAATGACAAATAGAAATCAAGTATATTTTATATAACATAACCGGCAACAACAGCTTTGAGATGGAACAACAATTTTCCAATAAAATCCTCAACTTTTACACTTCTCAAAAATAACTAAAACCAATTCAAATGTTTAATAATTAGTTCTCTAGCTTAATTATAACAAAGTCAGAATAATTGCTTGTGTTAGGCATACAGTATGTACATGAGATTTAGAGGTTAAATATAAGATTACTGGGATAATCACTGACATGATGATATTATGATCAGTAGAAACACAAATGTTATTTGTTTTCAATTGCACAAGTTTTGAGCCAGAAGTCGCAGACTTTCAGAACTACAAAAACTTTCAAATCTTATTAGTATTTATACAAAACTTAGCCAGAAAATGGTGAAGGCTCTGAAGTATGCTTTGTAACAGTTCCATGCTAGGAGAAATGTCTTTAAATTTATTGCATGCTTACTGTCAACTTTAGCTTACACAAGTAAATAACTTGTTTACACAAATAAAAAGCGTGTAAGCATGACCATAAAGTGTACCTCATATTTGCAATTATATATCCAGATAGCAGAACTTTTTATGCTCTCATATTTTTAAAATAAGGCAGAGACTTTCTAGAACAGGGAGAAGGATTGTATTTAAGGCTGGGTTGACATTAAAGATAGCAAGTTACTATTTAAGAAAAGTTTTAACAACGTGCCATCACTTACTTTGAAATATATTATAATGCTAGACAAATGTTTAAAAAAGCTATAAGGGATGGTAAATTTTAAGGGGAAAAAAGATAATAAAACTCCAGACATTAAATCAATCAACTTAAACTGTCAATTATAGCTTAATTACCACAAATTATACCCAATTTTATGCAAATTTATCAAATGAGTATGTTACAGCATAAATACAAAGCGCTTCAAAACTGTGCAAAAGGTCAATATATGTTCAAGAATTATTGAATAAAAAATACGCAAGACCAATTTTTAGTAAAATAAAAAGACTTGCCCTGATGGACAAAAAGAGATCAAAATTCAGTTTTTTGAATAAAGTTTTAACAGAATGACAAACTTTATGTGTATACTATGCTATAGATAACGTTTTAAAATACTGAAATAGTATTCAATCATTGCAATTGGCAATATTTATGTATAAAGCTATACTGGGAATCAATCAGACATCCTTTAAGTGCCATTAAAGAAAACAGGAAGTAGTTTCATTTTTAATCTGGAATAAAATAGTTAACATTTCTTTTACGGTTTATCTAAGCAATAGGGGTTGCAATCCGGATCCCGAAATTCGAAAATACCAGACCATAATTGAAGCTCGAAAAACACGGGATTGGATTTATGAAAACCCGGGATTTTCGATAATCCCGGGATTTCATTTTCAATTTAAAATAAAATCGATTTTCTTAGTTTCCAAGTCGTAGTTAAAGCAAAACATATCAATAATTTGTGTGATGTGCAAATCCCTCACCCCACGTGTCTCAAGTTCAAAGATCTGGCTAGATCTGTATACTCTTATTTTTCAAGAATCATGATGTTATTAATTTTGTTTTTTCATCGCGCATATAAAGGGCGTAAGTGGAGACGAGTCACGACGTGAACGTACAGGATTGGTAAGTAAATGTTCTTATATTATTGACAATAAGTGATTGAATGATGATCAAATTTTGACTTCCATTAAGAATTTGTATGGAAACAATAACACGTTGTACTCCAATCACGGGGTCAACTTTAAAATTAAAAAAATAATTTTTGATTGCTTTATTTCTTTGAATTATGCCTAAAAACCTAAATATGAGTAAATCAGTATTTTGATAATCAAAATACCTTGTGTTTAAGACACGTAAAAATTAATTTACTTCTATTATATGATAAATTACATTAACCTTATAATTGATTTTCGAGCTATTTTGTCTCAGGCTAAATTTCCCAGATATACAGTACCTAGCCAAACATTTACATGAAAATTTAAACATTAAAAAAAAAAGTTGTACACGTCAAACCAATTTGATTAATAAATTTGTCTTAATGATTAATTTCCTTTCAGGTTGATAGAGGAAAATGGGGAACCCTGAAAAAAATAAACCTAAATTTGAAAAGCATATGAAACAATCGGAAACAAAGACATCAGTTTGGTATTATTTCTTGAAAGCTACGGATATTCATCACCTAAATGTATTAGATGTAACAAGATAGTTAAAACATTACAATCTCATTTAAAGTCTGCACATTCCAGCGACTACTTGGACGCATTTCTAAGGCCAGATTGCGACCAGATGCGCAAACATATCGTGGATATTCAAAAGCTTGGTCAGACAGCGGCTTCCTCGTTGGAAATATCTATGCTCAATGAAATTGAACATATTGGATCTGAGGAGGATGAACTTGAAGATACACAGCCGCTTAAGAGACAATTAGAATTTGAAATACAAAAGAAACTGAGGCTCTGGATAATACTTCCAGACCAACGTATGGAGACATTGATACATTGGTAATAGTAGACATGGCTTTAAGAGTGGCGGTTCAAGAGGAAAATATCTAGAATTAGCGTATGATATTCTAAGGTCTATTCCTCCAACCAGTGTGGAGTCAGAGCGGGTGTTCTCTTCATCACGTTAATTTTGTAATCATTTAATTTGCGGTCAAAAGTTAAGTGATCAAACATTATACACTTGGTCATTTTTACGATTTCATTATTTAAATGAAACATTTAAAGATTAAAATATTTACATGATTTTCAATATTTGATTAATAAAACTTTTAAAATTTCAAAAGTTACGAATATTATTTTTTTTCGTTGGATTAAACTTAAAGTCTGAAGTTAAACATTTGTGTTAATGTTAAAAGCTTATTAAATATTAAAATGTGATAATTTTTTCTAAATGTTTGTATTTCATTGATAAATCCTAACCTTTAATCTTGAATCTAAACTAAAAATCCTATAAATATAGAAAATACAGGGATTCCGGTATTGGTTAACTTCAATATAGAAAATACCGGTTTTGTCAAAAGGAACAAGTGTTGCGACCTCTACTAAGCAAGGAATACATTACCTGTAAAAAGCATATAGTATCTGTTAAAAGGTTTATTCTTAAAACTAGATTGAATAAAAGTAAATGTGTTTTCATCAGAGCAGTAAAATGTTTACTAAAAAAGCGGTTGATGTGATCTCCCTCTTTTATTCAGATTTTGTTGATTTCCATTACTGTCCTCTCACCCATTAAGTCGAGGGTAAATGTGAGAGACTTTATGCTATATTTACTTTTAATAATTCTAACCTGCTGTAAGCTTTCAGGTACAAATTACTGCACCTAACTTTGTCCAATGCTAATAAAATAAAAACTGATGATAAATTGTGACAGTCAAACTTATTTTGAAGTGTGAAATTAAAACTCATTGCTTTGAATTAACCAATAAAGACAACATAAAAAAGGGAACATATGGCTTATTTGTTGGTATGCAGAAAGCATCAATAATTTAAATAGTAATTCAATAACTTAGGAAGAGCAACAGTTTTGGCTTTCCAAAGTTTTGGCACCTATGGATTGAGTGAAGGTGTGAAAGATATGGCACCCAAAAGAAAATTGAAATTATTAACCCTAAGTTTATGTCATTTACAGAGCAAAGCAGAATAATTTTTAAAACCATAATATGATAATAGATTTGAAAGTAAAAATGATTATACGCATCAGCAAAATTTATTTATGACTGCAGGATGTTTTTCAAAAGATTTCCGGATAAAAACAGCAGATATGAATTTTATTACCAGGTGTAGTTTGACTGTTTGGAGACCAGGGACAAACTCATTCTTCTCTTCCCCGTCCCCCTTTTTAAAAATATATCACTTCCCATCCCCCACTTTCTTTCAATATATAAAAAAAAAACAGTCATATTTAAGTTTGCATATAAAAATAAAACCAGAAAAAAGTCATACCCCACTGAAAACAGTGCTTAAGCAGGATATTTGTGTGTCTGCACAAAGTAAATACAGTTGTTAGGAAATTCAATTATAGGATAACACTCTTAATGTCCAGTTGAAGGCTATATTAAACATGAAAAATTGCCAGATTAAAGTAGAAAAGGATATTTGAATTATTTGTCCGTTTTAAGACAATGTAAATGCAGACAAAATATGATGCTAGCAACTAAAAATAATTTACATTCTTCAAATTCATTACAACATGGGGCACCAAAGACGTTGCAATATTACAAGGAAGACCATAAAATTCTGTTCTTTGGCAAACAAAAAGAGGAGCAATTAACCATTTATGATTGTAGTTACTGTAAGCCTCAAGTTTCCAATATTTCTTGAGTTGATATCCCATTATTTAGAAGTGAAACAACCAGCAACCAACAAACATTTACAATAGGATAATAGATAAAAGAAATCACAACAAAGCCAGATATTTCAGAGCAAGAATATTCACTATATTTTTCAACTTAGGATATATTTAATGCTATGACTGACTTGTAACTCATATGAAATGAGCTTAAATGATGTCATTCAACACTTAATTTTGAAATTCACGAAGAAATGTGAAGAGGCTAACTGGAATATAATTAAAATATTCAAATTTAATGACACAAGCTTAAAAAAAAAAAAAATTACATTTAATACCCTTTTAAACTATCACAGCACAATGTCCACATCTGCCATCTCAGGAATCCACTGATATCCACATTCACATTAAAGGAGAGATCATTCTTTCAAAACTGTCACACAGAGATATGAAAATCTGAAAACATTTTCAATTGCTAGCAAAATGACCAATGGTTTTTTTTTGTTTTTTTTTGCTGCTCATCAGACATTTCAGTTATGGACCTGCAGAAATTAAAAATTTTGGAAGACTGTTTATACCTTTCAGTGTTATGGACCGAACCCGCAGAAATAATCCATTTTGGAGTACAAACCTACCCCTAATTTTTATGTTTTGTCAGCAATAAAAATATTTTTAAAAATGTGCAGACTGGTCAACTGTTAACCGATCACTTTTCATGATTTTGAGACGCAATGGTGTAAAAATTTAATCAAAAAATAAAATAAACACCCCTCCAACAGATAAGAGGTCACATGTCCTATATATTCTGATGAGAGTCAAACTAAATGAAATACTCAGATCATCTTTAGACACTTGACATTTAAAGTTATTGTTCTAAACACTTCATTAAGGATTTTAAAATGGAAAGATGTATGAGCACTCAAAACTTATCAAGCTTTTTTTAAAAATCGTATGTAACTTGAACAGGCAGTTCTAAATATATTTTAACACAATTCCAGTTAAAATGATCCATATAATTTTGTGTTTCTATCCATCTTTAAATAATTCACAATTTGAGAACTGCCAGAGTAAAGCTAAGTTAAACAAAGAAGAAAAAAAGGGAATCAAAATTACAACAAATCCTCAGTGAACACTTAGTCCATCAAAAATACTTCAACTGAACCTAATAGATATAAAAAGAAACATTCTGATATAAAAAGAAACATCCTAAAAAAAAATAATAAAAAAAAAAAAAAAAAAAAGAAAAAAAAAAAAGGAAGAAGCAAAAAAAAAAAAAAAAAAAAAAAAAAAAAAAAAAAAAAAAACAAAAAAAAAAAAAAAAAAAAAAAAAAAAAAAAAGGTAAGAAAGAGAAGGAAGCAGCAACTGTATCTAAATAAAGTAACTAGCAACGCTGGTAGATGTTAAAATAACCTGACTTAATGCATTTTAACTTTATGTTTAACCATACTGTGTGGTTGATAATATATCATATGGAGATGGGCACACTAAAAATGATAGAAGATATTATTTTACATTTGCAGAGTACCCTTGCACAATACCAAAACCAAGGTGTTTTCTCCAAATTACAGATTCAAGAAAAATGAGTACTTAAACAAGTCCACCCATCCAAATTAAAATTTGGGGAAATCACTTTAACTCAGCCTAGTTTATAAATTGATCCTTTCTAAAATCTTAGCAGGTACAATTTATTTAGATATAGAATTTTATCAAATCTGTTAGCTTTGTCAGAGTTAAGACAAAAAACTTAACTGCAAAATGACCCTTAGGATTAGAAATCTCCACCCGGAAAAAACAAACAAACTAGCAGCAAAAAACAAAACAACATTTAAAGCTTATGCAGACTCAGCATTAAAAACCAACTAATAATTCTAAAAAAATCTATCTTACTATGCTGCAAAAATATACATTCAATCATAATTCAGCTCAAGTTGATCAGTATATAATCCATACAGTAAAAGCAAGTTACACATTCTAAAATACCTCTTTAATTACACGAAACAACTGTACTAAAAAGGTAAACAAAAAAAAAAGATAAAGAACAACAGTTATGTTCAATCCATTTACCCTTTAAGAATGGATGGGCCTTTAATAACATTTAAGAGGACAGCCTTTACATAAGAGCTGCCAGAAATAAATTATGAAATTCAGAAAACTTGTAATCATTTTATAATTTAGAGACTAGGATTTAGTTTGAGATGTAGTAAAACAGTAGTAATATACTGAAAGAAGATTAAAAGTGCTCAATCTAATTTTACCAGAATTGGAAAAAAAAACTCTTATTAAAAAAAAAAAAAAAAAGAAAGAAATTCATTCATAAGGAGCGAATCAAGGAATTGAAGAAAAAAAAGGGCTAATAAGCAAATCCTCAATCAATGAGCATGCCACTATTTTGTCAGGACCGACATTAGGGCGTATAATAAATAATTACATTAGAAACAACTATCACACTAGGCTGCTGGACAATAAAGGGGGCAAACACGGGACTGAAAAGCTTCATAGCTAAACAAAACTTCTACTAGGTCAAGATGCTTATTGTATAGTAGTGGTAACAAAAAATGGGGTGGGGAACTAAACTATAAGCTGAGATGACTGTGTCAATACACAAAAAAAACAAACCACACACCAACAATGGAGGTTGTTAAATGTATTAGTATTAGCAAAGTATTCTATGCTAAGGACTAACCACAAATGGCTATTAAAATATGCACACTACTCAAGGGGGCAACAAAACAACCAGCTGGCACATGACAGTCTATGGAGTAGTTAAGATGGAAAACTTTTTAAAATGAACTTTCTTTATTTATGGTGAGCGAGGATGGACTGCAAGGCCGACCACACAACACCATAAAATATGAGTTAACACTGAAATTTGACAGTTACTTTCAGTATTAATCAAGTATCAGGTAGGAGCTGGTACAGTCACAAGAGGCGTGCACCAACAAATTTTGCTTACTAAGGTCAAAATTTGCCTGAGATTTGCTCTTGTTTGCACCGTCACCTTTGGAAGCAATACAGAAAAAACAAACAGAAGACGTATATCAGTGAGTGCCTGATAAAAGAAAACATCTCTTCTCAGCATATTTACATCACTGTTTCACAATCAGAATAGATCTGAATAACCACACTAGATATTGAAGTATGTAAGGTCACAACCTAACTTAAAAAAATTACTGCCGTTAATTTCTTAGAGCTGTTTTCTTTAAAAGTGCTGTGAAACAACATCAGCTTAAGGAACATGAGACATGTAATTTATACATAAAGACAAGTAATAAGACTTTTACCAACCCCTTAAAAATATACTACAAGCGACAAAATGCCCAGGGTGTACATGCTTTACTCATGTACACATAAATGCAGCAGGTCACAGATGAAATACTTCATCTGAACACTTAAATTTTAAAAAAACTGCAGCTTGAACCAAGGAATTCATAACAATAAGTGCCAGGTTACACTTGATTCAATAAAACAAAAATTACAATGGGCTGGCTCTTGTTTGAGCCCATTGTAAACTGAATCTCTGTATTAGAGCTAAATAGATGACTTGATTTCACAACCATATTATAGATGAATCAATATCCATGACATTTGTATTGCACCAACAGGATGGACCTTGGAAGTATTTTAAAACCTTCCAGGGGAAGCATTACAATTTTCAACTACTGATACAGTCTACATACAAATTTCCACTAATACACGATCCAATTCTAAGCTAAAATTTTCAAATAAATATATTTATATGTAAACCACATAATTTATACCCTTTTAGAGAAACGAGAATGCTGCTAAATATATATGTATTTAAGGCATCTTACAATGTAAATAAAAATTTTACGGTAAAAGGTTGTGATTTCAAGGCAACTTATTAATATTTGCTACAATGTTATAGAACTCACTTAACAATAAATACCAAATCATTCACTGAAAAATGCTGACATGTTATTACTACTACAAGCCTTTTGTAAATTATACAGTCGGTTATAGGAGACATCTAATAAAGAAAGAAGAACTCAGTGAAATACTCTTGAGAAATTAAAATACAATTATATTTGACTAAACAAAAATTATCACACGGAAATAAATTTAAAAAATAAATAATAAATTAAAAAAAACAGGAAAAATTAATATAAATTCTTAGTCGGTGTTTCAAAAATATTTCAGGAATGCTGAACGTTTAACATGCATTACTAATGATTTTTGAACCCCAGAACAGGAGCAGTCTCAAAAACCTCTTGTGAAATTATTAAACACTAGTCAAGCAAAAAGTAATAATAATAAAAAAAAAAACAAACAAAAAAAAAAAAAAAAAAAAACTTTAAAAAAATAAAGAAAAAGAAAAAATTCAGGAATGCTGAACGTTTAACATGCATTACTAATGATTTTTGAACCCCAAAACAGGAGCAGTCTCAAAAACCTCTTGTGAAATTATTAAACACTAGTCAAGCAAAAAGTAATAAAAATAAAAAAAAAACAAACAAAAAAAAAAAAACAACAAAACTTTCAAATAATCAGGAGAATGCAAAATTCTGAGTGGTGTCTCTTCACTGTAACAATGCTCAAACACACTTTATAAATATTCAAAAAACAAAACAAACCTAATCAGGAAATGACCTACTTCAACCCTCCATCACGTAAAATCCAGACCCAATTAGCAATGGTACTAGCTTACCCAAAAGAAACCAATCATAAAAAGCACAATAAACAGAGGTACAAACAGACCAAACGAAATATTAAAATCTTTCAATATATTTTAAAAAGTGAAATTTCACAATAAATGCAGAAAACAAAGATCAAGCTCACTTGAACTACAAAACGAGAAGGACTTACCTTCCATAGAGTCAGCTTCTCCTTCTGCCACTAATTCATCATCAGAACAAATATTGAGTATGTTCACAAGCATTTCTGTCACTGGGATTTCAGAGATAAGTGAATACTTTATTTTCCATACAACAGGTATCAAATACTGATCTATCTCAATATGTAAATCATCCCTATTTCATGCTTCTGAAATGAAGTTAGCATATCTCAGACTTATTTACCTCCAGATGTCTCACTAAAGCCACCTAATACTGAGGTCTCTAAGTTCATAACTGCACCATCTTAAGTTATATTGTTTTTTTTTCACCCACACACAATTTAGCTTCAATATGAAATGATACAAATCTAACTTGGAATAACTATCTACACCAGTGTTTCCCAACCTTTTTTGTGCCATGCCCCACCTAAGCATTTCTAAAATTCCTATGCCCCCCCCCCCATTTTATATATACATACACACATATATATTTATACACACACACACACACAATTTTTATAATCAAACATTGAATCTCACTAAATGAAAACTAAAGGACAGGTTTTAGGAAGAAAGAAAAAGGAGTGAGAATGAATAGGATTTAACAAAGAAATTTTTAAGGAAACAAAGTTAAGTAATTTTGTAAAACATATGGAGAACTGTAATTCAAGGGCAAAATGAAAGATTTTCCCTTATGTTTTAATTATTTATCATTCCATTTATTTTTTATCATTTTAAAGCAGCCCCCCCCCCCTCTCATATTAGGAGCACCATCTGCAGCACAAGATGTTTTATTTTTGGCTTATTATTGCTATCAAAGTAATTTTTTTTTAGCTCATTATATATACCTTTGGCAGGAGTGTTGCTTTCTAATGATTTACAGAATAATATTTCTTCAGCAAATCTCCTTATCAATACATTTTTAGTAATTAGTATGGCTTCAATGACTCTCAAAGTTGATGCATCCATTTGCACTGAGAAGTTTTTTGTTTTCAGCTTTTCAAAAAGTTGTATCTCAAAATCTTCAATCATTTAATCTATTTTTAAATATTTTTTTTGCTAACATTATTGTTACAGAGTGACACAACTTTCACATCTTTGTCATCTTTTTCCAGAACAGTTTTAAGAAATGCTGATATTGATGGTTTGATTAAATTCTCTCCTATAGTATGATTTTTACAAGATTAAGCTATGAGTGTCATAGGTAGCCTCAAGAGTACGATTGACATTTGCAGAATGAGGAGTAAACATAGACTTTAAGATTTTGAAACTATGTGTGGCCCTCCCATGCACCTCAAGATGGTTTGTTTTCAAATTCGAATCGCCCCACTAAACAATCAAATTGCCCCCCCCCCCCCCCCCCCCGAATAATACTTTTCATAAAGATATAATTCTACTATTTAAATAGATGTTACAATTCTGATAAGACAGAATCTTGTCATCGCTTACAAAATATTTTATATAATGTGTTCATTTCAACGCATCCTGGATTGGTTGTTTAAAGAAAAAGAAAATACTGAGTGATGTCAAATGCTGAAAAACAACAGTTAAAAGGTAAAATTTATTTATGTGTTTTTTAAATAAATTTAATCTCACATACTAAATATAAAAATCACACAAGGATTTAATTCTTGAACGTAATTGTTACCTTTCTCTCCTACAAAAGGTAAAGACCATGTGAATACATCCATGAAATTTGGCAGCCAATACGGGTGGGGTGAGCAGTTGAACTGTCTAATATTCATCACATTGTTTTCATACTTCAGAATAGCAGCTGCAAATGAAGAAATTACTGATTTTTCATTTACCGTTCTTTTAAAAATTGTTAAACTGTATCAGGGTCAGTCTCACTTTTCTTTAATAAATTGGGGTCATGGGCAGATCAAGAGACTGAAACTGACTGGGTGATTTCATGAAAAGGCTTGGGACTTGTTGAATATATAGGGAGGAATGTTTAAGTAGGCCTGAGTCTCAGGTACAATTAAGGGCCAAATTACTAAATTTGTTGCTAAAAATTTTCAGTGTTCATGTGAGACTATCTTGTTCGTCGAAATGCATCAGATCAAAGCATGCCATATTTGCAACGATCTTACAAATCTTTAGCCAAAACAATTCAACATGGTTTTGAAAACACATTAACAGCAATAAATTTTTTAATCGGATCCATTCCTTGATCAAATATTCAAGTTTTTTCAGATAGAAGCAATGGCCCCTCTGGAAGTGTCAAGATTTTTGCCGCCCCTGGTCTACAAAGGTAAAAACAAGCAAAAACAAAACAAAAAAACCTGAAGTTGGCTGAAAATGTCATCTCTCCATAAAAAGCTGAAAGTGCAGCCCCTTCTGTTTCACCATTCCTATGCCACTTGAGAAGAGTGCTCATTGTAATTTTGCAATATAGGGTCGAATTCAGAGAACAAAAGGATAATTTCTAAGAAATTGTCATGATCAGAGTTTGTATCTAAGAGAACTTTAGCAATTTCATTTGTTTGCCACGATAACCCAAAACAAGCTTAAAAACCTGGGGCATGCCCAATTGTCCCTGGTCGTGGTCACATAGCTTCTATAAAATGTGTCTGCCGGTAACTGAATTTATTTAGAAAATTATTAAGGAAGAATATGGATGTAGCCAAATAATACTAACCTTTGTTATTGTATACATCTAGATAATTTGGTGCTGAAAATATTGTTATCAAAGAAGGAAAACCTGTAGTCTGGCTCTTTCTATACATTCTATACCTAATGAAAGATGAAGTTGTAGAATCAGATAATTAGTCTTTTTAATTTTTTATTTAAAAACAAATATATTAGAATTTTAAAATAATTACAAAATTGATGATTAACATTAGTGTTACTCCTAAAAAGTGATTTGAAAAGGACATATTTTTATCTGCTGTTCCTTACCCTGCATCTTGTGCCTCATGGGCACGAATTATAGACAACAAATTGTTCTGTTGCAAGAAATCACAACATGCTGCATAGCTATAGGAAAGGAGAAAGTAAAAAAAAATTATGTTTTAAAAAAGAAACAGAACAAATCAGCACAAAAAATATATAATAAGTGGAAATGACCAAAAAAAATTATGCTTTAGGAGTGTATCAAAAAATTATTTTTCCTAAGTTGGATTTTACTTTTAAGATATGAAAAAACATACCCATTTAAATAATAAAGAAGAATGATCCAATTTAATTGTTAAAATAATCACCTATAGAAATATGAGCAACCTCTGACAGTGTTGTGCGTGAAGTGTTCAGAAGACTTTTCATTTCCAAAGTCCTCCAATGGATCAGACCATAACAAGTCACACATAGGACCAAATGCTGGTGGCTCTTTGAATCTATCCAGCTGAAATTTGAAAATAAATCTAAATTAAAACAATTCCACTAGAAGCGTAAAGTAACAGTAACACAAACACTTGGAAATTAATATTCAAATGTGATTAATGACAGATAGTTGTTGCCAGACTGCGGAAGACACAAAAAATATATAAATTACTAAAAAATGTGTCTTAAATGGAAGAATTATAAGTTATTAGCAGGCAGAATGAATTAGAAGTCTTAATTTTGCTCGCTTCTGCCATAAGGTTTCTGATATCTGCCTTATATATATTATCCAATAATTATAATAACCAAATTTTGTTTTACATCGTCATGCAGACTTGTACATGATCTCAGAAAAAGTAAAAATTCCTAAACCCAGCATAAACACAATACCACTATGAATGCAATCTAAATTTATGGATCCCAATAATCGGCTATAGGCAAGGTTTCACTATGTATCACAATGCTAATTTTTCCATTCACACTTTCAGGTTATAGCTATTTTTAAGTGCCAGTGAGGGTCAGGTTGTACATATCACTTTGAAGACTATTAGCAACCTACAAAGCAATTCTCTTTAGTAATTTAAGTAAAATCTAAGTAGAATGTAAGGGAAAACTTAACTATAAATATAAATATTTTTCTTTATCCATTTCAAGAAAATGATTGCAATTTCATTCTTCAACTTTTATAATCTTCAAAAAAAAAAAAATTGATTAACCGACTCACCTTCCGGATATCATCTAAGGTATGAATTTCAGGTGAAAGTCCTCCATGGACACAAAGAAATTGTTGATTCATCAAAGCAGAGAGGGGCAGACAATCAAAGGCTTCCATACAAGCATCATAAACTCTCTCTGTGTATTTGATTTTACCTAAAAGAATACAAATTACAATTGAGTAGTCATGCATATAAATTATAATTTAGATATGTTTAAAAAATAATTTGGCTGTGAGAAAATGCCTCAACTATATGTGGTCCTAAAATCCAGCAATGTGGAATATAGTAATAACAAATAATTAAAAGTGGTCTAGAGTTAAATGAATTTGTTCTGTGGGGATAAATAAGCTGAAGGAAAATAATGATCCAGGTGATTATTCAATAATCTCAAAAATTAAATTTACTCACATTCTTGTTTAAATGTGAAATATTCCGTAAGATGTCTACATTCATGATTGCCTCGCAACAGGAAGAATGTTGTTGGATATAATATTTTTAAAGCCCACAAGTAAAGTACACACTGAAAAAGTGTCATAAGAAATTTGAAACATGTTTAACAAAATATATGAATAGCATGCTTTAAAATTATGAAAAGAAATGAACCTCAAACCAGATGATTATATATATATATAACAGACTCTATAACTACTAAGAACTACTGATGAATAAAAATGTAAGAGGCACATCACCAATCTGGACTACAACTTAGAGCTTAGCAACAATTTGATGGCGCATGCAAAAAATATAAATAAAATCAACATAAAAATAAAACAAACCTCTATGCTAAAATAACCTCTGTCTACATAATCTCCTAAGAAGAGATAGCGTGTCGATGCAGGGGGCCCACCAACTTCAAACAGTTTCATCAAATCAAAAAACTGACCATGGATGTCACCACAAACTGAAAAATAATAAAATAATATTAACACCACTTAAGTTATTTAAATAAAAGCCCACCGACCATTGTATGCTCAAACTTAAAAGAGTTTTCTCACAACGAAAAATTAATGTAAGAGAATATATTAACTTTTTTCTTCTTCTGAGCTTCTTGTTCCTAAACTATGTCGGTACATTACGAGAAATTCAAGGGTATATACCAGTAACAGGAGCTTCAATGTCAATCATTGTTTTTTCTTGTCTCAAAAGCGCAGCACCTTCGTTGATAATACGTAAAGCCACATCTTCTGTTACTCTGCCTTCTAAAATGAAATGTTGCTTGAGAGCATCTGGCCTGGGTTTGCCTTTAGCATCAAAAGCTTCACTCATACTCACTCTGTGACTAGGTGGAAAAGGAACACCTAACAACAAAAAAAAAAACAACAAAAAAACAAATGAACAACTTCCATATTAGGAAAAATATTATTGTTATAGCAGGAGTTACCAAGACTGTTTATACACAGAAAGTTGATTATCTTCTTTTTAAGTCCTCTGCATTTAATTTATGATAATAAAAGAAGGGAATGCATATTTTATGTAATAAAATATTTTAATGCTTAATATTTATTACTCGTAAGAAGAATTTACTTTGGGTGGAATTATTATTTTGCCAGAGTTATGGCATTTTAGAAATTAAAATTATATGGTAAGATGCATTCTACAATGGTAAAAAGTTAATATTATTGCTTTAGTTAAACTACATTTTAAAATTAGTAGTCTGTTAAAAAAATTGGCCTTTTAAAAAAGTGGCAAAAGAGAGGCAGTGAAAATATTGTATATTTCAATTTGATTATTTCATATATCAGTGGATGAGAATATTCAATATATTGAGTAAATAATTTACCAGTTTAAGGCAATGTTCCCAGACTCTGAAACTTTCAGCACCCCATTAAACCAGACTTATAAAAAAAAAAAGAAAGAAAATCAAACACTAGACTTCAAACCTATGTATTAGGTATATATGCGTTAAAATATAATTTTCACTACCCATACTGAATTGCAGCTTAATTTACTAAATTTTAAATATTTTTTTTAATCAATGATTTTTATAAAGCTGGAAATTCTCAATTAGGGGTTTGAAAGTACCCCTTATTAGAATATTTCAATTTCATAAGCATTTCTTAATGTTTATTTCATATTAAAAGTACAAAAAAATTTCTAAAACGCATAGAAAAGCATATTGAAATAGCTTACCAGGTTAAGTTTTTGCAAATACCCTAAGTTAAAGTAATTCTGGTTAATTATAATTTATATTTTGCCGGTTTATTACACACACATGAACTTTAAATTTTCATTCACATGATCTCAAGATGTTTCTAGCTAATTTAGACTTTTTAAAAAATGTGTTAAAATTGACATCTCCATTTACATAATTTGTAAAATTGTGCTTCCGCTTAAATTTGTGTTAATAAGCTTTTTTTAAATCAGTGACTTCAAAGAAGTGACCACTGAAAAAGCTGAGCTTGTACTAATAATTACTAACTGTTTGTACAATCAATATGAAAGTTTTAACTAAATGACTTAAAATATATAGATTTTCAAAAATGCACATTTAAGTGCATTAACTGACATCGTTCCAATATTTTTTAAAAAGTCATAACTTTTAAAAATAATTACAGCAATAAATTTGGTAGTTTTGTTCCCATGAAATCAATCTCTATCGAAGTTATAAGTCATCAAGTTGTATTATGAAAATATTTAATCACAGCTTCAATGTGTGTGGTGTTTTCCTTTTTAAGTTTAAGGTAAAGAAAGAGAAAACTACAGTATAGCTTTCTTCAATCCCAAATTTAAAGAAACACAATAGTATCATTGTGTTGATAAAATCATATTTGAAAACTGTCTTAGAAATTTTCTAGAATAGTATAAAAGGTCATTTATAGGACCCTGATTTTCATAAAAGCCTTAGCTTGGACTAGAAGTAGACCTTGTGTTTTTTTATTTTATTCCCAAAGTACACATCTATAGCACTAGAAGCTGAAGTAATCGATCCTTTGCTTTATTTCAGGCCTTTTTCAAAACACAATAATAATCCTTTGAATAATTTAAATTATCAAAAAACTACTCTGGTTTGGGCCCTTTAGAATAGCAATCTGTGTATTTTCGTCACTCCTATACATCGAAAAACATTACTAAAACATAACAATACATTCATGGGCGCGGCCATAACTATGACCTTTCGCAAGTTATGTGATAAGCTCTGAACTCAGTCTTTATAACATATTTTATATAGGGGACTGTCGATCTATGGTGTGTGGATTTTTAAGGTGCATACAGATAAAGCGGGATGGCGGGGGTCAAAGGGTTATATCAAATTTGTATAAAACAGTGTCTTGAAGTGTATGTACCATAGCTTTCATTTTAAACCATGCAAAATAATTCCAATAAAGAATTTCTGTGTTGATTTTAGAGGCAGACCCTCTCCAGCTTCTGACAATGGCAGTAATAAAATTGAGCAAATTTCACACCCCACTAATCACAACAAGCCTGATAAAAGCATTTTAACACAGAAAAGTAAATAGGAAGCAAACTCATTTTTGTAGAGTGATTTCCCCATAACCAAGATACATTTAATAATTTGCACTTTTAATGACCATTTGCTCACTGTTGATTATATCGGCAGTTATGACATTTCTATTAAAAAGATATGAGCTTTTTGTAAATAAAATATGAAGCTTTTTGTCCTGGAGGGGTGTATCATCTAGTCATAACATCCTAGTTATGACCATGGTAAATTAGACTATTCCGCCTATAATGCAAGCAATTCCCAAAATCGAACATTTTTAAATATAAAATCTTCACTATTTGAATGCTCAAAAAATTAATCATCTAATCAGTCTTTGTGTACATATTCACCCCAAGCATTCGCTTAATGGGAGAACCTAAAATATATGGTTTGAGAGAAAGAATGGGCAGGAAATTGAGACATGAGATACCATATCAAGCTACTGGAAGTTGTTTTTTGTTTTGTTTACTGATATGAAAAATGAGACACATGTCCTGAATAGATGGGAAAAAAATATTTCTCAGTGAAAACGTAATAAGCACCTTAGAGACTTGCACACTTGACTGTTCTTTACAAAAATTCTGACACTGGCATATAACTTTATGGGGTCAACTTATGAGTGGGTTACACACTTTTCAGGCCAGGCCGGCCTTAGGCCACTGCAACCTATGCGGGCGCAGTGGGCCCTGCACTTTTTTTTCTAATACAAAATCTTAATTTTCACTTATTATCCTTATCCCTACCCAGCCTGGGCCCCGCGCAATCCGTTTCGCTTAGGGCCCTACAATTGTTAGGGCCGGCCCTGTTTCAGGCTTTTCCTAACCAAAGCTAAGGTGGTTGGCTTATGAACTATTGGTTTTATGAATTATTAAATATAGTAATGTGCAAGAATAATGCAGTTTTCCGGTTTCCAGACATCCCCTAGAAGAATAAGGAATTTGTGCCCTCAAGATTGACTGAATCTACTTAACCAGTTCATTAGCGCTGACTTTCAACACAACGTCACAATCACATACTTTCAATTACCAAGGATGTCACATTGTCATCATAATAAAGAGGCAAAGGACTTTTCTGTAATACCAAGGACAACATAATTCAATGCTATATATCTATTTATTCGTTAATTTATAGAGATGTTACTAAGCGAACCGGATAGAGAATGAACAAATACAGAAAGTTTCATCTTTAAGTTTTTTAATTCCAGAGTCAGCAAAAATCGATGCCAAAACCAGCAGTAAGCAACTTATTGTCAAAGATCCATTTCACAAACATTGAACAATGCTCTATTATTATAGGAAATAAACGAAACATACAGTATTATGTATAAAATACAATAATAATATGCATTGCATGTCTAAAAAAAGGTCATAAACAGAAGTAGATGACTGAAAAAAAGTGGGGAGCAGGGCTGCCCCTAAATTTTTTTTAATTCCTAAGATTTGGTCAAAATATTTCCCAAGATCATGATAATTTATGAGTTTTTTTAAAAGGATCTTGGCGAATTTAAAAAAAAAAAAAAAGTGAGTCTTGGGCCTGAATGGGGTATTGAATTCTAGTGATGGGACGATTAATCGGAATCGTATTGGAATAATTGAAATATCGGGATTTTCCAAAGCATCGGGAATCGGTATTGGAGCTGAATAATGCAGACTCGATTCCGATACCAAAACGACTCTTAACTGATTAACTGCCGTAAGCTGGTGACAGCGCAAAGTTTGTTTCGAGTTATCATACTCTTTATTTTTTTCCGAGATTTTTAATTACCGGCAGGAAGTTTATTTAAAACCACATGTTATCAGCAAAATGTAAAAAACTTTTTGCTGTACTATATAATAGTCAATAAGCTAGCAGTGATAAATACTTTGAAAAATAAAGCATTTCGAAGGTAAGGTGCCCCGTTTTTCTGATTTTTTCGTAAGTTTTTGTTAAAATCAATTATAAAACATTTTAAAAAGTATAAATTATAAATTAATAAAATAGGTATGAAGAATCCGATTTTTTATTTATTTTAGGTGGCGAAATCTGTTCCTGGGTCGGCGAACTTTTTCTAAAGTAGGTAAGTTGCGGTCGAATTTTTTAAATGTTTATTTTAAAACCAATTTTGTTAGGCTTTAATTTTTTTTAATAAACTTGAATGATTTATCTCCATTTTTTACCACATAGTATCAATTTAGAGCTCTTTTATTTATATTTAACAATCAGTCAATTTGTTCCGAGTCATTACAAATCTTAAATGATCTAATTTAGTGACAATAATTTGAGTTGTTTGATTCAGATAGGCCTTGACCTTTACAAGTACACTGCCAACACATCTAATAGTCCATGTTTTTCCACTGTGTTGACCCCTGACCCCAGGTGAAAATGATCACTGACTGGACTTCAGTTAAATGGGCAAAGGGTGGAGGAAGGTATTGATATTATTGATGGTGAGAGGGGGAGGGCTAAGCAATGGAATAGCCCAGTTTTATTCATTCACAAATCAGAACAGTAAAAAAAAAAAAAAAAAAAGAAAAAACACCACAGGCAGGCAGGGGCGGAGGGAGGAATTTAAAGCTATTGAATAGCTTATTAAGAATACAGTAGGCTGGGTAGACCTACATTAAGAAAAAAAGCAGTTATAATTCATTAAATGATGCTGTTAACAAATAACAGAAAAAAAATTTATATTATTAAATTATTATTTATTAATTTATATTCATTTTCTTTCAGAGCCCAAATTAATCATGGCAAGTGGCGGCAAAAAGTTTAGCATGGATTTTTTTCAGTCGACTCTGGAGATTCAACAAAAGCAAAATGTAATGTGTGTGATCAAAGAATATCAAGAGGAAATAAACAAGGATGCTTGACAAGTGCTGAAGCACTTAGAAGCCAAACATAGAGAAGAGTTCCAATATGAAAAAATCAAAAGAAAGGATGAAGACCAGAAGAAAAAAAAGAGAAAGCAAGCAACATTGTTTCCAGCTACAAGCAGCAAAGTCCAGAGAATAAAAAAAGAAACAATGAGGCAACTGACATTACAAGCATCTCTAGATCTGTCAAAACCATGGAGTATTAAAGACTGTAAGACTGAAAAGGTACACAAACATATTGCAGAAATGATAGTAGCTGACCTTCAACCATTTTCAATTGTTGAAGACATTGGGTTCATAAGGTTGTTAAAAACAATGTGTTCCAGTTATGAAATGCCCTCCAGGAAATTTATTAAAGAAACTGTCTTTCAAGAAATTTATGATAAAGTTTTGAAGAAATTACAGCTTGAAATGAATTCAGTGCTTTTTATTTCATTGACAAGAGACTGTTGGACTGCAAGCACTTCTAATTCATCATTTATAAGCTTTACAGCTCACTGGATTAATGATAACTATGAGTTAAGATGTGCCATTTTACAAGTCACGCCATTTAATGATAAAAACACTGCTGTCAATATATGTGAAAACATATTATATACAATGCAAAAATGTAACCTAAGCAGTAGAAAAGTCCATCTTGTGGTGAGAGACAATGTAGCTAACATGGTAGCAGGAATTACCCAAGCAAATTAACAATCATTGCCATGCTTTACGCACACCTTACAGCTGGTACTAAATGATGCCATATTTGAGCAGCGTTATGTCAAAGATGTTACTGCTGTCTGCAAACACATTGTAGGACATTTTCACCATTCCCCTTCAGCATTTACTAAATATCAAGAGTATCAAAAACAGTTCAAAGTATCTGCACACAGATTTATACAGGATGTACAAACAAGATGGAACAGTCAGAACCTAATGATGAATAGGATACTTGAACAAAAGGCAGCTCTCATTGCATATTGCAGTGAGCATTCAAAACCAGCGTGTTTGGAAAGTAGTCAGTGGAAATTGTTGGAAAAAGCTTAAAAAAATATTGAAAAACTTTGAAGATTGCACCAATTTTATGAGCACCCGGGATGCAACAGCTGCATTGATAATTCCAAACATCAAAGTGATCAGGCACTGTTTTGAATCTGCAGAATCAAAATGACTGTTCTCTGGCTTGGGATCTACATTATCATCATGGAAATCATCAGTTGAACTTAGATTAAGCTCCTACATTAATGATAAAAACTTCATTCTTACCACCTTCCTTGATCCACGATTTAAAGATAAGTTCCTTGAACAAGAATATAATGGCAAAACTGCGGATGAAGCGCTTGCTGTATGGCTGTCGGAAGACCTGTCAAATAGCATAAAGTATAGTCACAGTGAACTGCCAGTCTTCCTGATTCTTCAGATTCAGCAGGCAGTGATGAGCAAAATGTGGAATTCAATTTCAGTTTTGATAAGTGATTTTCTCATATGAAAAAGAAACCCAATCAACAAGAAACAAGCAATACAAATGCTACAACCACAACAAGTCAATTTTCAGCAGCAAGTATTAAAATTAGAACAGAAATATCAATTTAAACTGATTGCAAACAATGAGAATCCTCTAAGCTGGTGGAAAGCAAACAAAGAAGAACTTCCAAGTTTGGCTCTCCTCTCAAGAAAGTATTTATTTGCTCCGCCTTCTTCAGTAGAGAGCGAGAGAATTTTTAGTGTATGTGGCAATATATACTCGCCAAAGAGAAACCGGTTAGAACCAACTTGTGACAGGTGAGCTGTTTTTAGCCCGCTGAAATTTTATTACACATCTAAATAGCCGTATTGCAAGAAATTACCACCCCTTAGCAGCTGGTTTGAGGATCAATTCCTTGAGGTCTGATTCTGAACACTGCACAGAATACATCTAGAAAAACTGTAAACCTGTAGCGATAGGACTGTGTGCTGATAGGACTCTACACTCACAACAGACACATGGCTGATAAGTCAACACACACATCACAACATACAAGTGATGAGCTATTCCAAAACTGCTGTGACGTCCGCGCTGAGAAGCCACGAGGGAAAGGACTGGATAACCCACTTCTAACATTGAAGTCATCTCACTATTGTCCGATTTAGCCAGATCATCAAAAATTATAGTAACGGTCTGATGGCACAGAATTCTGATAGAAAGCGAAGCGACTATTATGATGAATGTTAGGCATTACAGGAGGCAAATGTATATAATATAGATCAATAAATTATATGAAAGTTGTTTCTTCACACTTTCTTCTTCTTCTTTATTTTGAGGGCCCACGATCAATGAATTGATCATTCTGGCTCGTATGTTTCAGAGGGGTTTGCAATGTTACTGTGCATGGGTTTCAAGGGGATACTTCACTGGTTGCAAGGGCTACTCAGCCGTGGTGTTACGAACTGGGGGTTGGAATACAGGAGGCAATAGACACAAAATTCGAGTGTAGCCGCCTCAACTGTTGCTTTTGGAAGCTTTTTCCAGTACGCCTATTGTCTACGGCAGGAATGAGGAGCTCCTGAACTTTGTTCTTGTTTTACCAGCTTTTTACCAGCTGGAACTGTCTGTTGTGGCCTCGTCGCTGTCTAGGGGGAAGATGAACGAGTTTCTGTTTGATGCCGGAGCAGTGAACCAGCCCATTTTTGATCTTGTAGCGGTTCAGGACAAAGCGTGCTGCCCGTCACTGGACCGCCTCCAACTTGTGGATGTTTTTCTGGGTAAATGGGTCCCAGACTGTAGAAGCGTACTATTATAGAGGCCAGACAAAGGCTTTATAGGCTTTTTCTTTCACGCTTAAGTTGCCGATTTTCAGATTGCGCATTAAGAACCCCAGGGTCTTGTTTGCCCAGTTGCACACACTGTTAACCTGCTCGTTCCATCCTTAGCTATTATAGATTATATTTGAATCCTTGTTAATAAGTACATTTTATTTATGAAATTGTATTATGAAGTCTAGGTATAAATGATTGAATATGATAATTATGTCCCTTAATGCGTCAAACTGATATAACATGAAACCCCTAGAAACAAGCAGGTGTGAAACTCATACATACTGTTATCCCTCACACCCACCCACAAAGTCATTTCACCACAAGGTTCCCTAGGTCAACTCAAAAGATTTCAAATTTTAGCTTTGTATTTATTTGATAAAAAGTTTTTATTTTTGTATTGGAAATGGCGGTAGGGTTTCCCCTGAAAATTATGTTTATGACTCGAGACATGAAAAACGCTAAAATGGACTGTTATTCACTTCGTTCAGGATCAACTTTTGGGGTTCCCCAAGTGAGGTTATTGCGCTTAAGATGAGCGTTGAATCATTGAATGTGGCTATAGCGGCGACAAAGAAAAGTAATGATTAAATATAAAAATTAAATAGAATACAGTTTTATGGATAAAAAAAATCTACTACAAGCTTTAGTAATATTTGAACTATGAATAATCATAAAAATATTTGAAAATCCCCTTGCCCCTATTTACGGTATATTACTAGGTAACTATTATATTACTAGGTCCAGTAGTATGGACTGCACCACCAAATTCTGTTGATTAAAGTTTAACATAATACTGAATTAACATTATTACCAGTAAACAAAAATTTTTCTTTGATACTTATTAATTTATGCTATCATTTAAAAAAATGAATGTTCACTATTTACTCAGTTTCAATGATTTTGTTTGGTAAAAGTGAAGTTAGCGGCATGGGTTTTGCCATGAGTTATCTCACCCAACGTGCAGTGACGCCACTTTGGGGAACCCCAACACTGGACTTGGGTGACAGGAAAACAGTTTGACCTGAACGATGAGAATGATAATTTCCCGTTCTTTACTGGCATTATTCGCATCAAAAACATAACCTAACAATCGTTACAATTAATATGCAATAAGTTAAAATGGAAATGTTCGATTCGTCGTTCAATTAAAGTTCAACTTACAAGTTTGAAAAGAGAAATTCATCCTTGCTGACGCCAAGATAAACACAGAAAAAAAGATGGCCACATTGTTAAAAGTGATGGGGTTTTTTAATTGGTTGAAAAAGAAATATCTGTAAGCTATTCATTTATTTAACGTCATATTTTAACATAAAATTCTAGGACGTTAGCACTAATTGTGATTATTACAAGTGCGTTACTTCAATGTAGGTTTTGTCAAGTACCTTTAGAAGTGAGGAATTTCATCTATTGCCGCCACTATTGTTTGGTGTTTTTATCAAATTTCGAATAAATGCACATTTAAAATATCCAGCAAAAATACACAAACATGAAAAAAAATCAGATACAGTGGAACCCAGTGATAATGCCAATTCTGATATGTGGTCATTGCATGACTCCTGAAATTTCATTATTTCATTCACAAATGAAAGTATTTGTTCTAAGTATGTGAAAAAGAGTACTAAGGTATTCAGTCACTACTCATGTTTCATGACATAATATCTGCCTGGCTATTATCAGTCCATGTGTATTAATGTTAACTCTCAAGGTACGTTGAATTGACTTATGTTGAATTGACTTATCGGACACCGGTGCCTGATGGATTCAAACTTGATTTTTTTCTAACCTTTTTATAAACCGAAGTTATTTTTATCTTTTATCTTTAATTTAATGGACAAATTAATTAAAAAATACGATTTTAAGTTTGTATTAACATTTTTAATTTGAAAAAATTTGCTCCGATCCGCGTGTTATTTTTCGACGCTACGCAATTCCCGTCCGCCATCTTTACAATCATTTCAACTTTTCACGAGACGAGTCGATGGCAATATTTTAAAATTATGGCTGAATATTCGTCACCTGATGAAGAAATTAGTTATATTTCAAGTGAAGATGAAACTTCTGTTGGAGAGGAGGAAGAAAACGACAGTGATATTGAGAATGTCTTGCCTTTTACCGGTGGACAAGTTCACTATCGAAGGTAATAGTTTTTTCTTTGTTACAGTTTTCTTCCACTCGTCTGACAGATCACAGTTTAAATTGATTTTACTGCAGTTACGTTTGCATACGGTAGCAATGCCATATATAGAATTATAGAACATTCATTTTAGTAATATATCCTTTTTTCTTTTTCTTTTTTATAAAGAATTTATTTTATTATAATTTTTTTCCCAAATCCATAACAAATGACATTTCTCTTTGTTTACATTGGTTACGCTACAAAGTGAAATCAGTATTTCGATTGGTATTATAACATGCTTCATGATAAGGTTATAATTTTCCGGACATTAGTTGTAACATTGAACATTGTTGTGTATTTAATTGTGTTTAATTATATAAACACTTCTTTTCAATTCTATATCTAAAGTTTATACATCTATTTTTATTTCACAGTTATGATGATTTTGACCCTGGACCCCCCAAGCCCATTCCTGCATTCAAGCCTGAACGACCACCTGGTGCCCATTTCCCCGAATCAACAACCAGAGATGAGAGGAAGAAATATCTTACTCCTCTTTCAATTTTCAAATTATTCTTTACAGAAGCATTACTGGAGACACTCTGCAAATATACCAATGACAATGCAACTGCCATGGGACCCACTAAACCCTCAATGTTCAAAAACTGGATAGATATAAACAATCAAGAGCTATTAACATTCATGGGCCTTCTCATGTACATGGGACTTGTGCAAGCACCAAATGTCAAATGTTATTGGAGCAAGAAATCATTATTCAATGGATTATGGGCTAGACAATTTATGACAAGGTTTAGATTTCAACAAATATTATGTTTTCTAAAAGTTTCGAACCGGAATACTGAGGTAACCAATGATAAACTTTGTAAAGTTAGATTTTTGTTTGACTTCATTAGAAGGAAGTGCATGAAACTGTATCAACCAGGGCCTAATATTTCAATTGATGAAAGAATGGTGAGAAATAAGGGAAGATACTCATTTCGCCAATATATTAGAGATAAACCAACTAAGTGGGGAATGAAATTATGGGTTCTCGCAGATTCAATTTCGGGGTATACTTATGATTTTGACATTTATTTAGGTAAAACTGGCAATGTTCCTACTTTAGGTTTAGCTTATGGGGTTGTTATGAAATTAGTATCTTCCCTTATCAACCAGGGTTATTCTTTATATTTTGACAATTTTTATTCAAGTTTTGCTTTGCTGACTGACCTTTTAAAGAAAGGTATATCAGCATGTGGGACTATAATTTCAAGTAGGAAAGGCTTTCCACCTGAATTAAAAAATATAAAACAATGGGAAAAGACCAGCAAGAGAGGGGATATGAGGTGGGTTAGGAAAGAAGAAGTGCTAGCAATGCAGTGGAAGGACAATAAAACTGTATCGTTAGTTTCTACTATTCATAAGGCTAATGAATTTAATAATGTATTTAGGAGAAATAAAAATAAAGGAGTTTTTGAAAAGTTAGAAGTTAGGCAACCTGTATTAGTAAGGGATTATAATATTAGTATGGGAGGGGTAGATAAGAGTGATCAGCTTTTAAATAAATATAATATGCTCAGGAAGACAAATAAGTGGTGGAAAACTTTATTTTTTCATTTCATTGATATTGCTAGGGTTAATAGTTATATATTATTTCAAGATTGGAGAATGCAAAATCCTGATCTTGAAATTTTAAAAAGGCCACCATCATTTAGTCAACTGGATTTTACAGTTGAACTAATAAGACAGTTGGCAAACATAGATGATTTTGCTCCAGTGGTCAGTGCAATAAAACCTAAGATTGAAATGACATGTCATACCATATTGCCAACTATGGTTCCATCAAATAAAAGAAAAATTTGTAAATATTGTTATGCACTTTATAAACTACAGAGAAGAACAAGGGTATATTGCAATGGTTGTGGTACTTTTTTGTGCTTTCAAGAGGACAGAAATTGTCTTCTTTTATATCACAAAAAATAATTTAAAATGTTTTGTTCAAATCATAAATATATATTTTTTTTAAAATATTTTATTATTAATAGTATCATTATTCAGATTTGTATATCAAACAACTATGGTTTTAGTTATAAGAACACTCCCAAGTTAAAATTAGAAATTCTCTTAAAAATGTAAAAAAAAAAAAAAATTCTTTCATTTTCATGATTTCATTATACATTTTTAAAAATCGTCTCATTATTTTAAATTTGAGTGAAATTCTTTGAAATTGCAATATGTTTTGTACAAATGGTAATTGTTTATGGCCATAATAAAGATTTTAAGTTTGTAAGAAACACTTTTTTTTTTCTTTCATACTGTTTGTGTCATATTGTAATTTTCATTTAAATTTGTGGGTAAAAATAACTCGATCCAATAAATTTTTATCAAAAACCATTTTAAAAATTATATTATTTTTTATATCAATTTAAAGATAATTCAATTGTGAATCTATTGGTATATAACATGCCACTATTGTTAGAGTCTTTGATTTACAGAAGTTTAAATTACTGAGGTCACTCAAACCGAGCACAAAAAAGGGGGAAAAACCAAGAATATTTAAGAGCTAAACCAATAAAATTAGTAAAACCATCTATAAGTATAAGGCAAAGAGATATCCTAAAATTTATATGTTTATTATTTTGAATATATTTTAATAGTGAATTGTTGGGTCAGATGCCAGAACACCAATGACAAAGAAAGAGAACATTCTCCCAGCTTAGTTTTTTTTTTTTGTTAAAGACATTTATATCAGACATATTGATAGATTTAGTTATCTGTATCTGGTGACAACGGCATGTTGTCAACGAGAGGATGGAAACAGGAAATGTTGGTTGTTGTTGACATGTGTCATGTGTATTGCCACAATAACAAATTGAGCTCTGAGAATGAGAAGCCACAATTATTTTTAATTTAAAGAGCTCAACTCATCCCACCCAGTCACTTCACTTCTGTAAACCCATCTTACTTAACATACTAAATTTTTTTATCATTTCGACATTAGCCTTCATTAGAATCAGAGTTAGACCTACAGTCTAGTACAGTTACAGTCTACAGTCACAGTTTATCATTAATTGATTCAACATTATCCACTAATTTCAGAAAGTTCATATGTATGTCATTTTTATGGCATGTGATAATCAAGAGGTAGAACAGTTGAGTCTGAGTTTATTCAAGTTAAGAAGTAAATTTATTTTTAGGCCAATGAATGTAAATGTAGGATGCAGGCTAGATTTAAACTATAAACAAAATGAAAATAATCCCAATTTAGCCTTCCCCAGCCTTCCTCGTGATGGGAAGGTTTTTCAAATTAAAATTGTAACAAGTCATTGCTAGTTCAATGACTTATTAGATAGAAATTAATTAGACAATTTAAGGGGGTTGGTTCATTTAAAAATACATTTATTTTTTTAATCCTGTTTACTGGCTGTCGCCATCAGTGCAGTGTCAGATTCAATATTTATAGACTATAGACTATAGATAAAGACTTCTGGTGAGTAGTCTTAGAGTGGAATCTGAAAACTATTATATGATGCATGCTGCAAATTGGCACTAATATAACGTTAAGAAACGTGCATCAGGAGAAATTTCATGAGCAGCTAAAGACTTCTTTACTTAATTTTCTGAACGGGTATGCTAATGATGGCCGACATAGATTTCTAATATGGCGGTTGGAAGATGGCTTACTCAAATGGGAACAGTGAAAACTTACTTTTAATGATCCTTTCGGTCGTAGACATCTTAGTATCTGTTGTGGCCATTTTAAGGCTCACAGGGCACCTAATATCCTCAGTAGTGCCTCCGATGGCACAAATATGTTTCGATTGAACTCGATAGTCCTTCTATGATATGTCTTCAAAATGGCGTACACAACATTTGCATATAGTCGGAGCCTTCTGCGCATTGTTTTGCGCAACCGGGCCATCGCCCTGGGATTCCGTCAAGGAGAAAGTTGCGATAAATAGAAGAACCGTCTAACAATTTAATTTTAAAAACTGGCTATTGAGCATATACTTATACCATTCATTGCCTTCCTCTAGATTTTGCATAACTTTTCACATTTAGCTATAAATGTACAATTTAAATGTACATTTCCAACACGTCTACCATAATCTTTTTGTTAGCTTATCAATATTTTAGGTACACAATATTAATTATAAGTATAGGTCAAACTGTTGTTTGCATTCATAAGATGAGCACCACCTCAGCAGTAGTAATTGAAAAAAAAAGGGTGCGGGGGCGGTCCGCCCCGGGTGCAACTTATTGAGGGAGGCATTTTCAGATCACTTCTATGCAAATATTTGTTTTGGAGGATTGTGTAGGGATACAAGTCGTCACGCACAATACTTTTTTTCCTTTTAAGAGCTGGGATTCCGACTGGCGCTGGGGAAATTTTTTGCATAACTCCCCATAACTCAACATAGCCAATAGTGGTTACAGCCCCTTTTAAATTCTTTAAACTGTTTTTTCCCTTCCTGTTTTTTTTTGGGGGGGGGGGGGGGAAAGAGTTTTTTGGGGAAAAACCCAA